GGGAGGTTTGAGAGTAGTGGAGGGTAATTGAGGTTATTGTAGAGGAGTCGCGTGAGAAATCACCACGCGGGCAACAGGAGAATGTCACGCCGCAATTGTGGATGATATACAGAAGACTAGAAGACGAAAAGGGTATAGAGAGGATACTGCACGGTCGGACGTAAATATCCGTGCAGAAGATGAGGTGGGAAAAGAGGTGGCGAGGGGGGAGGTGAGTTGACGCGTGGTGGAAAGTCCGCGGAGTGATTTGAAGCCATACGCATACAGATAGGTACAGTACTGGTGGATGCGGAATAGCGTGTTCTCCCACGCGTCGGCCACGCTCCACAGTCAATGACTATTGGATTGCTCGAGAGAATGGTAATTGTATATCGAGCATTCTAGTTCTCGATATTTTGTATAATATTCTGGTTAAGGCTCGGCTTAGAATGTTTTGATACCTTAACTAAGGACGCGTCTGGATCTATATATGCAGGCCCACGTGCTGGGAGACGTCGCCATTAACATTACCACAGAAGGTCTCGTTATTGACAACTAATAATTGACTGGTACTATATAAACAAACCTCGCTCTTATTTACAGATGCCTTTGTCTTCCCTATCCACAAGTATCCTATGGCATACCGCCGATGCTTATACTTAGTTTCAAAACTGACCAACGATTGCATGACATCATGCCCACGAGGAAGCCAGCCCAGCCCTGGCGAGTGTCTGATACGTCGATTCGTTGAAGGTGACGGCTCAAACAAAGGCCAGTCGCCAGTCGCCTCGAGTTGCCAGGATTCCGGAGTAAGCTTCCCCCGCATTTCGACTCCGGAGCCTCGTCTCACCTCTTTCGTCCATCGTCTTTCAATCGTTTCCATCGCCAGTATCAACAATCTGGAATTGTTGACCCTTCGTTGACCACATCTCGACCGTGTCTGGAGTAGATCTCCGGTCCCTGCCTGATTGCGTCATCAAACAACGCCCTCGGACAAATACCCAGGGCACGGCTCGCATTCTCCCTTGGTTACGCTACTTCTAGTTATACTGCCATCTGTACTAGTGCTGTACCACCGTCTATCCCTACGAACCGCTATGCGGCCTTCCCTTGCTGTGCTGGCAGCTGCGCTGCAGGCAACTGTCGGCGCGGCCTCGAGCTTGACGCCGCCTGTCTTACCCTTGATTGTCCGAAACCCATACCTGAGCACCTGGCTAGGCAATGCGCGCGATGTCCCTTGGTCAACATGGCCCATGTTCTACACTGGGCAGGAACTGGGCCTGGGATTGCTGGCTCAGATCCCGAGTACCGACACTGTTTATCCACTGCTGGGCAAGCCCCATGAGAGTCTGCCAGAGTATGCTTCTACTAGAGCCCCCTAGAATCTCAGACATCTGACGACTCCTAGGTCAATATCATTTGAATATCCTACCTATCTTGGAGCGAATTACGATGCGTCTACCACGAATCTAACTTACAGTATCACTTACAACACCGCCTCTGCTCCACTTAATATCACCGTCTCGTTCCTATCTCCCATAACGCCGACATCGACTCTGCGGCAGTCGATTCCAGCTTCGTATCTGACTGTATATGTAGAGAGTGAGGCGACTGTGAACATATACCTGGATATCAATGGTCATTGGGTCAGCCATGACCCAGCCAGCAAGATCACTTGGCAGTTCGAGACGGAGCGGGCTTCTCTAGAAACTCCACCAACCCTCCAGAGATGGACCTTGCAAAAAGAAAACCAGTTGCTTCTCTCCGAGCAACGTGATAGAGCGGAATGGGGCGCTGTTCACCTTACTGGTCCAGCTGTTCGTGTTCTCGCGGCGATTAACTCGATATTGTGCTAATGGAATTAGGATGTCCAATACCAGTCCGGTGCCGCTTCATCAGTGAGGCGTACATTCGCTGCGCGAGGCTCCTTGACCAATGTAAACGATGATGGTTTCCGGTCAATAGGCGACCGAGAGCCTGTCTTCGCCTTCTCCAAGTCCTTTGTGCCTTCTCGAAAGTCCGGCATAACAACCGACAGCGTCACCTTCACCATAGCCCTAATTCAAGATCCAGTCGTGCAGTACGCCTCAGCGCGCGGCTTGACCTTGATGCGGCCCCTCTGGAAGTCCTGGTTTGACAGTACCGAGTCGCTGTTAAGCTTTCACTACTACGACTTCGCCAATGCCGCATCATTGGCATCTAATTATTCCACTCAACTGGCCGAAGATGCTTACCAGTCGGGCGCCCAGGACTATGTTGATATTGTCGCTCTTTCAGCTCGACAGGTTATGGGCGCGACAACCTTCTCTGGTACCCCGGAAGACCCAATCTTATTCCTAAAGGAGATCTCTTCCAACGGAAACTTCCAGACCATCGATGTCATCTTCCCTTCATTCCCGTTCTTCCTCTATACAAACCCGCGCTGGCTTGCGTATCTCCTGGAGCCCTTGATCGAGCACATGTTGAGCGGACAATACCCTAACAAATACGCTATGCATGATCTGGGAACGCACTTCCCCAACGCCACTGGGCATCCTGACGGGAGGGACGAGTATATGCCGGTGGAAGAGTGCGGAAATATTCTCATCATGGGTCTGGCGATTGTAAACTCGATGCTCTATGATAATGATTCCGCTGCGTCCTCCATCTGGTCAACGCAGGGTGAAGCCATGACCGTGAATGATGGAGTCTTTCCTCTAAGCGAGTTCCAAACTCTGTCGGGGATTGAGCTACAAGATGGGAAATGGGGCGGCGCCGCCACCGGCCGTAGCCAAGCTGAAGCGTGGATTCAGCGCAGCTACCGGCTTTGGAAGCAATGGACCGAGTATTTGATTGAGTACTCGCTGGAACCTGAGAGGCAGCGTAAGTGAAATCATTTTTGTCATGACACAATAGAGGCTAACATCCCCTAGTCTCTACCGATGACTTCGCCGGCTGGCTTGCGCTTCAAACAAACCTAGCTCTAAAAGGCATTATCGGCATCAACGCTATGAGTAAACTGGCTGAAATCGGCGGATACTCTGAGGACGTCGCATACTACAAGGTACATATTGATCCCATCTATCGAACAATCCAACTAACAGTCTTAGAACATCTCCGACACTTACATCACCAAGTGGGAAGAGCTCGGCATGTCTCGAGACAACACCCACGCGAAACTCTCATACAACTGGTACGGCTCCTGGACAACAATCTACAACCTCTACGCCGACGCCCAACTCTGCTTCCACCTCGAAAACACACCCCTCGACCCATCCCCACCCTCCTTCCAGCAAGAAGACACCGAACAAACCCCTCTCCACCCCACCAAACCATCCCCAAAGAAGGAAACTGCCGGCTTCGTCCCTCACCACATCTACACCAAACAGTCAAACTGGTATCACGCTGTGCGCCAGAAATACGGCCTCCCACTGGACAGCAGGCATCTGTACACAAAGACCGACTGGGAGTTCTTCGCAGTCGCCGTCGCATCGCAGCACGTCCGCGCAGAGATCCTCGAGTCCGTTGCCAAATGGGTCAACGAGACCTCCACCGACTTGCCGCTCACAGATCTCCACGAGACAGAGGGAGAGGGCGGATTCCCCGGTCCAAATTTCTATGCGCGGCCCGTTATCGGTGGCCATTTTGCGTTTTTGGCGCTGCAGAGGGCTTGTGGTGGGAAAGCAGTTGAGGGATTGAGGTTTTTGGACGAGGGTGATGAGGGGGATTCTCCTTTCGTTTCTGATGGAGTTGCGTATGATGAGGGGATTGTCAGGCAGGATCTGTGATGTTAAAGGGGTACGATGCATAGAACCTCCCGAGTATATAGGTGTGGCATTGCGATCTTGGAAGTTATGGTTCCTTGATTACTTGAGAGGCGTTGAGAGATAGCTTTGCTATTTGATGATCTCTACTCAATCACTACATGGTGACACAAGAATTCTCCCGATCTCAAAGTCGACTGCTCCGCACGTAGTGTACCCCAGATTTCAGACTGACTATGCATCGTACCGTGATCGTCCGGGGTAAGCTAAATTGAACTTGGCTACCGGTAGTCTGCTCATCGTACAGGCTAGTAGGGATCTACGTTTAGTTTACTGTGGGTGTGTTTTGAATTTCACTTTCCTATTTTTGACATTCAAATCAAAGTACATGGGGAGCCGATTTTTGTTTGAAAAAGAGACCTATATGGATATATCCCTCTCAGTCTCACCTTTGCCACACCTCATTTGCGCCCTGACATTCCTAAAAGGATGACCTGACGTGCAAGATCTGCTTCATTTCTCTGATCGTAATCCGAGTTTCCCAAAGTTCATGTAAACGTGTGGGCATTCGCGGGAAAAACGGGCGAGTTCATTTATTTGCCGCCAAGGCTGGGGAAGTTCTTCTCGTCAACGGTGACGGGGGCGGGACGCTCAGAGCGGGGTCCGTTACCACGGCCGCCACGGCCAGAGCCACGGTCACCACGGTCACCACGGCCGGCACCGCGACCACCACGGCCACCACGGCCACGGGGAGCACCACCGGAAGTGCGGGGAGCCTCAACAAAGCGCATATCAACGTCGAGGTAGTTCTTCTCCTTGCGCTGCTTGGAGCCCTTGCTCTCCTTCTCCTTGCCCTGGATGTAGGCCTCCTCGTCGTCGTTGCGCTTGAACTCCTTGGCGCTGGCCCACTTCTTGTCGGACTTAGCACCCTCGTTGGCGGCACGGACGGGCTTGGCGCTCAGGTCCTCACGGGCAGCCTTCTCGGCGAGGTAGTCGGCGAAGGACTTGGACTTGTCGGCGGGCTCCTCAGGCTCCTCGGCAGGAGTCTGGGGCTCGTTCTCATCGGCCTTAGCGATACCGTCGGCGGCCTTCTCGTCGTCCCAAGTCTTCTCACCGTCCTGGTTACCCCAGCCCTGGTTCACCTGCTTGCGGGTGTCGCTAGAGCCAAAGCGTTAGCTACTTGCCCCGAGACCAGACCTGATTACGGTCGCACAGCAGAAAGAAACTTACGCCTGGCCAGTGCGAGACTGGCGGTCACGACGGGCAGGGCGTCCACCACGGTCGAACCGGACGTTGGACTCCTTGCCGGCCTCATCGATGGTGGGCTTCTCACGGTTGTTGCGGCTGCCGGCGTTACGGTCGCGGAAGGCTAAATGACGCAATCGAGGTTAATCGGCTGCGACGGAAGGTGTAGGAGCAAGCTGGTAACATACCGGCATCGTTACCAGTAGCACGTCCACCACGGCGGGAGGTCTGTCCCTCAGGGCGAGTAGGGGCTTCCTTGGGGGCATCACGCTTGCCGTGTCGGGGAGCAGGCTTGTCTAGAGCCTTCGTGGGAGGCTCAGGGGGCTTGCTGGGGTCTAGCTCGGGATCATTTCCTGCAAAAGCGAAATAAATATCATGTTAGAAGTGTTATCCAACTCGGTATGCAGAAGAAATCGTATCCGTTTCACGCGACGGCAACCGAAGAGATAAGGAATCGTGGAGTGACGCGGGGGAGGTAGAATTACCAAGAAGCTCGTACAGGTTCTAAACGGACACCAAAAGTTAGCTTTCTCTTTTCTTATTGCTTATATGATCTTCTTCATCTCACTGCGATGAGAATGAGAAATTCAGAGACAAACGAAAGACAATTTAGGCAGAAGCTCCAAATCCCACCAATCCAAGCTTCCCACGCCAGACCATGTCTGAATCAACCCAAAAAGAGCCATATCACCCCCAAACCACACATGATACGCCTCATAATAAAGACCTCGGGCAGAACTTCCGGCTGAAAAAGCATCGCACAGCCACGTACCTTGGACCGGACGTCCGCCATGACGCCTGGGGTATGAGGGGCCTTCCGGGGGAAGGCTCTGTGTTATCGCAGCAATTCGATCCGGGGCGCGGTTTGCGATGGAGCGGAGACGAGGTGGACAGAACCTCGACGACGGGATAGTCGGTCTCACGTCTCCTTTCGGGGATGGATGGGGATGATTGAGGGAAGGGGTGACGGAGGTTTGGAGACGACGTTCCTCGTTTGTGGTTGTACTGCACGAATCGGGTAAGGTGCGGATGGTTGCTAAGCGAAGCTGCTGCAGGCTGCGCTGATTGGCCGGGAGCTTCTAGGGCTTAGGGTACTGGCGTCACCGGACCTGCAGATAACATCATAGAATCGACTTGACGGACGTTAGTCGACCGTCTGCATATCATTCAGTTTCATTGAATACGGAGTAATGCGGGTGAGATTACCAGATTTACGTCATTATTGAGAACTAGGACTTTTTGTGGCTCGTGCCCTATCTCATATTCTACAGCGTCTCAGACAGAAAGTATGCAGCCAGGCTCCGGCCATGGTCCAAATCAGCACGCCGTCACGTCAATCGCTGTGAAAAGAAGAGCTCGTAGAGTAAAATCTGGAAAGGGTGAAAACAATAGTAGATCTTGTAGCAAGAGTCGAGAGTAAGCCATAGTGCATCACATGCGAAGCGAAATCTCATCCGCCAAAACAAATAATAAGATCATTGGGTCCATCCATTTTCCTTTCCCCTTTTCCTTTCCGACAATGTATGCTGAACCAAAAGGCAAACACCAAAAACAACAGAAGCAAATGGTATCAACCACCTAACGCCGGCTAATGCTCCAAAGATCAACTTTTGTCTTATAGCCATGGACCTGCGCCATGGACGACGGTAAAGATATGAAAGAGCTGCTCTATCGGCAGGAAGTCGCAACAAATGAAGACATATAACAGAATGTATGATCGACGGGAATGGATCGAAAGTCATTGACGTGCATTACTTTGCTCGTAGCTGAATGGGGTCTGGAAATGCATGCTGGCGCTCAGTCCAAACGGGTCGGCGTCTAGCATCGGCTCGTAGTTTCCCATCATGGCATTCGTATTGCCATATGCTCCGTTGACAGCATCACCAGGAGGGTGGCTGTAAGTGTTCATACCGTGGGGATTCATGGGATGAGAGGCATTCGAAGCCGAGCTCGGTGGGTTATACCCAGAAACGAAAGGCGAAGTGCCTACGGATGATTCGTGCTCATCATCAATCATGTCCGCTTGTGCATCATATTCTTGTTCTGGGCACTGTCAGCGAGAATCCAGATGATATTCATGGTTCAACCAACCTAATTGATCATAATGTTTTTGGAATGGCGATGGGTAGTATGCAGAAGGAAGGCGAGGACCTCGAGAACCCATGGTAGCTGACGTAGCTGATTTCGGTTCGGTCGGCTCAGGTTGGCCAACGCTCATCGGTGGAGAAGTTTGGCTGATGTTTCTCGAGTGAGAAATCATTTGAGATCGCTGTGCTTGGGCGTCGACACCGGCAGGCGACAAAGCTCCCTGGAACCCATAGCCGGGGGACTTGGCGTGGGACGGTGACGAGACATGGGAGGGAGGTGTAGCTTGAAACTGAGGCGACGGGATACCGAAGCCGCCATCCCGCGACTGAGGGACACTGAAAGGTTCCTTGGGGGCAAGGCCACTGGGATGTCGCTGGGCCGAGCTTCGGCTGATCGCAGCTTGTTGCAGGGATGGGGGCTTGGTAGTGATAGGGCTGGGTTTACCTGGGCCATTGGGGGTCCCGGCCTTCAAGCGCAGTTCCGCCTGCACATCGATTCCTACGGCGCGTCAGTACACCTCAAAAAGTGAGATAGAGTAGAGATGACGCACCCTTTTCAAGGAGGATGCGTTCGAGAAGAGAGTTCTTGTAACGCAGCATCAAGCACTCATCTGCGGCAGTGCGATGATTCTGCTGCAGGGTCTGCAGGGACTCTTCATTACGCTTGATGGTGGACTCGAGCTGACGGATGTACTCTGTGCGACGCTCGCGGAAGGCCGCCTGGGCCTGGCGATTGCGCTGCTTACGCTCTTCCGAGGTTGCATAGATCTAGCGGAGGAAGTTAGATTAAGCGCAGACACAAAAAGATAAGATCGGAGAAAAGATCGAGGCTCAAGAGTTTGACAGACGAGAAAGGGCAAACATTGGCAGAAGATAAGGGATGATCAATGAAAATGATAAATGGGAAAAACAAGATGCGGGGCCCCGGACCTCCGACCAGGGTGCAAGATAAACGAATATCGTCAAGAGATAAGGCCAGCAAATGAGAGCAGCAGTAGATAAGTCGAAGGAATGCAGGAGAGATAAGTGATAAACAAAAAGAAAAAGATATAAAAAGAGACATCCACCCCTAGATGGTTCTGACGTACAGGTTTTCTTCCACCCTTTCGCTTCTGCGTCTGGGCGACGTCTTGAGTCGTCAAGACCTCTCCCTCAGGATCCGGCGTCGACACGGCTGAGCTGATCGAGCCTTCGTTTAGGGGTTCTGACTTAGCGACCGGGTCCATGGCCATGTCATTATGGTTCAAGATGGAGGCCTCGACCATAGAGACCATCTGACGCTAATGAGGGGTTTTGCCCGTTTATTCCCCCTTTGCAGAGTGACTTGGTGAATATCCCCAGACTTCCGGGACTGATGGCGTGACCGGAGGTTATTATAAATGGAAAAGAGGGGTGAGTGCCACTGCCTGCTCAGACCAGACCGGCCCGCGACAACAATACAACCGAATAGAAAAAGGAATTTTCCCCCGGCGGGGTTGAACGATGCTTTCAGAGATCAGACGCAGGAAACGCGCGGCTGGCGGCTGATCGAGATGGGGTCGTGCGAGTGACAGTCAGAGGGGCAACAAGGTTGTACTTGTGACATAAAAGAAATTGATGAGAGGAAGGGAGCGAGAGGTGTGTGGGAGTCTGGGAGGCGCTGAGAGGACAAGGAACAAGGACGGGGAAGTGGTAAAATTATTTTCTAAGCGTCCTTCGTGGAGAATGCCGTTTACCTTCAGGGCAAGAGGGGTGGGTTATCCTCAGACTCTGGATCTTCTCTTAATTAAAGCCAGGGATCTGCTGCGCTTGAATTTTCTCCTAACCGCTGCAACAATTCAAGGTTGAAGGGACATGCTTTCTTATTCTTCTTGTCCCCAATAGTATGGCTACGATATTGGCTCCGCGGTCTTGGTATTCTGTCTCCCTCTTGTCTATCGAAATGCGATGAACTCATTTTCTGGGAGTATGAGATGTTATTGGGCTACGCATTCCCCTCCCTCCCATCAAACTCGTTACGAGTCCTTACAAGGATGGCTGGCGAATTTGCGACAGCCTTCGCTTCTTTTGCTCTCGGGCACGGCACTACTAGATCCACTTCCGCTACGAAGGCAGTCAGACGCAGACTCAGACATCCAGCCGAAGATCCGCCAGACTCAGAGTCCACGGAGGCGAAGGAGCGTCAGTCGACTCAGTCGAGTCGTGGCCGCGTCGTGACCCTGGTGGCCCGTCCGCCACTGCCCCATCCAGGCAATGGGTGGGACTCGGTGCTGTCAGTCAACTCGACCATGCGATGCGATGGAACCTATGGAACGTGTGAAGAACCTTCTCCTGGCAGATTCCTGCCCTCTCCAGACTGACTTCAGCTTAAGCCGCCAGGAAAAGTGATGTATCGACTGCAACGAACTCGGTACATTGAGATCTGAAGGGGCGACGGCCGCGGAGAAGGGTGGTGGTCAGCCGCAGAGTTTTCTGTAACTGGCGATACCGGGACAGGCCACCCTATCGACGGTCGTCCAATTCTCCTCCTCTTTCCTCTCTTAGCCCATCCTCCGGCTGAACCACGCGGCACTGGCCGTACTACTCACGGTTCAGCCAGAAAGTGCTTGGTTGCTGTCGAAGAAACCATCCGTCTTCTTCTAGATACCACATTCCGTACGGAGTACTGCACCAACTCACCAAGGCATCCTCCGACAATCGCAGCTTCATCCCGGGGAATAGAATAAAAGAAGCAAACATGCAGCATCAAAGTTAAATAGTAGATGATGCAAGCCAGTTGGCCGATCGGCGAGGGCCGTCTGGGGCATTCTCCATATTATTGTGCTGTAAGCCTGTAACCTGTTGCCCTGTCCAGGAGGTATAGGAGAGCTCCGATCCAACTATCCTCCTCTCTGACACCGGCGATTCGGCGAAGTCCAACAACAAAAAGCAATATCCCATCACGCGGACAGCCTCATTAAGCATAGCTACTAGTCTACATCATCCCGATGTCATCGATGAGTGATCAATGGTCTGTTCTCGCTGCCTAGCCTGGACTTTTATGCCCTATGCAGCATGCTTGACCGGGGGAAGATTCTATGGCCAATCCGGCGAGCCGACGACTCATGCCCCGGATTCGTTAAATCGAGATCAGATCTCATTATAGTAGCTATAGGCGCCCGTATAATGGTTAGATTTGATTCAATCAATAAAGATGAAGTTGGAGAAGTGAAAGTCGAGGGCAAGATGGTTCGGTCGAAAGCAACCGCGGCTGTCTCGGTTCCCCGCCAAATCTACTGCTGGTTCACATGAAGTGATCCCGACAATCGACAAATTCAACTAGTTCAGTTGAGGATATCTAGCACCTGCATTCTTTTATTCTACAGTCTATTAGGCTCGTCGACCGGACTATTACCACTGCCGCTGATTTGTCGTCTGCGCGCTTAATCGGTCCCTCGTTCGCCATGGCATCATTCGCATCTCCTGCCGCGGGCGACTCACAATCTACCCCTAAACAGACCTCGCAGCAGACAACTACAACAGTACAACCAGATACGAAACCACAAGAGCCGACTACAGCCCCCGTCTCAACGGACGCGCCGAAACCTGACCCTGCACAGCAACAGCCCAAGCAATCAACGGACGACGACGGCGACGATGATTCGGACTTCGACGATCTGGACGGTGAGCCTACGAAAGACATTTAGCAGTTCAAATCTACGGATACATGGCCAGTAGCTAACTATGCTTCCGAATATAGAGGTCCTCGACGACTTCAAACCGAAATCCCAAGCAGACACCCCCGCACCGCAACTCCCCACCGGCGCCTCCGACCCCTCCGACTTCGACGAGTCCGCCTTCATGAGCCAGCTCGAGAAAGACATGGCTAGGATGATGGGCCAAGCAGCGCAACAATCTGGCGTCTCGGACTCCACGGGCTTCGAGGACACCATCAACCAGGGCGCGGACGAATTCACGAAACAACTAGAGGAGAGCGGGATCGCGCCGGGCGATTTCATCAAGCAGCTTTTGGCGGATGTTATGGCGGAGGAGGAGGATGGGAAGGGCCAGTCGTCAGGGTCGCCCTCGACGTCGGCATCAGGGGCAGCAGCAGCAGGAAGCGCATCTGGCGCGGGCGCGGAATCGTTCAACGATGCAATCCAACAAACAATAAACCGGATAAAAGAATCCGGCGATAAGGCAACGGCTGCCGCATCGGAAGATAATACGGATGATCTCATTGCGCAACTTCTCAAAGCCATGGAGGCCGGTGGCGACGGGTCCGGTGGTGACGAAGGCGACCTGACCAAGATCTTTATGGGGATGATGGAACAACTATCGAATAAAGACATGCTCTACGAGCCGATGAAGGAATTGGACACGAAGTTCGGCCCCTGGATCCAGGAGAACAGGGGCAAGGGCAAGGTCGCCGAGGCTGATATGGAGCGGTATGAGAAACAGGCGGAACTAGTAGCGGCGATTGTGAAGAAGTTTGAGGAGCCGGGATACACAGATGAGGATGCGAAGTGTCGCGAGTATGTGTGGGAGAAAATGCAGGCTGTACGTCCCCTATCCATATCATTACCGACTTGGTGAGATGAAGAGGCTTTATGCTAACAACGAACAACAGATGCAAGCAGCCGGAAACCCACCAGACGAGCTCGTCGCTAATCCCTGGATGGATGACCTCAAAGGCGGCGGGGGTATGCCTGATTGTCCGCAGCAATGATATACGTCTCTCATATAGTAACATATCATACCCATTTCAAACGATCTGCTGTTCCGTCTTCTCCCGTTCGTCTAAACTCACATTCGAGCATATTCTGCTTGGGCTCATGACATCACATACGACTGTCCGGTTTGAGTCAAGCATGGAACTTTTGTACATATACTTTCTTACGTGAGGGTACCGTGTTTGGTATCCTTCATTAATCTCTTCTATGCTTCGAAGATGCAATTGCTTTGGCGAACCATAATCAGTATGTACCCTGCAAGTTATGTACTCAAACAGTCAATAGAAGAAGGTATCAAACAGCCTTGATCCAGCTGAACACCAGCATTCCGAAACCCAAACGCCAATGCTAGCCCCAACACCGAAATGAGTTGACCACCATGCAATGTTCAGACCCGTCTGCGCAAGAGAGAAAAACCACCCCATAGTATGTACGCACTCCTCAATCAGACATATCCATGTCCTCAGAAGGACCGTGATCTACCAAATCCATGAAAATATCGTCGTACTCATCGTCGCTGAATGATGAGCCCTTGTCGTTCCGCCTTTGTCCGGTGCCGTTCGGCTGATGTCCAGCACTCCCGACTGTACTATTGCCCTCCACGCCCTCAAGCAGCGCCATCTCCATAGCGCGTTCTTGCTCGATGTACTCGTCCAACGCCTGAATTTCTGCTTCATCCACTAGATCTGTATCTTATCATTAGCCATTTCCTTCTACCTAGTAGTAAATGCAAAAGGGGAAGAGAACATGAACATACCCGCGTCCAGATCCTCATCTCCCTCCTCAATATCCAGTCCATACCGGGTCTGAATCTCCTCTGCCCTCCTCTTCATCGCTTCCCTCCACTCTTTCTGCTCCGCGATATCCTCCATGTACGCCAACTGCTCGGCGCGGGCCTCAACGCGCCCATCGTCGCGGGCCTGCTTGACGCGGTTGAGGAACGCGTTCCGCCGGACAGAACGCGCGCGCGGCGATGTTGATGATGTGTAGGCGCGTTTCGAGGAGTGCGACAGGAGCGGATTGGAGATGGTGTTTTTGTAACGGGTCGCGTAGGAAGATGTGGTTGGGGTTGGTGAGGTGGCAGTGGCGTTGACGTGAGGGGTTCGTGAGGGTGAGGTGGCTTCGAATTTGTTCTGCGCTGGCGAGGGCGAGGGCGTAAATGTGAAGAAGGGCGCGGATTGGAATTGTGGTTGAGGTGCTGGCGTTGTGGTTTTGAACATCGCCGCGGACGAGTTGCTGCGCGGGGAGAGCGGCGACGAACGCGCGGGTGTCCAGGGGTAGTTGGAGGGGTTGTTGGGGATAGATTGCATTGGTGACAGTGCGGCGAACATGGCGGTTGCTTGGAGAGGAGCTGGAGCTATTTTGTTTATCTTTCTTCCCAGGTTTGAGGTGTGGAGGTGGAGGTTAGCGGGTCGGCTTCGGAGTTGCGCGATCGATTAGAGCAGTCTGGACCCGCAGAAATATAGAGTGAATTTAGGATTATGAGATACCGATTGCGCTGGATTCAGTGAGACCAATTTGCTGTACTACAGCCTCAAAAGGTAGGAAGGACGGGGTAAAGTAGTAGAGTCTAGAGGGCGACGCTGTCGCGGGTGGCTGGGCTTTGGATAGCGCGTTCTGACTTCTGATAGAATACCGTACGCGCTGCCACGTGTACGCTAAACTAGACTAGGATATATTACATTCCTCAGGCCGCAAGGCAGAAAATCCATTAAGTATAGAACTGGCTCTCGCTGTTAAAGATCGCAGATTAGATCATACTCCGAATCGTACGGAATAGTGGTCTGAGATACTAGCACCGGCTCTGCGTCTGTTGAGTCTGGCTCAATAGAGTTTGCTGCCGTTTTGTCCGCCTCAGTCGACACGGATTCTGCTGTACCTGTTCCAGCCGTGTTTGATTCAGCTGCGCCGGCTCCCGATGTGTCTGATGAGTCCGTCGCGTCTATGCTGGCTGTATTGGAGTTCGCTGTATCCGATGCTCCTTCTGTCTTTGCGTCCTCCGACTCTGCTGCGTCTGAAACAGCTACTGTTGCTGTATTTGACTCTGAACTGATAGAGTCCTCTGCGTCCGACCCTGCTGCATCCGATTCGAGCGTGTACATGTCTGCTTTGTCTGAGTCTGCGCTTGCTGAGCCTGTGCTTGAGCCTGCGGTTTCTGAGCCCGCGTCTGAGTCTGCTGTATCTGATGAAGTCTCTGACGCGTCCGTGTCTATTTCCGTTGCAGCAGCGGAGTCAGCTGAGCCAGCGTTCACAGAAACACTTCCATCTGCCACCGCCGGCGGATCGGCTATACAATCATCTATCATCCGTAGATTTAGAACGCCGCGTTCGAGTGAATACCGAGGCTGGCAAGGAGGCGGTCTTACCTTGCTGGCTCTGGCATTCTTCTAAGGTAAAAGATGCCGAGCTATCAGTATTGGCAATCTGGTGAAGGCGTTTGTCAGATTGGGTTGATCCCAGCTGAAAATGGTATGTATGATACTTACTAGCTGGCAATTATCGAATTGGATGTTGCAACTTGTGGCAAGATGTTAGCTAGTCTAGTCTTTCAATGCCATGCATGGCAAGGCAGATTCAGCGTAGAGTATACCTCCTCTGAGCTGCAGAGTCGTAGTCCGTCTGTTATGGCACCCCAGTCAATGTATAGTTCTTTTCGCAGAAGGAATCATGCATGTAGCGATGAAGCTACATGCTCAGCCAATTCCAGGACTCACAAACGTATTTCCGTCTACCTCATAGGGCCGTTCAGAATCACCAGTCTCAGTGATCTGGACTACATCAGCATTCTCATCGCGACCTCACATAGACTAGGCGAAACGTACCGCTGGAGTATCACCACCCAAAGTCCCCGTCTGGACCGTACATGACAATTAGCTTAGAGACGTTCCCGATGTGCACACTGTATGATAGTGAAGGATCCTGGGAGATGAGAGATGCAAACATACGCGCCGAACTAAATGAGCATCCGCGACTTCATACTTGATCCCCAATGGATCGAATGCCAGTGCTAGAAACGTAGAGGTGACGCATAGGTGTGCAACGACACGGAGCGTTGAATGCGTGGCCATTGCTTTCGAGTCTCGAGTCGCAGGATCTCCACTGCCCTTTGGTTTTAAGACTGCGTAACGTGGACGGCTCGATTGGTGGGCAGTGCCTGACTGGGAGCGACTTGATTATGAGTTGTTTATGTGGGAGGCGCCTAGCCCTGAAATGCAGGAATAAGGAGAGGGGTGGCTTGATGGCGACCTTAGGTTCCTGCGTCAACGCCATTTTGAACAGCGATAGGCTGCAACATGATAGGTCTTTGCCAGGGTAGTGAATCCTGCATGTCTGGAGTCTGGACTCTCGAGCGGGGAATCGCTTCATGTTTCATGATTGAGAGACCCTGGTCTGCTTTGGGCTGGGCGCTTATTAGTCTGGATCTAGTTTTATGGTCTACGAAGAACGATGGGATACGAAAATGGTAAAGAAAAGTTGAACATGCTAGAGTATTTCTGTCGAGATTAGATACATACGTAGACTCAATTAGAGTATATGCTTTTCTACCTGAACGTAGCGAGCCACGGCGCTGCTGGTCCAAGTTGTGAAAAAAAGAAGAACGAGGCACAAGATACATAGCTCACGAAATCTTCAAATAAGGGGATGCTTCGAGGGGGGAATCAAGATGGTGACCAACCATAAATGCTAAGCAAAATCGAAAGAGAAAAGAGTGGTCTTGTAAAGGAGCGACGTGGTCTATAGGTTGAAAGTGAAACAGCTGAAGAACGAGCAGAATAAACAGAGAAAACGGGCTGCGAACAAATCCAGCAATCCTTTGCCCAAGCGCCAAGTGTTAACTGCGTTATAATCGTACAGACTTTATACAAGTCGATAGGTATATGAGCCTGGAGAATCTCCGATTCTGTGACAGTGTCCAGCTCAGTTTAAAAGTTCGACGCAGCATTGACAGGGCCAGGGTTGTGGTACTGGTCGAGCGTAGACCGGAAGGGCGTGCCACCGGAAGGGCTTGGGGCCTTCTCACGAACACCAGAGCCGACCGCAGTCCCGCTCATGAGATCGGCAGCATCGTCATCTGCAGCAGCCCGTCTACGCGCACGGATTCTCCAGGCAACCACTCCAATCGCACCGATCAAGATGGCACCACCGACACCAACGACAACACCAATGATGATCTTCTTCTGGTTGGAGTCCAGACCAGAGTCGGAATCATCAGAAGATCCGCTCAAGCCAGGAGACTCTGTGGATTCACTTGACGTAGTTGCTGTGCTAGTATACGTGGTAGCAACCGGAGTTCCATCGATCGTTTGTGTGGTGGTGACGACGGTAGTGGAGTAAACGGGAGTGCGTGTAGTTGAGGTATCATCGTCCGAAGAGCTCGTAGTAGTGGTGTCCGAGTCGGTAGATGATGTGGTGGATGTGGGGTCAGAGTCGGAGTTAGTGGTCGTTGCAGTAGGTTCAGGGTCCGAGGTGGTTGTGGATGAGGATGAGGAGGTAGTGGTGGTACTGGTGTCATCGGTCTCGGACGAGCTTGTTGAAGTCGAAGTTGTGGTTGGCTCTGTGGTGCTCGTCGCGGTCGAAGTATCCTCAGATGTAGAGGTCTCAGTGTCAGATTCGGTGTCTGACGAGGATGTCTCGGTGGGCGTTGTAACAGCGTCGGTGATGCTCGTAACGGCATCTGTTACCTGGGTGCTCTGGCCTGCTACCACAGCCACAAGGGACAGGGAGTAGAGAAAGAACGGGAGAGCAGTAACGCGCATGATGGGCAATTAAGACGCTGCGGTCGAGAGTTAAAGATGGCAACGGTCGTGGACGAGAGCCGTCTAGTCTGCTGTGTGTTTGAGCCTGAGGCTGACGAGCACCCTTCAGGAGAAGTGCGGGTGGCGAAGCTGAAGATGTAACGAGGGTACTCCAAGGCCTAGGTGTGAGTGAGGCAAGGGAGAAAGGGGGTCTTTAACGAGCGACTACCGCCTTGATGGGGAAACAGGGAGGCGATAATAACAGCGATGAAGGTTGTAGGAAAAGATCGTGGGTGGTGAGGTGGGCGAGGGAAATGGATAAAGAGCTGAGAGCGGGAGAGTCACCCGGCCACGGTCGTCTGGCAAAAATCTAACCGTAAGTGGATTAGGCCAGTTCCCCGTAAAGAAAATTAATGGGCAAAGGCCGCACGACATACGGAGTAGAGCCAAGCGGGCCCTCTTTTTGGCCTCCAGTGAGACACTCCTGATTTTAGTGGCAGTGCTGCATAAGAGTTTGTCAGCTGTCACGGACAAGGACGATGCGAATCTTCCTCGCTGCAACGGTTCCATCTACATGAAGATGGCAAGAGCATCCGTAGAAGATCACAGAATCACCACCTCTAGACTAGGCAATGAGGCGAAACTGCAGGTGATGCCGGTTAAACCTAAGGTGTGCTTCGAAGGATGTTGTGATCCTTTGGTACTATTTTAAGTAGCGCTCCGTGGTTAGAAAGAAAATTAAGGCACGCAGGCCTCTGATTTGCTCTCCTCAGTCTGGGATTACCCAAACCTCGCAAGCGTTGCATTTTGTGGAACATCATTTGACGTCTACGGTCTACCGTCTGGGTGTCCCTGGCAATAAGAATATCTAATTGCGCAAGATCCACAGTCGAGACCCTCGAAGGCGTCCTGCTGTCAAGGGTCTGCGTGAAGCGATGCTAAATGCTCGTTCCAACGGCGGCATAACCTGCAAGGCACCCGGACACGTATCTGACAAATGTTGCAGAATTCCATGATCGGTAGACCCAAGAGGGACGGTTCTCTTAGATTGATCGGCGTGCCGTTGCAGCCGGTTCTTTCGAACTATGGGAACGCTAGAGCGCACTTTCGGGTCTAACTCTGAGACCTGACCCGTGAAAGGGATTTGAACAATAATAATGCATACATTATGGACAATGCGGTCAGGATCCAGCCGACTACTACCACTTTCTCCTCAACACAAACATCATCTCGCGTTTGTGAGTGCTTAACAGGATGTCCGTATCTGCAAACCGTACATATTGACTGTTATCGACTATCGTAACCCGTATTTATTGCACGTATCCTCTTGACACTCGCAAGTTGCCAAGTTCACGCACCATTTACCGCATGTACGAAGAACTGAATGGGTACCAGTAGTCCAGTACCTCCATCAAGCACCAGGAATGTCCAGTAATGGCGCGCTGATCAGCAAACAGGCGCCAATGTAAACCTCGTCCTCCAATCAGGTACCATCAAGCTCTTTTGTGTTCCAGAAAAGATAGCCGCTCCGCTGGATGCTGGGACGGAGCACAGGGTTTCGGTCCGTTCGATTTTTCGTTCATGTGACATGTGCACAAAGTGACCCGCTTGTCGAATTCTGGAATTGGAACTAGTACGTGGCGTAGGGCTGGCGGATTGCGGACAAAATGATGGATATTTTTGATGGAGTATGGAGTATGGTCACCAGGGGAAGTGAGGTATGCTGTACGAATGCCGTATAGCCGGTGGAAACTCAGTACCGGGGGGATGGATGATGCTGCCATGACGCATTGCCAACTTTAGTCCGCACGTCGCACGACGCTGTTTATAAGGCCGTGCACCGATACTGTCCAGGCAGCTTGCTGGCCGACAGCAGACCTCGCGGCGGCTTCGAAGGTCCGTCGAACCTGTTGGACAAGACCACAAGTCGTCACTTGGTTGGGACTTCGAAACGACCGACCCGGCTGAGACGACTGCCAAATATGTTCCTAATCTGCATGCATCTTCCGATCCTATCTTAAAGCTGTCGAGAGGGAGCAAACTGTATTGCGGGCCTTTATGGAGGCAGGGTATCGTAAAGCAAAAGGAAAAACATTATTGTGCCATCGGCAAGGCGTTGCGGACGGCCTTATTCACCTTTTGGTGGCCTCTTCCCCTTCAGTTGTTCTTTGATCTCTTCCTTGAAGTGTTGGAGAAACTGCTTTGCGGGACCTGGAGCTGAGTACCTAGATCAGCAGTCTTATCTGGCAAGTGTTATACTGTGCAGCCATACCAGGAGTGTCTATGTTAGTACCGCCCATCTCTTCTGGCGCGCCGTGTCTCAACCGTTGCACTCTGCCATGGATTCTTCCTACTGCGCGGTGGAACGTGGGGCTCTTTAGCAGCTGAGGGTAGATCAGTATCAAAATCGAAGTTAGAGCCCTTAGGAGGGAATGCGCATACCTGGGCCGTCAGCCAGACCTATATCAGATAGATACATTGTCAGCCATGTTCTCCGTGGTCTGAGGAGGATTGCCTTGAAGCATCCGGGTTACCAACTCACTTCGACCAGTGCCCACGGTGAGAAACGCATCTAGAAGTAACCGGTATTGACTCAAGCTGGGAGCAGCAAGTATTCAAACGATTAGGGTTCGCGAGGGAGTCAGAGGGCGATTGCCACTTTGCGATGTAGAACTAGGCCGCGGTCAAGTTGCGGAGGTGGTTGTGAAGACTCGAGGGTTTGTCAGCGTCAATGTCAAACCAAGCCAATCAGGATTCTGCATAGTATAAGCCGTGTACACAAAATATTTCCCGTCTGTCTGCATAATCCTAGCATCTCAGACCTCGCTTTGTTCTACAGAAGTCATTGTTTTTCAGACAAACTACTGTGTGAGTTTGAAACAAGCTTATTCTGAATATAGTTATTCCGTATCTACATATTGTATAGTAGAAATTGGCATTTTCCGTGTCTATAAGGGCTGCCAAATTACATCACTGCTTAGCCTCATGATCAGCATTATTGAGACACTGACGATCTTGATAATGATAGACAATAACCTTCTAAAGATGAAGCCCTGTTTGCCTCCTTAGTTTGCGGATGCTGCTTCTCCGTGGTTGGTCAAATATATTTCTTCCTGCCTGTTTTTTCCTATATAGAAGTTGCAACCGGCTACTCCTCCACCATCTACCCTTATCCAATCTTAACCTTCAGGTAAAATCAATCTACCGTCCACCAACCGCGGGGTGTCGCGTGCCGTGCGAGATTTCTTTTAAGCATAATTTTGCCGGGCCACTCATTTGACTTGCAGCGAACTGCTGCCCTGGCGCTCGCCGTGGACGTGCACGACTTCCCCGCTACGACGACCTATAACGCCGACAATATTATCCGGACGAAATTCAAACCTCTAAGTGGCCTTGCCCCTGTGCGATCCAAAAATCTGGCCGGGCAAATCACGCCGAGGAGCAGCTTCCACAGCTGTCTCGATTTATCGACGCTACAGATATCATCCCTGCCACAACCCCCCAACGGCGCCGCTGACGATCGGCCGGGCGCTTCGGAGGGGCAGTCTCTCACAGCTCCAGCATCCCGCTCTCGATCTCCCGATACCCTCAGTTTCCGCAGCGATTCTAGGAAGCTTGCCTCGAGAAGGAAGCGGGTCTCTCGAAAGGCGCGCGGCGTCCTGGGCAAGGTTCGTGCCTTCCAGAGGATCGCTGCCGCCAAGATGGCGCATCCCACCATCAAAATCGATACCAGTGTCCAGGCCACCAAGCGTTCGCATCCGGATAACGAGGAGGGAGCTGGGATGGTAGATGGATCGGAGGATGACAACCCGGAGCTCGAGATGGGGGATAATGAACTGGTCCCGCCGTTTCTGCGCCAGTCGGTGCTAGGTAGGTTTGCTTTTGGCACATGCTTCTGCGATCATGAACCCTATGGGCTAATAATTCTCTCTCCATCTAGATATCCGTCATAAGTTTGAAGAGCTGGAATACATGCAAGGTACTCGTATAATGGAGGGGTCGCGGGCGAACGACCCCTCGCATCGTTGGGCGCTGGATGCGAATCCCGAAGTCAGGGCCAGGAACCGATATGCGAACGTGCAGGCGTGGGCGAATTCCCGCATACGTCTCCGGGTACCTGAAGGCGAATGTGATTTCATAAACGCATCTCCAATCTTTCTCAAAGACTCAGTCTCTGAGGAGGAAAGGAAATACATTGCAACACAGGTATGTCTGCGCTGCAGGTCTGGCATCGAAGAGGAATGCTAAATATGTACAGGGACCCAGACTTGACGACCTTTACCATTTTTGGCATATGGTCTTCCACGAAACTGAAGATGTAGCGGTGATTGTCATGCTTACGCAAACTATGGAAGCAGGCCGTGAAAAGTGCTCACAGTACTTCCCACTCGACCTGGAAAATCCGACGATGTCTCTGCGGCAGGACAAAGGCGACCCCTGCGTGGAGGGCGACGACGAGGAGTCGGAAGACGGAGACGCGCTTGGTCAAATTACACTCCTGGAAAGTATTTGGAACCCAGAATGTCGATCCGAGATTCGACAACTCCAGCTTACATTCGGCTCTGAAACCAAAGTCGTGTGGCACTTTCTGTTTGCGGGCTGGGCAGATTATTCCAAACCCGTTGGCGAAGACCGTGATGCGCTCCTTCGTCTGATAGAGCTGTCGGCCACTAAAGCTTCCTCTCCACAGAATCCGCGGATCGTTCACTGCAGCGCTGGGGTGGGCCGGACGGGTACCTTTATTGCGCTTGACCATCTTTTGCAGGAACTCGAATCAGGCGAACTATTGAAGGTCACCGATGAAGAAACAGACCCAGTATTCGAGGCGGTGAACCTGATGCGCGAACAACGAATGATGATGGTCTATAATGAGATGCAGCTGATCTTCATATACGAAGTCTTGCGCGAGCAAGCCGACCTCATCCTAGAAAAGACCTACGGCATCAGCCGGCAGCAGTCGGGTTCTAGGTCCGCCAAAATCGCCAAATTATCCGAAGAGGATTATCTGCCTGCTTCCAAACCCGAGTTAGAGGTTGCGGGGGACCATTCTAACGCCGGCTCCCCAGAACAGTCTGATGATGAGTGAACCCCATGACTGTCTGCCTGTCCTGGTTGATACTTCCTATTTGATGCCCCTGACGTACTTTTTATATCCTTTCTATTCATTATTATGACTAGCCATGATTCTCTTACTTGCATAAACTGTCTTGGCCCTTCTCTTTGACGCCCGTCCTCGCATAATTCGCTATTCTGTTTGTTTATCATGAATGTAACTGCGACCCCGGTCTGATATGTTCCACCTTCTTGCGAGTCTCCGCATTGCTTCTGTGATTCTTAGATCTACTTGTATCTGTTTCTTCTTCAGCTACGGAGTACCTAGCCCTAGCTTTAGAATTGGTGTATCATACTTGGTTGAATGATTATGGTGACTTTGGGTGAGCGGCACTTACCTAAATCTGTCCATTTACATGATGCCTATCTAGGTGTCGAGTTGTGGTCTGGACAAGCTTCTTCTTGCGAGAATCCTGAGTACTGCAAACACAAAGCACACAATACGTGCAATGCGGAATTGATTTTGTTATTAAGGAATCAGAAACACAATAGACTTCCATCCTAATTGTCTTCTGCGAATTTGTTTCTCGTAAAACTTGCTGGGGGGCTGGGCAGGTTAAAGGGCGTAGCTTGATATGTATCTGTCACACCACCTCGATCCTACTACTCCGTAGAACCACAGACTCAACACTCGTACTATGATCCAATAACTCCTAACTAGTGTTCTCGCCAATTAGTGATCCGGTCTGAAGAGCTGACTGAATGAATATACACAGAGAGACTAGGGGGCATGAGATTAGGGCATAAAACGCCGTTTTGAGACCTATTTACACGCTGGAAAGTCATATAGATTATGGCAACGAAAATCAAATCCAATATACAAAGACCCAACCCCGCAAATAGTATGAAGTCTCTGTAGAGAGTACCGGAGAGTCATATCAAATAAGCTAAGTCATAACAAGAGTCCGTAGCGTTTCTTCGTCATCGTCAGCGTAGTAGGATAGGTAGAGATCAGATATTAAATAAGGCGAGAGATGGCGTATGGCGCACTGTGAGCAGAGTCATTGTGAGAAACAATGGTCGCTTCAGTTTGACCACAATGGCGGAGCTTGGGGTGGCGACGATTCATGGAAAGTACCTGTTCATTTCCCCCCAAAGAGCCTTTCTACACGGCCTAACCCCGAACAGCACGAGGAGAGGTGCGTAATGAAGTATGGGGCAGCAGAAGGAGCTTCGACGACCGACTTAGTCGCTCCTCTTCCCTCCTTCTATGGGACCCTTATGATCCTTGTCTCCAGAGGTTGCCCCAGTCAGAGCATTACTGGGATCATCGCCATCCTCCGTATCCCAATTATCCACCGCATTCTCATCCCAGTTATCAACCTCTTGCTCTAGGTTGATCACGCCGGATTCCTGCGGCTCTAGCCCCTCTCCTTCACGGTGGCCTAGCTCGACATCGTCATCGCCTCCCTCGCCCAGAGACCCGAAGCGGGATTTGCGCCGCCGCTCCAGCATCCGCCGGTGGTACCAGCTGCATAGCCCGACTGCGCCGAGACTTCCAACAATGTTGGCTAGCAGGTCAAATGGGTCAAAAGATCGGCCGTTGGGGAGGATGCCCTGGAGAATCTCGGATCCGACTCCGAGGGCGAGAGTGCAGACGACCAAGGTTAGGTGGAGGGTACGTCGGCGGGACGTGTCGGGGATCCAGTAGAAGATGAGAGAGAGCAGGAAGAAAGTGACGACGTGGAGGAGCTTGTCATTTGGTTGAAGATTGGGAGGAACGGAGGGCGATTCGCTGTGCGGTAGGAGACCTATGTAGGCAGATAGAATGAGCAGGAAGACGAAGGCGCCTGTAAATAAGCAATTAGTATGAATCTACTGCTGGTATCCGACGGCGCTGACGGATGTAGGTAGCCGTAGTACGGTCGCAAGGATCAATGATTGGAAGAAACATACCTGCAAAAGGATACCGAATTCGCATGATGGAGACAGGTTCTATGGTTGTCGCGGAGGACAATGAGGACAGCCTGGGCGGCTTGAAGCTTTGATGCTTGCCTGATGGTTCACGTCATGTGCATTTATACAGAGTTGAATAAGATCATATGAATAATTATGAAGGCTCCAACCCCATTCATAAGGTAACACCGGTCTCAATGACAATGGATCAGCAGTGTCAGGACCAGTATCTCAGTATAGCCGGCTTCCTGGAAGTATAATAGGAACAGAAAGACAATCGATCACCTCAATCTGCGCCTGTTCTGGTGTTCTGGGGTGCCCTTCAAAAACTGCACGGTTGGTCTAAAACTGCGGCGACCGTCCTTGCTGCTCACGGCTCCGACCTGACTTCACCTCACCCGTTCGCGCAGAGAACCTACAGAGGGTCGCGACTTTGCCATCCAAATACTCGCCCATTCCATCCTCTGGGGCTCTGGAAACATCGTCCTTCGTTTCTCTGTACCCTGTACTCTATATCTATGTATTTTTATACCACCCGGACACTGTCGTTATCGCCTAGCCGAACCTGATCCTAACCGTGGAGAAACGAGCCCCCTCGCCCGCCCCAGAACCGGGGTTTAGGAGCGAGCATGTCGCTCGGACACCACAACGCCTGGCTCCCCCCGGGCCATGTCCGGCCTCCCGACGACCTCCCTGATGCGCGAACATTCAATGGCTATTCAAAACATTTTCTCGGCTCCAGAACACCCCAAATGCGCGGCTCGATCGACGCCGACGGTCCTCACGCGGGCAATTCGATATCGGAGGCCGATACAGCTTCGGAAGAAGATCCAAGCATCGCTTTGTTTCGCGACTTGTATAATCGCACCGAGGCGAAAATAAACGGCTTGTTCTCGGGTGAAAAGTTACCGGAGGACACTTCCGATGATGTTGTCGCCGGCCTCGACGGGGCTGAAGTTCAGGACAAACGCGCCGACGAACCAGCACCGCCCCCACCCCCTAAGAAACCTGCACGGAACCTTGACGATGATGACTACGATGACTATGACGATGACGAGGAGGACGATGTGAAGCCCGCATCGCCGCCTTCGTCGAAGGTCTCGGCCACTGTCCAGCAATCAACTGCCATGCCGTCGCCAGGTCGCCCACCTAGCATCTCGGTGTCTGCAGCCGGGGAAGGCGCAAAAGAGACGAAGAAAGAAAGCTTGGAAGATATCCGGAAGAAGCTAGAGGAAGATAAAAAGGCCACAGAGGAGGCGGCCAAAAGAAGCTTCCATACCCTATTTTATACGCTGGAGAATGATAGAGACGCAATGTTGGATCAACAGCGCTTGGAAGAGTCCGAAAGACAAGTCGAGGCTGAGATGTCCGGCCAGCCAAATGCCGGTAATAATGCAGCAACGGGTCCAAGCGGTTATGGCTCCTTGAGTAGTGCCAATCTCGGCGCGTCAAGCTTGACCCTGAAAAACCTCATCGCAAGGATTGACATGAAGCGTAACATGGTACAAGCTTCCGATGCGGAGCTTCGCAGCCTAATGAGCGAAGTTCGCAAGAATCGAAGCAAATGGGCCAGTGAAGACAAGATTGGCCAGGAAGAGCTATATGAAGCCGCGGAGAAAGTACTCAGCGAATTGAAGGCGATGACTGAGCATTCGTCTGCTTTCCTGACCCGTGTTAATAAGCGTGATGCCCCTGATTATTATAACGGTAAGGTTGCCCTTTTTTTCCAGTTGACCTTCAACACTGACACTGTATTTAGTGATTAAACACCCAATGGATCTTGGGACAATGACAAAGAAGCTAAAAGCTCTTCAATATAAATCGAAGCAAGACTTTGTAGATGACCTCAACCTCATCTGGTCTAATTGCTTCAAGTACAACACGAATCCAGAGCATTTCCTCCGGAAACACGCCATGTACATGAAGAAGGAAACGGAGAAGCTGGTGCCCCTCATTCCTGAGATCGTTATCCGAGATCGTGCCGAAGTGGAGGCGGAAGAACGACGGCTCCAACTTGCTGATGATGGTGGGGATGAAAGCGACGATGAGCCTATCATGTCATCAAGAGGCCGAAAAGCGCCAGGGAAATCATCCAAGAAGGGGGCTGCTCCAGCTTCCAAAACCCCAAGCGGCTCTGAACCTCCTGCTGGCTCTGCCTCACAGCCATCGGCACCTGTGCGCTCCGACTCTGACGTTGCCATGGAAGGTATTCAGAATGGATTCGCAACACCACCTCCTGGCACATCAACGCCATCGGACCCTGCTGGTGCCGTTCCCGGAACCTCGGGACAGGATGAAAGCATGGATCTTGATGGCCTAGTGACGCCGCCTACTGCACTCAGCGCCTTGGCTACGCCCGGCGTAGAACTTGCCGATCCTGAGTATAAAGTTTGGAAGCAAGTCACAAAGAAAGACCGAGCGCTTATCGCTGCAGAGAGACATCGTCTTTTCAAAGGCGACAAGCTGAACTCCGACGAACCGGCTCTACTCCGCACCAAGGCGGGTATGAAGAGGTGGCTCAGGAGCCAGCAGCAGGTCTCTACGGACCGAGATAACCCGAACGAAGCTGGCTCGAAAACACTAGGGCCGAATGCCGCCAGCGAAACGCTTGCTGAGGGTATTGAGGTTGAAGAGGATAGAGTAATTCCTGACTATTACGATGTCATGTCTGGTATCCCGGATCTTCCTTCCCATCTGCTATGGAGAGAAGACAGCGAGGGGAACCTAGTGGATAACTCGGAGGAGTTTCTACGGATCCTTCCCAAGGGAGCGTTTATGCAGCCGGATAGCAAACTTTCCCGCAAGATGGATGCAAACATGAGGCAGATGCAGGAGACCAGGAAGATTTGCTCGAAGATCGGTATAGTTAAGCAGATGCAACTGCAGTCTCAGGTACGGCTCCATGATACGTGAGAACCCAGTCAAGCTAATTTTTTCACAGATGTACCAAAACCAATTTCAAAAGTATCAGCCCGAGCCATTTGTTGAACAGGATGTCGAGCCTCATGTTATGAATGACGACGGACCTATTATTGCGCCCTGGGTCTGCAAGGCAGCACTGCAGCGTTCTGTTGCCAAGGTCTTCTACCATACCGGGTTTGAGGAGTATCAGCCTTCAGCTATCGATGCCGCGACGGATATGGCCTCGGACTTTTTCATCAAGATCGGAGAGACTCTGAAGTCTTACATGGAAGCGCCAAAAGTCCCCATTTCAGACTCGGTAGAAGCGAATGCCCACCCGCAATGGAAGCGGGCCTACACCGAGCCAGAGATGATGCTTCACACGCTTTCCTCTGTAGGGATTGACATTGAGGGCTTGGAGTCGTATATCAAGGACGACGTTGACCGCCTGGGCACGAAACTTGTGACTGCGCATGATCGCCTACGCTCACTTCTTTCCGAACTCCTCCGCCCTGTCTTGCAAGATGGTGGCGAAGACGGCTCTATGGCGTTCGCAGATGGCAGTGAACAATTCGTCGGCGGCGACTTTGCTGAAGACATCGACGAAGACTTCTTTGGTTTCAAGGAGCTGGGGCTGGACAAGGAGTTTGGATTGGCCACTCTTAGCGTGCCATTGCATCTTCTGCAGAACAGGATGTACAACGCGGCGCAGTCGCAGAACACCAAGTAAGTTATCTGGTTCCCCTAACTAGTTCCCAATGCTGACCAATACCCCCGCAGTACCTCCCAATCCGTCACGGTATTCGCGCCTCCTCCGGCCTACTCGCGCATCACGACCGAAACGTTAGCTTCCCAGATCGGGTTGGTTCAAGCATTCTTCAACGCCAAACTACAAGCGCGCAACAATGAGCCGCTGGTGGAGGACCTCGAACTACCGCCAAAGCAAAGACCAATGGCTGGCCGGCCCCGTCTTCCTGCCTCCGGCAAGATCCCGCCGCCTTCTAGTCTACCTGGACCGACTTCTAGTCCGCAAAAGAGGCCACTGCAGCCTTCGGCTTCTGGCGTTAACGCAAGCAAACCGGGGCCCTCGGAGCCCAACAAGAAAAAGGTCAAGAAGAACAGCGGTGTGGCGATGGGAGTTATTGACGTGATGGCGGAGGACGAAGCCACCACAGGTGGTGCTGATGGTGTGAAGCCACCGACTTTGAAATCAGAGAACTCGACCGATTTCATGAACCGCAAAGGCGGAGCCGAAAACCCAGAGACTCAAGGTGCCGATAGTGGTGCCAATGCTGGCCCGGCCAAGAGTAACGACAACGCAGTGCCCATGGCCAACGGGACTGCAGGCGATGCGGCATGATGATGACCATCTTACGGGTATAGAACTCTCCGGTACGCAGTTGACTCCTTCTACTGGATCTGGCCGATGGAGAAAATGCTTGCTGCCTGGAATGCAGCGCATGGTGGATTCTTGTTTTTGTAGAACACATCGGCGTCGGGATTTCGCTTTTCTACCAAGTTCCCTTTCCCCTTTCCTTCTTTCATTGTCTTCTCTAAATTATCCACCCTACTTACCAACTTCAATTTCCCCCTTCATGTTTTACTTAGTTCATTCCTTTCCTGTCGTGTTTTATCTTCCTTCTACCTTATTGTGCCTCATCTAGATGCTATGCCGCGCTCTTAGCGGGCCATCCTCCAGCATGTGATTCTACGGACCTACCTACCGGTATTATACAGCAAAACCCATTTAAACCTTCTGAAGTCATTTCCTCTCCTCAACTCTTCTCCCACCTGCTGCATCTGCGTCATAATTTTGGGTTGGATTGATCGTTCGGCGGTCTTATCCGTTCAGTTCAGCCTTGGCTTGATTTTCGAAGCCCTAAAATGGCGGCAGTGGTGGCGGCATCTCTCTCACTCGACTTCGTTCACGCCCATGCATTACTACTGAATAGTTTATGTCCATGCTGTGTCGTCGGGGATATTTTGACCGTATATAGTGCTCTCTTCCCTGAGCTTGCCTCTATCCAGTCATCTCTCTGTACTCGGCATTTCTTCTCGAGGGCTGATCTCGAGATAAGCTTAGTTGCATGTTTAGCTTAGCAAATGAGCAGTATTCCTCGTTTCTTTTATTCTCTCCACGTAGGTACGTAGTTGGCTAGGTCGTCTTTTCGGTGTTTTGTCCTTTCAGGTACAGGTTCTGCTTCGTGATGCGTTCCTGGTGCACTATCTTCCGCTGGACACCGTGGGTAGGTTACATCGGCTTTGCGCGCAAACATGGGAATTCCCTCCATGAACGAAATAGCGATCGTACGTTGCTGTTTCGGGAGGGCTCTGGTCACTGGAAAACGGCTCTATACTGGGGGGATCGTGTGGGGACTCGCAAAACGGCTAAAGATGATCAACTGTACAAGTCTACGTTACGCAAGATCTACAAGCTGATGTGATGTGGAGGATTGCAGTTGAGTGGCATAGAACTATGTTAGCTCTGCCCTAAGTACAAGGTGAATGCAGGCATACCCCCCCATTGCCAGATTCCTCTAGCGCATTCAAATCTCAACTTTCTGTCGGCCGTGCCGAAGTTCAAAAGGACTCCGGTCCAAGCATATATGTATGCAGTTCAAGTGAAAAAAGAAACACAGAAGCTCTGAGCTTACAGCCAATGCAGGGCATTAGGCAGCGAAGCTGGAATAAACAAGAGTATAATTGCAAAACTTGCTCCCCCGCTGTCCATTCATCTCAGCTTTTTCCATCCACCTAGATGTACCACATGCCGAAGGGTAGACGGTTCGAAGTGCCGTGAATTGGGAGAAGGCGTGGATCAGCCTTCTTGTCCTTTGGCTTAGGATTGGTGAGTTTGACCTCTGGTCCGCTCTGAGGGCCGGAGCTTGCAGGCGCATCATCATGATGGCGCGCGCGGTTCGAGATCAGGTGAGCGTAGTAAATGGCAGGGACTGTGTTTTGGTTAGTGATTCTGCATGTTTGAGCTTGATTGAGCAACTTACAAAGAGATACCGAAGTGGTCGAGCGCATGTACTGATAGCAATGATCGTAGATCATGTTTTCAAGCTCCTGGGGGCGGTGCTTAATCTCGTCCAGGACTACATGGTAATGGACAGGACGCGAGGTGCCCTGCAGGGCGATGTGAGAGTATAACAAGAAGTCCCAGTCATGAGGACTGGTCACGTCTCGCTCAATAAGAGTACCTGGCAAAGGGTTGTTGTTCTTGTCCGCAGAGTTGCGGTCACCTGGCTTGGGGAAGGCCCGCAGGTGGTGGCGTTTATTTGCAATGACAACGGTAAACTTCCCCTTCCACTGATCTTGGGTCAGCTTCATAAAGATTGCTTTGATGTCAGGGACCTCCTGTTGAAGGACATGCTGAACCTCGCCCTCAGAGACACCGTCACGGAAGTAGTAAACGTTTTCTGGAGCTCGACCTTCTCCAACAGTCGACATCCACTCGCGAATGAGAGGCGTAAGCATGATCTCCATGTTGGCACGCGCGACCATTTCAACGCGTTCGCCGTTCGCCTCACATGCTCCCCAGTAGCGGCCACCAAACTGATCCATGCAAACTGACACAGCGGCCAACGAGGGTAGCCACACACCCTGCGGAGAGTGGGAAACATCGGCACCAATAATCATAGATCGGCGCTTGAGGGCAGCCTCGGCCACCTTGGGAACGGCACGAGCAGTGGTTCCACCAAGCTTAGCATTGATCTTCATCAGCACATTCGAGATGTACTGGGGGTTGTTCTTGGCAACATGGGCAGACTGCATGACCTGAGATGGCACTCCCCAGCGGCAATCGCAAGACTTCTTGATACGGGAGTAGGTAAAAGAGTTCTTATCGGGCACGATGATCGCGAGGAGCTGAGGATCCTTTTGGAACTTGATTCCAGTCGCGTTGTAGAGTTTCTTGATGGCTTCCCCGGTATCTTCTCGGAGCTCAAGAACAACAGGGCGCACTTTCACGATGCCTCCATGGCCACTGTAGGCCTTCATCATAGAGTCAACAAAGGCTTCCACCTGAGTCTTGTTAATGGCATTGCGCTTGCCCGGAAAGTACCCGACACCCCAGGCCTCGAGGGCCCGCTTGTTCGGCTGATAAAACTTCTTGCCTCGGAGATCCCAACGGCCATTAGTACCGGGGTTGGTGCGTTGCTTGCCGCCAAATTCAATATCTGGAGCCGGGAGAAGTCGAGCTTTGGTGCGAATCATATTCTCATCAATCTTTAGCCCAAAGGCCGCCAGGACAGGATCGCCCGAGTGGTTGAGCGTCCGCTTTGACTTTTGGATGGATTGGAGACGGTCTAAAGGTCGAGAAGCGGCATACTTGATCATATTGGAGGTCTGGAGCTCGTTGAGCTTCCACATGTAACGATGCAAACCATGGATTGTCAGCAGTTCCATAGGGTAAACCACCCCTTTCTTGGTCATTTCGACAATGGGAAGATCCCAGTGATCGAGGGTAAGGTTGTACTTCATTTTAAAGTACGCCTCAATGCTCATTCGCTGGGTATTTCCGGATGCACGGTCATTATAGTCGATCATATAGCCCCGAGCATTTACGTTGAGAAGGCCCTTGACCATGAAGGGCTTGCCCTCCACGGGGCAACCTCTGTAGTGAGGTGCCACCCCAAGCTTTTTGATCCGGCGATGCACCTCGTAGAAGGTATTGGACTCAGTTGTGCCCCCGTGACCGTCAGGTACTGGCCGCAACATGTGTGCCAAGTGCTGGGGATCACGGGCGTCCGTGATAGCCCGGCAAGCGCCCATGAGAGAAGTGCGGGCCCAGAAGCAGGTGTTGGAAACGTCGACATTAATGATAAGTCCACGGTTCTAAGGCACGTTAGTCAATCAACACCGTTTTCTTGCTGTGGTGCATGGACATACCAGAGCAGGTCGAATTGCCTGGTACACGCCCTTGAAAGCCAGGACGCCGCCACCGATATCCTTCTGGTCGCCATTCTCGTCGAAGAAAGAGCGGCGGATGGCAAGCAAACGCGAGCTGGGGTTTTCACGCAAAACATGATCAAGAAAGTCTAAGACAGTTAGTAGGAAGTACAAGCCCTAACATGGATCGGGTCACTTACTAAGAGCCTCCAAGACAGCTTCCGTTGTAGAGGTCTGACCACGCAGCCAGGATTGTAAGACGGCCAAATTGACAGTCTTGGTTGGGCGAACAACCAAGCGGAAGGTGTTGGGAGTCCGACCAGCGGGACGACCCTGCTCCGCATCAAGGTCAACCATGACATTAAGTCCGTTGGGGTAATTCTGAAGGGACCTATATCCAGTAAGCGTGTGCCCGTTGGTTGTTATTGTCCGAAGCACTTACCAAGCAAGCTTTTGTCCGTCAAAGATAATCTGCTTCAAGGCGTTTTTGCGGGCCTTGGAATCCCAGACCTTCTTGATGACGACGCTCTTTTCCGCGCCATTTCCGATATGGACCTAAACAGTGTCAGCAGAGAGGTGTGATCATAGGAGGACCTGATACTCACATCGTACTGATAGACGGTCTTGCTGGGATAGCTGGTAACAGCAAAGGCGTTCATCTGAACCTCAATCTCTTTGCCGGAAGGATTGAATCCGGGGCGAGCCACGTGCTCGACGGGCACCGAGTACTTTGCATCTTCGTCAGCAGGACGCACACGAAGGTGGCGGAGACCGCCCTCAAGTTTGTTGATCTGATCAAGGTTCTCCATGGTAAAGGCTACGGAGAAGGGACAATGTGCGGGAGGTGCAAGCAATTGATGTCTTCAAGAAAGCTAAGGAATGGGAAATTTTGCGAATTCGGATGCAATGGGAACCAGGGGGAGCGCAGAAAGCCGGGCGAAGACGAGTAATTTATACCCCGAGCATGCCCGTCCGCCCTCTGTGACGGGGCCATATTGTGAAGTGCTGTAGGGAATGCAAACGGGAATGAAACACACAGGATAGATATCGGCTCGGTACATCAAAGTCCGGGTGAAGCTCCATGTGCGATGCCAGAGCCGTTTGAACAACAGCAGGGGTGAAGGGGACAGGAGATACAGGGGACATGCAACGAAAAAGTGACAGCACGGGGGAAAGATGGAAGGAAACATAAGGGGTAGTCACAGGGAAAGGGAGAAGAACTGGGTGATTTCGAATCGGGGTTAATTGCGAGGGAATGTTGGGTGGAAAAGCTGATGTTCGTTTCGTGCAGCAGACAAACGCAGACTTACCAAATGGTCGATGCTGAACGTGCCATAGGGTAGATCCACATTGCGACACATGTCCGTCAGCAGACGAGGCCGGTCCAAAGCCGGATCCCCGAGAGTGCGATGTCCACCGTGAGACATGTTGGCGGTTTGAGGAGGTATTCGGAAGGCTCGAGGATGATGCTATCGAGGATATTGAGCTCGAGTCAGCCGCTGTCGAAAAGACACGCGGAGGCAAACGGGCGAGGGTTGTCCGCTCTTGATGAGGGATTGGCGAAGTTATTCGAGAAAAAGAAGGAGGATTTTTGAGGGAATAGATTAGAAGAGTTTGGAGATCGTGTTCTTGGAGTTGAAGAAGTTGAAGTTGAGGTCGGTGTTGGGAGAAGGATCTTGGAGGAAGGATCTTAGAGAGTATAACGTTGGCCTTAAGACGTCAAAGGGCGGTTGTCTTGAGTCGAGATCCTTGGGGAGAAAGCGGAAGATGGAGGAAGGAGCGAGGAAGAAAGCCTTTTGTACCCAGATCTGGATGTAGCAAGTGAGGCCTGAAGTGAGGTGAGGTGAGAGCTCAAAACCTCATCTCAGAGACGCTCAGAGACTGACAGACGCTCGTTTGTAGGGGTTATCTCGCTGCGAGGAAAACGATGAGGCGAAGGAATGAGGAAGAGGCGTTGAAAAGGCGAGGTTGTGTTGAGAAATATCGCGGGCAGAGCAACAGCAGGCGCAGGTGAGGGCATTTGGCTGCCTAGTCGGGACTTCCTGGCAACCAGCCCCCTCGCGTCTGTACCTACGTATGGAGGCAAAGCTTTTGTATCCCAGAATTGAACTTCAGTTGATCTCGTCCCCAGGCGGCTCAGCGTGGAGTACGAATTCAGGATATAGGTGGACACTGTAACTGATGGTGCTGCACTTGGCTGGAGTCCTAGAGATATTCTGGAAGGGACGAAGCTGGCGTGGTCTGGGGGAACTAGAGCCCGATCGAAAAGATGGAAGAGAGTATATACCAAGGCAAGAATACGGCGAGTAGGTGAGCGTATACCTTAAGCAGAGATGGCACTCCACTGATCTTAACTTGCAAGATGCGACACAGATAAGCTAAAGCTGCGAATATATGGGCAGCGCCTTGCCCTTTCATCCTCCCTAGTAGCATCTTGATCTATCTACTCCCAAGCAAGCAACACACCGATGACGATGACGACCTGCAAAGCTCCCTGCTCTTCTGGCCCCTGCCCGAATCACTCGCAATGAAAATAAAAGCTGGAGATCCCGGTCGAGAACCTAGAAATTCGGAGGCATCATTCCCGCGAGTTGTCGAATCCTAGCATCTTACTTTCGCCGCCAGAGGAGAGAAGACATCACCTACCCCTGATGAGAATGGTGCAAATGCTCGCAACCATTGGGAGTTTCCGAAGAACTATCCCCACGCGGACTACCAACAGACCAGAAACACCCGTTTGGAAATCAGGAGTGCCCTTGAGGCCCTGATTAGGGCACATCAGATGCGTACCGGGAGACCCTACGATAACTTTGTCGCCAGCTTGGCCCAAAGGGACACTGCCTGTTCCCCAGGAACACGGGACGCTGGGTAACCACCAAATAGCCCCGAAGCTTGTGGCTGCGTAGGATACGGTGCGGAGCGAGGTTATAAGGGAGATGGGCAAGGTAATGATCATCCTGACATATCTACCTGAACTTCGAGAATGACGGCTGACTTCATCTACGCGCAACTAGCTTTCTCGTCGCTACCGAACCATCCAAGGACAATAAAGGAACGGCGGACTACGGCTCAGGCTTCCGAGAGATTTCAGCTACAGGGAAAGAACTGGTGTACCTAACTCACGCAGAGTTCGTGCGTGCTGTTTTGGGGGTAGGGAGTGCAGTACTGCCATCACATGGCAGGCTGGGGATACTGCGCCTTGTCCAGTTCTTACCAAATATGTCAGAGCCTTTCGAGGAAATGGCGGCCCCGAGCATGTTTGTATTCTCTGTGTCGGCGCGCCCTCGCACTTGGCCGTTATACGTCTCGCCAAAAAGGTATCGCAAAGCCATGTGCGCGCCATGCAAAGCCATGTTCGTTCCAGTGGGCCCCTTCCAGTGGTTCAGAGAATGCGTTACAGTTCCGGGCGGCGACGCAAAGCATAACTCTCATGGTTAGTTTGGTGGACGAATTTAAGCTTATCGATGTTTGACTTCGGTGGGAGGGCATGTAAGGTCTGCCCGACCGTCTCTTAGGGCTAGTTCGCGGAGATCGTGGCCGAGTCTACCTACGAACCTAACTCGAGAGCCCTTGGTCCTACGTAAAAGCCTGAGAATAGAGAAATAATAAATAGAAGCCATTCGCCCCAGCAACATTTTTCTATCTACAGACTTTCTAGAACTTTCGTAGCTAGCCCTAGCTGCCACAGCAGAAGCCCTACTCCGGTCGCACCCTGGCCCCCGCACGCCCAAGTCGCGGCATCGCCTCGGAGTATCCTAACCTTGTCAACTCACCAACCAAGCATCGCACGCGTCAGACTCTGTCCGCGTAAAGAAACCGTCGCAGCCAGGCCGGAACCCGTTCCCCAAGCGATCGAGGCCGGTGAAGGGACGCTTAGGGAGAGAATAGGAGTATTCACGATGGCGGCTCTGGCATTCAAGCGTAGGATAGCCCAGTGACCGAACGGTAACATGAAGCAAAAAATAAAGGAAAAGAAATTAAGTTTAGATTTGGTTATTGATCCAGGTTCTTATAGGATGGGTGAAGTGTCGAGGAGTGACTGATTATGTTCACTGAGTAGTTTAGGCTATCCGACGAGAATAACGATGATGTCAATGAGGAGCAAGAGAAAAGTGATTGAGCCGTGGAGGCGGACGCACCTAGGGGGGGAAGGGCTGGAAGTGCGAGGGTTGGGATGCGGATTGCCGTTGGGCCAGGTGGGCGGCCCAAGGCGCGAACGCACAGGAGCAGGGTGGTTGCAGGGGAAATTGGGAACCTGACCAGGTATCCAAGGACCTTGACCCTATGCAACCTGGGATTACGCAGTGCTCGGTCGGCCTCAGTTGGCAATAGGTAGGTGGAAAATTACTCCTGCTGCATGAGGCGCAAGAGTAATGTGGATCTGGATATCGAGCTGGAGGAATACATGGGATGAGGATGATTTGGAATTTGAATGGCATCATATCTATTTATTTTCTGGTATCTCAGGGTTCCAAATGTGTACAGTTCGTAGGCAAATAAACAATTCACGGAGCCAAAAATGAGTATGCCGGCCGCAATGTCCCCCCACATCGTAAAGACGTAAACGCCAAACCATCCATTAAATACACGGGAGTACATGTCAAACCACGCCACCTAAGTAATATCCATCGTCGTCGGTCATTGCGAAAGAGAAGGATAGATGTCAGGACGATAAATGGACGCTCATAGCACGATACAAGCCAACTGGCTAACGATAGGCACCTAGAAATCCTACGTCAGTCAAGCTCGAGATTCGAAGGTTAATTAGATGGCTTACCGGAAAATGGCTGTCCCCCAATAGTCGTTTGCCCTGTTCCAAGGCCACGGGCGGACTGAGGTAGAGGTATTTGTGAGATGGAAGCGGGCATATCTAGGCGGCGGATAAGATCGACCATCTTCTCCGCCGAGAACCGACCAGCGGTATAAGTTGAGGCAGGGGGAATGACGCTCAGTAGATATACAAGGTCGCGGGGCAATGGCGCTGGCGAGCCTTGAGAACGATATTGGGATCCAGAACTTGGGACCTGAAGGGTTGGCTGGGCTCGTTTTTGCTGGTCCAACTGCCGTCTCTGCGTCGTTGTCCTGAGTGGTGACTCGCCTCGGACGAATTTGCGAGGCCGCGACATGTCATCGTCAAATTCTTCCAGGGGTCGCTTCGGTGAGTTCGTAATGGAGGGTTCTGGGTATCTTGATGTAGGGGTGCCGAGGCGGGATGGCACTTGGCCCCCAGGGTATACAGTAGTCTTTGGTCGTGTTTGAGAAGGGGAAATGATAGGTCGGAAGGTTGTAGGATCGAAGTTTGGAGCGGAGAATCGATGTGCAAATTGATCAAGTGTTGGATCGTCCGGAAATAATTCGCGCATACGAGTTTCGAGGTTGATGACTTGAACCAAATCGCCATATCTCGATTCGTATTCATGGAGGAACGCGAATATAGGCTTTGCCTTGTGCACATTTTCAGGACTGGCAGCAAGCTTCCTCACTGTCATCTCAAACACTGCTCGGGCATCTGAAAGAATTAGTTGACGTAGCAAGCCTGGAGTAAAGTAAGTACTTACTGATGACATCGTTGATATCGATCAAATGCTTCAAGTACTCCAGAGCAAAATTCTCGTCATCGGGGAATAGTTTGGCACCTCTCTCGAAGATCTTAGTGGCAGCCGGGTCCTTATAGCAGTGGTACTCGATGAGAGCGCTTGCGATATACACGTCGCTGGTGATGCGGCCCCTCTTACGAGCATCCGCAAATATCTGTCGCGACCCGGGAACCTCGCCGGGCTTGCCCTTGCCCTGGATGCGGCGCATGGCACGCATGAGGCCAATCCACGCAAACGAAACTGTCTTGGATAATATGCCGATCTGTATGGAATGTGCTTGCCGGACAGCTTCGATCTGGGCGTTCTTGACGGATTCCTTGGCTTTCGTCTCGCTTTGATCGTCATCTTCGTCATCATTTCGAGCTGGTTGGGCATCAGGGTTCTGTTTAAAGGCTTCTTCGAGACGAGCAACATCCTGAGCTTCTCGAGTGCGCGCTTTGGCAATGAGATCGTAGAGGGCATCGAGTAGCCGGTCATACGGCTCCCTCACTTTGGCGCCTCGCTTGATGGGATCTTGTTCGGATTCAGAGGTTATCTCAAGCCGGTCGGCACGCTTGAATGCAAGCAAACAGCTTTCTGGATTAGCATCAACACCATTCTTCAAGAACTCGTTTCCTTCAGTCTCCATGTCGTTGAGGAGGCAGAAGTCAGCTGCTTCAAACCAAATTTCGGGAAGGAATCGGAGCGCCATGAGGGCCTGCTTGTAAACGTAGACCACGCGAGCTTTGTACGCAGCCAGGTCGTCTTCTTTAAGAACGAGCGGATCTCCCTTCTCCCAGTTAATCCAGCGTTTCCATATCTCGACTTGCTGCAGATATTCGACATCGCCTTCCGAGCCAGGAACAGGCGGTAATCTAGGAAACGTTGTCCGACTCAGGTCCCGTGTGAAGTTTTGTAATTCTGTATACGAGCTGCGTGCGGTCATGTACGAAGGCGAATGTTCTTGCAGGAATTTGCGTCCCTACAACAGGATATTAGCGCGAGGTCTAAGATATAGGAGTCGTCAAGCTTACCGTAAGTTTGTTCAAGCCCATTTCGAATTGATCGTATTCCTTCCACAGAGTGTTGACCACCTGCATTGGAACACAGATGGCTCTTTGGTAAGCTTTCCGGAGCAAGTCCATTTTCTGCTGGTCCTGCCAACCTGAACCTCCGACGTTCCCTGGTCCAGAGCGGATGAACAGGATATAGTCTGTCCAAATCGAACCAGAATCCTTGTCCATGCCGATATGTTGAAGCGCAAGCTCATAAGCCGAAGAGATAATCTTCCGCGCTTGGCCAGTTGTGTCCGTTGATAAGGGGTTGCGTCGCCGAACGTAGTCCAAATATACCGTCCACAGCTGGACTGCAGGGATAGTAAGAAGCGTCCTATTGAATATTTGCTCAAGGCGGAACAACTCGTTGAGTTCAGACTCCATCGTCGCGTATGCCACCCACATCTCGGCCTACGTTCATCAGTACTTGCTTCGGAAATGTATTTGGGTGACTTACAGATAGAGGAAACACCTGCAAGAAGCGTTCATATACATCCCGAGCACTATCGATCCTATTGCGACCCCTATGCTCGTTAATCAATTCGAGCCAAGCAGGGATGTCACCTCGAGGATCTTCCCGGATTCTGTCTTCCAGTATCCCAACTCGATCATGGGGCAACCGGCCTTTGGCGGCAGAAGGGGATTCCGGCGCAGGGGTCGCTGTAGCGCTTTCTCGTGTAATCTCAGGCTGCAAAGAAGTACGTGAGTTGTACAGGTCCTGGCCTATATTCATAGACCCATCATTCTTAAAAGCGAGAGAAACAGAAGAGAGAGAACTATTAGGAACATTCTTCGCGCTGGCAGATTCCTGCGCAGCTTCATCCAATGATACATCAGGGGTAGAAGTAGCTTCATTTGCATTTCCTGGAATGGGCTGCGAAGGTATAGTATTCATGTCCTCGACACCTAGTACAGCTGGTGGCTCATAATCCCCATCTCCCGCGTCATCCTCATCCTCATCCTCAACCACAAACCCACCAATAGTTCTGGTTTTCGGCTGAACAGAGGCACCGGGAGCTGGCACTGACGTCGAAGCCTGAGACTCGGGTCGTGAAGGTGGCTGAGATGGGTGGGCATTGCTAGCAGGGTCTGCGTCTTGGGGGAGGGATGTCTGGGGTTGGGGTTGCGGATCTGAGGTAGGAGTGTCTGTCTCTTGGGGAGTGGGATCTTCCGATGGGCCGGAATACTGGTCTTGAAGTGTGCTCGACGGATCATATTCATCAGAGTCCGACGCATTCGCATCCTGATCTTCAGCGCCGTTATAATCCATTGAGCCAGCGTTCATGGCCTGAGCCTGGAAGAAAGCTTTCTCGGCATCGTCTTCGGCCATGATATTTGATATAAGCCTATACGGCGACTGAGAAAACAGAAAGAGAAAAGGAGAAAAGTCTGGGAACCTGTCATTTGCTGTCAGCGGGCCTGGTTCGCATTACAATGAATTCCAAGTGAGGGGCACCCACAATGATGCAAGCAAAGGAGACTGAGTTTCGACCTAAAAGCAATATTAATAAGACCGATTAGAGGACCAAGTGACGGTTGAAAAAGAACTGCGACAAGAAAACTGCGACGGGCTGGAGATGCTTGACGCATGAACTGTGCAGAGATCGATGCGATGCGGAAGCTGCAGCTGCCAGTACCTAGATTACGTGATCCAAGGCGGTGAGCGCGAGAATTATGCGTCCCGCACGCGGGTCGCGTCGACGATCGCTGGGCGGGTTCTTTCTGAAGTTGGTCCATTGCTTAATTACTCGCCCGGCTGGCTTCCATCCCCTCCAAGCAAATCTTCTTCGTTTCCTTCTTCCATAAATACTTCATACGGCGCCTCCATCCCTCGGGTTGATCGTTCTACTCTACAACTCCCCTGTCCCTATCCTTCTTTCTTCTCTACACCGCCAATACCGCCAGATCCAAATAGTCATGTCGGTTGTTTCTCTTCTCGGGGTCAAGGTCCTCGACAACCCTGCCCAGTTCACCTCTTCCTACCAATTCGAGATCACCTTCGAGTGCTTGGAGCAGCTTCAAAAAGGTTTGATGGTCCTTTTATCTCACCTGGGAGACCCCCGCTAATTTGTTTTGCTAGATTTGGAATGGAAACTCACCTATGTCGGTTCTGCGACCTCGTAAGACCAGAACGACTCTCAAAAATTCGAGTCGCTAACTTGTCTAGGTCTGAGTACGACCAAGAACTCGACTCTCTTCTTGTCGGGCCTATCCCAGTTGGTGTCAACAAGTTCATCTTCGAAGCCGACGCCCCAGACCTTCGACGAATTCCTACTTCAGAGATTCTTGGTGTGACTGTGATTCTCCTCACCTGTTCCTACGATGGCCGGGAGTTCGTGCGTGTCGGATACTACGTGAACAATGAATACGACTCAGAGGAGCTTTCTGCCGACCCCCCTGCGAAACCCATCATTGAGCGGATCCGTCGTAACATCCTCGCGGAGAAGCCTCGAGTGACCAGATTTGCGATCAAATGGTAAGATTATATACATGGAACTTACAGGATCTACCGGCACTAATTCTTCTCCCTAGGGACACCGAGGAATCTGCGCCTGCCGAATACCCGCCAGACCAGCCCGAAGCCGACGGTCTCGACGATGACGGAGCTGCTTACGGTCAAGAGGAGGCAGAGCTTGAGGCCGCACTTGTGAAAGAGCTGCAGGAGGCGGAGAAGAGGGAACCAGCGAAGGCCGAGGACCACGACATGGACGGCGCGGACAACAACGAGGAAGACATTTCCGACGCAGAGAGTGAGGATATCGAGGACGAGAGTGATGACGACGAAGACGAGGTGGATGAAGAAGAAGGCAATGACGCCGACGAGGACGTCGAAATGGGCGATGACTCGGAACCGAAAGACGACAACGCCAACCAGGCCGCGCCCCATCCGCAGCCCGAACTCATGGTTCATTAGATTTGAGCCTAGTCTTTTTTTTTTGGAGTTGATACTTTGGTTCCCTTTATACCATCTATCCATCAGTTGCATGATTTACGATCAATCACAATGTTTTTATGAACCGCATACATTACCGGCCAACAGAAACTTTGTATCTAGTTTGGCCCTGTTTTACGATAATAGACATGCATAAACAGACATAATCCCACATACTCCGGACCATAGCTATTTCTCCCAGGAGACTCGACGCAAGGACCAACTCCACCGCCAGAATCACCCGGACTACGCACCTCTACGGAGCATGACAACTCATTCACATTATCCCTCGCAGCTACCAGGGGCGAGCGGCGCTTAGCCAGATAGCCCATTGGTAGGGGTGAAAACTCCTTGAATAGGATCTCAGCTCGTCAGTGACATTTTAGGAGCCTACGCAGATGATACCTAATATTCCGCAGATTCACATTGTATATCACCTAGTTTGTAGCCTATGAATGCGCTTCACTTTGTCCACGGCCAGGCACTAAGTCAAGTACTTTAAACAATAAGACAGGCACGTCTTCATCGTGACTGCAAGCCATTCATGATCGGCTCGAGTCACCCCTCATTTGAATGGCGAGTCGTGCTAAGTAAGTCTTGCTGTGGTTCTGGCGCTCAGTGTGTGCAGTGCCATTCAAACGCAAGAAAGTATGCGACGGTTCGTCGGTGAGAAAGCCTTCGTGAGGGGCTGCCATGACTGCCGTATTTTGATAGTAGGCGAGCTCCGCGATGCGCTCAGGCTGCAGCGCGGCGATCCAGTCTGGGTATGGACTACCAAGACAGCTTTGAACAAGTATGTAGACAGGAAGAATGTGGCAGTTGAGCGGCAGCGTCAAACCCCACGGAGAAGACCCGCGCGCGAGCTGTGCCCGAGTGCCAATGCAAAGAGACTAGTATTTCTAGTTTCTACCGAACGCCAAACTATACCTAGGAATGGATGATATCTTCAAAAGACCAAAGCAGAACAGAACACCCGTTTATAATCCGAATTTGGACCCGAGAACTGCGCAATGGTTAGCATATTCAAAGCATAGATGAAGACCGCGGTGCAAAAGAACTTACTACCAAGAACCGCTTTCTTCTTCTGGTTCTGGACGTACTTGTTGACGTCCCTCGCCCAGCCGCTGCTCGTCTCCTCCAGCCTGTCCATGTTATCGCCAGCGAACGAAAGTTTCTCGGTACGTTCTTGCATCTGGCGCTGCATGTACGCAAGGTATCCTTCCTCGTTGGTGTTTTGTCGCGGAGCCGCTCTGCCTTCTCTAGCGGCTTGTCGGCGCTCTTGATCTTCAAGTCGCATCTGCTCTACCATTTGTTTCGACGGCGGTCGATCGGGGCCTCCGACTATGAAGCGTTGTAAGCGGGTAATCATGGTGGAAGTTAAGGGGAAAAGAAGAAGGGGACGAACTCAGGATATCCATGTCGGCCGTCGAGATGTATTGAGTACCAGAGATCCACTGCAGATTGGTAATTGTAGGTCGAGGAGGGGGTACTGCTTGGGGATTGAACAGCTGGTCCTCCGACGGTGGACTATAGATCGGGTTAGCGGGTTTGGGCAATGGTCAGGCCTAGATATATCACATACAGTTCGATACCGGCGCCCCAAACGTTGAGTAGCCCTACTTCGGACGGACTTGTCCAGAAAAGAACGCTGCCGTTGGGCGCGACAGTGGACTGAGATAGGCGACTCATGTCAGCCATATGCCCGATTTTGGCGCAACCAATCTCCTTGAGCCCGGGGATGGAGAATGCTCGAGTGTTGCCATCACCAAACAGTCCGACTAGACTGTATCCTCGGCCCGGAAGGTTGACAACAGAGGCAGAGTCGCAGAGATAATCATCCCAAGAGCGGTGCGCGCCCTTGGACGTGGCAGGCTTGAAGATTCTGCAACCGTTGGTGGTGACCGCAACCACTGCGCCGTGAATCCTAGTCCCGTTCCTTAAGCCTGCAAAAGCATCGCCAGTAGCTAATGCTAGGCTGCCGTCATCAGCGTTGATGGGTATGATGTTGATGATTTTATCATCCAATGCAACCGCGCCTGCAAATGAGGCTGTAAAGCTACCTCCGCCCGACGGAACGATCTTGAATGTTGCCAGGTTGCCTCTGTTTGTTCCCACAAAACAGCAGATACTGGAGAATTCTGGGAAAGATTAACATGGCCCGGTCTATCCTGCTATCAATCTTACCTTCGCCCTCTAGAGTCATGATTCCAAACTCGATATTCGTGGGTACTTCCGGGACAGTCTCACTAGAGCTGCGAGACTTGAGGAAACTGCTGCGCTTATTCTGCTTAGACAACTCCGACAAAGTCGCCGTGTGGATGATGGCTGGCCCACGCAAGTCGATAATGGCGATACGTCCACCCTCGAACCCAGCAGCAACAAACCCGATCGGACTATGCTTTAGCGCAGTCACTTGTCCCTGTTGCATATCCAGGAGAGTCAAAGGCAAAAGGCCCTGCTTTAGGCTGGGATCGGTTCTATGTGTGATGTTGGTAAGCTCTCCAGGCCCATTGTTGGCCCCGGGGGGTGACTCCAAGCCAAAGTCCTTGTTGCTGCCCCATCGGAATATTGCAACTTCGCCGCTCCTGAGTCCAACGGATAGCTCCCCACTAGAGCCTCCAAAGGACATCTCTGTGACATCGGCCACTCCGACGCGGCCCAGAGCACGGGCCAAATCGACTTGAATCGATTCCGAGTTTTCAATCTCATCGTTGTGCCCGACATCCCAGACCCGGACGGTGCCGTCTGCATGAGCTGCCGTGATGATATTGCGGCTCTCCAGGCGTTTGAGGTGCTTTCTTGCTTCTGCGCCACCAAGGATAAATTTTGGTCCTTGAGATCTTCGTTCCTTCAGCCCCAACCAAGCGGCACGCTCAACTGGAGTCAGTGTGATTTTGTTTACAAATGGATGAACAAGCGTGAGAGAGGACGGTAGCATGTTAGTAGGTGGGATAGGATGTCCGCTTGGGAAGCTTAGTGTAATCAACTCTCCCGAGGTTAAGAGGGCAAGAACCGCGATTGGGTCGTGAGCACCTGCATAGTAGGGAGAACTGCGGGGAATGAGGCAAAAATTGACAACTTCAGCACCTGGCGGAATAGGAAGTTCTGCAACGGATTTTGGGTTCTCTAAGTAAGTGTTGATCATGGCCCAAGAGGATGTTTGGTAGTTAGGCGACGACCCGAAGTCGATGAAGGTAAGATTCTTGCTTTTCTCATCCTTCGGCTTGCCACCGGCGATCAAGAGACCACTGTCATCGCCATTTGCCTTTACGCACCAAGCAATGTCCGTGATGGGGTCTTTGAAGCCGACGGCCGAATCCGATGTGGAAGGCCGTTCGGGAGCAATACCAGGCTGGTCGATGTTGGCCGTCGTTATAGACCTGGCTAGAAGCTTGCGGCCGTCTTTAGTGTCCCAGAAAACCAAACTATTGTCGTCGTGAACCGTGAGAATAAATATGCCGTTCGGGTGCCATAGCGCTTTTGTCAGTCTCGGCCTCCGCGCATCCCTCGACGGAACATTGCCATTTCCGCCTAAGGCGCCTGGCGGTACTTCATACTCGAAGTAATGCTGCGCGACGTTTTGTTTGAACGAAAATGTAACCGCACCATCAGGATACCCAATAAGAACCTTGCCGATGTCACGGGGTGAGAAGGCCAGGCTAATGACGGGGCAAATGCGAGCTCGGGGATTGCGCGCAGCCCATAAGTTGGGTATTCTAAACGGGGTCACGGTTTCACGGTCAAGATCGTAAGCGATAACGTCGCCTATGGCGGTCAGTAAGTTACATTCCTCAATCATAGAGCCGTACCATTCTGTAATCCGATGAACGCATAGTCGAGACTGGGGTCGGAGAGCAGTGCGCTGGCGTGGCTCGGTGGAGCGTATGAGACAAGTAGTTGCTTCGTTTGTAGGGAGAAGACGCTGATTTCGCTCTTCGAGTCGACGCTAATGAGTTTGTCCCCGCAGAATTGTAGAAACTTTGCGGAAGCCTTTCGAGGCAAGGAGAAGGTGACGGAGACTCGTCCCTGGCCGAAAACGTAGATTTGCCCCAGGCCAAACTGCGACTCGCTGGTACCGACCGCGAGAAGGGACTGGACCGGATCGTAGGCGAGAGCGCTTGTCTGGGAATTGATACCACACCTCAGGACCTACGCAAGGGAAGTCAGTAAAAGGCCCTCGCCGCGCAAAAAGAAAAGCTGGTGCCTGAGCGGGCCAAGCATACATCATCGATATCGAATAGCTCTGGCGCGAGACTGCCGGAGAAGTCCTTTTGTATACCGGCTTGCTTTCCCCTTAGGAAATGAGCCATTTCCTATGGTTAAAGCAGTGAGACGGGGATTGTAGGTAAGAATATTTAGGTGGTAAGTATGAAGAGGGGAGAAAGTTAAAGATGATCGATCACCGGAGTCTAATGAAGCTGTGGAGCAAACCCCCACATGCTGGCCTTGTTGCACTTGCGCCCCGCCTCCCAGGACCGCCACCGAATCCATGCAATTTCATTGTACAGGGCAAGCTGCAAGCAAGATTATTTTAGGGGTGTGGGAAGGATCCGAGCTGATTATCCATGCATTGGTCATAATGTACATTCTTCAACATGAAAACGCTGAATCAAAGCCAACAGACGTCTAGCTATCTATTCTTTCGCACCCACCGCATTTGCGCCAGTGGCCTCGCCCTGTTTAGCCGCGTATCTGGCACGGGCCATATCGAGGCGCGACTTGGGCTTCTCTGTAGAATCGTTGTTAATGAGATCCCTCCCCTTGGCCTTGGCTGCCCATTCACCCCGCCGTCGCTTGTAGAGATCCATTGCCCAGTTCCTCCACACCGCACGTCCCACAAAGGAATCGCGAAGGGCCAGTTCGTTTTGCGCCAATTCCTGCGCCATTCGCTCCTTGACGAAGTAGATATCCTTAGTTGCTATCCACAATGAGTCGACCACATGAGATCCACTGCTATCAAGTGCAAGCTCGCTCAAATGGCCCGTAAACCGGGTGGTGAACTGTCGGCGGAACTGAGGGGTAGAGGCGGGCGACGATAGGGCTTGTTGAACAACGCGCGACGCCGTTGGGTCTCTGCATATACTGAGCAAGGCCTCGGAAGACAAAGCGAGGAGACTCGAGAATACGAGTTCGCTCAATTGCCCGGGAGCTGTGACAATCGTTTGTGCGAGCAGTGAGCCGTGCAGCTTTTCGGCGGCAGCCGAGGCCGGATTAGATTCAGCTGCCGAGCCATTGTTTGCCGACTCCAACTTCTCTTTATCGGCTGTCGCCGCCTCGAGTTTTAGCATTTGTTCAAGTCTGCGAGCAGGGTCTGAGTCATATGAGCTTTCGAGAGCCTTCGCGAGCGGCTTGGTATCAACTCCTCGGACGAGACATCTTTCGATCAAAATCTTTGGCACAATTGTCCGCGAGCGTTCTATGAGGCCGGGTATCTTGGGCACAATCTGTTCCACAACTGCCTGCAAGTCATCCTTTCCTAGCCGCTCGAGAACTCGAAGAACGACGTAGCCGGCGGTTTGGTTACGTGCAAGCGAACTCATTTGCTCGCGGAGGTAGTTCCTGTAGAGTGACTTGAACATCTTCGCTGGCATCCATCGCACCATTGTCTCCAGAAGACGCGAACCCACAGGATCATGGAGCAGCCCGCGGATAAACCTCGTACTCTCGGAGTCCTCTTCAAAGTTCTCATCCGGAATCAACCTTTTGATGATGGATGTGGATTGTTTCGCGCTTGACTTTCCGAAGTGTGAGAGCTCCAGCCGAACCAGGACCTGTAGAACCGGGTTTCCAACGGGGTGTGTCGCAAGAGCTCGTAGATAGGTATCGTCAAGTACGGAGACCATGTCCTGCATGACCTTCTTTAGCGTAGCCTCAAACGACTCCGGGACACTCCTCTTTTCTCCGACGGGAATTGCCTCCTGTGCCTCCCCACCGACGATTCCAAGTCTTTCCTTCTTGCGACTTGCCACGACCGAATCATTTGACACATCGACGGGTTCACCGGCAAGCACAAGGAGCAGCACTCGGATTGTATGCGACGCAAACCGTTCGGTCAATAGATATCCCCAGTTGCCCTGCAGCTCCTCGACAACCTTCATAAACATTTCCGCAAGCGACAGTTCCGGCTCCAACTCCTCGTCTTCATCCATGTCAACATCGTCGTCGTCCCTGTTCGCCTTTGACTTTGGAATTTTCTGCGTTACACCTGGTGCCGCGCAGATGAATAGTTTTTCACAACAATGACTCGCGAACCGATGCTGTACAAGCGTCAAGAAATGCCCGATGAACTTGTTGAACAACCGGCGGATCTGAGTGATATCCGATACCGAGATCAGCTTCTCCATAAGCCGCGAGCACGACTGACTGCAAGCAATCTTCAATTCCTTCCCTCTAGCCTCCCGGAACACACTGTCCACGAATAATCTGCGCTCCTCGGCATCCCCGAATTGGTTGAGCTCCAGCATCTCATTCGCTCTGCTGAAGTATTCCTGCTCTTCGGAATCGAGAAGACCGTAAAACGGCATCTCATCTGGCGCCCCCGTCCCATCTTGGTCATCCTGTTCTTCTCCTCCGTCGAGGGGGATGTAGTCTGCGCCGGCGGTGATCTCGTTGCCCTCTTCCGCTGAGGGCTTTAGTCGCTTGGTCGTGGGTTCTTCGACGCCCTCGTCGCGCTTTCGTTTGGTTTCCTCCTTCTTGGCCTTTTCGGTCGCTCGGCGACCGCGTTTTTGGTTCTCGCGAGGCATGATGTATTGCTGTGGATTGAGATTTGAAGCTTGCCAGAATCTGATTGCGCCGGAATTTTTTTCTGGATAAGAAGTGGCCCGAGCGTCCTCCGCGGAATTGCGGTGTTTGCTCTGTTTGCATTTGCATAACTAGAAGTATAGAAAGGCACAGTTTAGAACGGCAGTAAGATGGTATAATGTTGGACTTGTATTATACAAATTATCGTACATCATCAAAGTAGTAAGCATGACTTTTACTTTTTGAGGGCAGTGTAAATGGCTGAGATATGCCTTCCGCACTCAACCCGCTGTCGCATGTCAAAGCTCCGGCCGCCAACCGTTCCACGATAGGCAGGCATGATTTGGAGCCGGGCAGGCTCCTTGTTAACATCTGGTACCGTGTCTGAAGACACGTTGATATGCGCTGGCTGCGACAGGTTGCTTCTCTTGCCGGTTCCGAGTTGGAAGTGCTCATTTCCTCCCCACCAGACCACATCCAGGCCTGCGTCGTCGGCTCCCTCCAAGGCGGCCGTGGAGCGATTCAAATGCGTTTGGTTGTCTAGAATAGCCGCGACGTGTGTTGTACCGACAGAGATATCGTTCAAGCGGATGGGCAACAGTCCCTTTGTTGCCTCATCATACTCGACTAACCCGCTGAGGGCCTTCAACTTGGTGGGGCGGTCCTGTAAGTGAGTCCATTTACCATTTCCAAGGGCACCCCAGATGCCGCGTCCGCAGGTCCAGATATCAGATGTGATTTTCCCAGCCGCCTTGAGATCTTGAGTGGGGCCGGTTTGGTGTACGTCCACGGTGAAGAAGCTGTTGGCACCACCGGCCGCAACGCCAGTTGCTTGAGGCAGACGCGAGCCATCACGGTAAAGTCCCCTAATCAGTAGAGGAGTAGGCGTGTCTCTGAAAGGAAACGCTGGGTCAAATCCCATCCCCAGTTGCCCAAACGAATTATCGCCAAATGCCAAAACGTCGCCATCCTTAGTCAGTAGTAAGGAATGATAATCGCCCGAGGCAATTTGGGTGACCTTTGCGCCGTTGGGTATCTTGACCTCATGGGGTGTATCTACCGGCCCTGGTGGTCTGGTCGCCCAGGCTAGCCCGGCGACACCAAGTTGCCCGAAGGAAGGGAAGTTCTCAGTAGATGCAGCGGCGGAGAACACTCGTCCTGAACTAGTAAGGAGAAGGACATGTTCCAAGCCACCGCTTATGGCGGTTACCTTCTCTCCCATCTTCAGGCTTGGCTGAATCAGACGATAGCTCATACTAGATCTGCTAGATGAAAACCACGACTTCTCCTCAGTCCTTTTTCCATATAACTGGTCATGCTGTGAGACAGGAAGGGAGTAGACTTTCCCGTCGGATGACAATGCAATAATACGATCATGAGACATGGACAGAGAAATCAGATTCTTTCCAGTGAGGGTCCTGGTAGGCTTGAACTCGGTTTCCGAATAACCTTTGCCCCATTGCACCAAGTCTCCATTCTCGATAATGGCAGCGCCAGAGGTTTCCCCAAGCTTGAGATCCCGGAGTACGTGACTGTCAAAATATGACAGCTTCCGCGGAGTCTTTACAACAGACTCCTTAGATTCCGGGTCCACCACTCGGTATTCATTGGTACCCCATATATATAGACCGGGACTTCCCAAGCTTCGTTTCTTTTGCACGTATCGGGTGGATAGATCTTCGATTGATTTGGATGGGCTTTGGACCTTTTTCAAAAACTCGCTCTCGTCCGGCCTGGTCGCATACGAATAGGCGAGAAATACGGCTGTTCCCGTCGCCGCGAATCCTAGAGAGTTCCTTATCCAGTTTGAGGAGGGAGTCTGGCCCTCGGAAGCTTCTCGCTGGTCAGCATAATACCGACGGCCGAGCGCAGTCGTTCGCCGAACACCGGTTCCTCTGAGCTGACGCGTGAGAGTGGCCGCATTGGCCGCAGGTTGACGCACCCGAGTAGCCAACATGCTGTTTGCAAGATCCGCTCAAAAGCGCATTTCCATAACTGTTAGTCAGGGGAACTGTAGATGGAGCTCTTTGCGTCAGTACTAAAGGCGGAACGAAGCGGCAGAACGGCGGTCTAGAAAGCGGCCACGCGGAGGTCAACGGACAACAGACAATCAAGAGGCGATCGCCATGAATTTGTTTCGGAGACCGATAGGCAAGGCGTGACTCGCGTCTCATATGGAAGCTTAGCTATAACACAGACGCAATGCCTCCGCAAACTGCAGGACAGCGAAGTCGCCGGCAAACCGCCCCGTCGGGCACCTCGCCGCTCGACCCTAAAGCGACGCAGATTGAGAAGCTCGAACATGTCCCAGATGAGCTGGATTCAGTTGATGATATACATAATGAACTGGAGTTCTCGCAATGGTACGACGATGTGGAAGCTAGCTTGCTAGAGTCAAGTTACGATGAGTATCAGTACGTATCTTCCCGCCCCGAGTTCTCACAGCGCCCATGGGCTAACTGGCTCTTGTCTTTAGGGCTTGTCTCAACGAACTCCAAACGTCGAAATCTCATCTCGACTCCCTGCTTTCCGACACATCATCTACGCTTAATGTCCTATCGAAACTCTCGGAAGATTTCAAAACGGTCGATTCGCAAACGTCCAATTTCCAGAAACAATGCGAAGGGCTCCTCTCGGCGCAGAAGCGCGATACAGGCTTGGTGACAGAGATTGAGTACAACCTTCAATTTTATGATTTTCTTGATCCTGCTTCCAGGAGACTCAATGCTCCGGGCGCAGGGAACACTGTGCGTGGGCAGGACTTCTCGGACATGCTAAGGCAACTGGACGAGTGCCTGGACTACATGGAGACACATGTGAGCATGTCTGTTTTTCGGATCATCTTGTTGAACGCTAATATCTCCTTAGCCTGAGCAAAAGGAAGCAGAAGTATACAGGTCAAGATACCGACTGCTCTTGACGCGCGCACTCACGCTCATTCGAGGACATTTTGTTTCTGCGATTCGTGATGTATACTCCAGTGTCTCGAAAAAGGTTGCAGATAAGCAACTCAATGACGCTGCCTTGTCCGCTTTGCTGTATGCAAAATTCCGAGTTGACGCACCAGAATTGAAACAAATCGGCCTTGAGATCCAGAAGAGAGCTGTCCCGCCACTAGACCCTGAACAAGGCACAGAAGCTGAATACCAGAGCCTTCTCACTGAGCTTCATACTAATTATGCGGCTACGCGCGGAAAACTTATCGTGCCTCTAGTCCATAAGCGATTGGGTGAAATAGCGCAGGCTCCGAGCAGCTCACAGGATCTCGTTGCTTTCGCACGCGCAAGTATAAGCTATGTCCGAGGAGTTTGCTTGGATGAATTCGATTTGTGGAGCGAATGGTTTCATGGCCAAGGTGGGCTGTATGATTTCCTCGAGACAGTATGCGAGCCGCTATATGACCATCTAAGACCGAGGATCATCCACGAAGACAAGATTGTCAAGCTGTGCCAACTCTGTACTCTACTTCAGACGCGATATCTGTTTGATCAGGAAGAAGAGACGGAATACATGGATCCGAACCAACTTGACTTTTCGGCGCTAATACAACCAGCTCTGGAGGACGTGCAGACCAGACTCGTCTTCCGTGCGCAGGCCTTCCTCCGCGACGAGATCGAACGGTTCAAAGCCCGACCCGAGGACCTCGATTACCCTGCACGCAACAAACATCTCTCTATATCCGTATCCGATAACCAGATATCAGGAAGAAAAGTCTCACACGCTGATTCTTATGTCCCGCCCAAGCCAACAAAATCCCCCGAAAATGGTGCAGCCACATCACCCGAACAGGACTCTAAGTGGGACTTTGAGTCTCAAAATGCTCCTGCCGCCTGGTACCCTACATTGCGGAAAGCCGTGTGGCTCTTGAGCCGGATATACCGCCTTGTAAATGTACGACCTCCAGGCACCTTATTTCCTTTTTTTCTAACTTTCAGTTAGTCCACCGTATTCGATGATTTAGCACACCAAATCGTCCATCAAACCACAGCCTCACTCCATCACGCCAGCTCCTCAATCTCCAGCAAGTCCCCCACAGACGCACAGCTATTCCTCATGAGCCACCTTTTAATCCTAAAACAACAAATCGTCGCCTTTGACATCGAATACGTTGCCCCAGAAGTATCGTTCGATTTCTCCGGCGTCACAAGCACCTTCTGGGAGCTCCGCGAGCGCGGCGGCCTCTTCAACCCCCGAAACCTAATGCGCCTCGTCGGCCACGGCCTCCTCCCGCGCGTCGTCAAAAACATGCTCGACGCCAAGGTCGAGCTCGACGGTCGCCTGAGAACCGTAATCAACGACTTCATAAACGGCTTCGCGAGCAAGATGACCGCTTCCCTCCCGGCAAAGTTCGTTGACGGGCGGAATCTCCAGCGCGGAGAACTCATCTACCCGACCTGTCGGAATGTGGAGAACGAGGTCCCCCGTCTCCGGAAGGTCCTCGATGACTACCTCGATGATATCCGCATGAAAGAGACGCTCGTTGGTGCAGTCCAGGACCGCGTGATTCAGATCTATGAGGAGTTCTTCATCAAGTATACCTCCGCGGAGAAGAACAAGGGCAATGCTGTTAGCAAGAAAGGGAAGGGACGTGAAGATGCCGTGTGGGATGTCGATACCTTTGCGGACTGGTGCGAAAGGATTTTCCGCGTAGGGGTTGCGACGCAGGATGACGATGATCAGGTTACTAGTCGGAGTGTGAGTAGAACCGGGAGCTTAGCGTCTCAGTTTCGATAGGTTCTCTTAGGAAAGGGCATGTAGATAGGTCACATAACTTCATTGTATATATACCCGACATGGGTTAATGACCCCATTTCTTTAATCGAGTACAAACTGGCGTAGAGCCACGTTCGAGTTTGCTAGAGGCATGAAGAGGATCCTGCTATGTATAACCCATGTCCTATTATTTTCAAGATGTGTCTAAATCAATCCCGCTAAATAAGGATACAAAACAGGTTGCGTCAGTCAATCGATCAATCAATCGACGAGAAGAACTCAAACACCCTAGCCCTTAACAAGGAACAGAACATCGACTGTATAAGTAAAACATGTCTGCAAGAACAAGGTACCTCGCTATAACTTGAATACAACGTTTGTAACACTCATTTTGACAGTAATATAGAAAACCTCATTTAACTCCCAAGGACATGACGGATCTTGGCGTAAAGCTCAGTATCAAGGAAATTATACTTAGGATCGGGCTCGCAGAATGGATGGGTGAGGAGGGTCTGCGCTGTCGGACGCTCGGATGTGTCACTGCAGGTGTAAGATGGATTAGCTATAGGTATTCTGCAAAAGGGAAAGGAAACATACACCGTAAAGCAGTCCCACATGAAAGCCAGGGCAGCGGGAGTAACATTCATGGACACGTCGTCTGGGATTGGGGGCGCCTGACTCAGGCTGCCAAGTTTGAAGATCGCGCCAATGGCTTCCTCTTTGCTCCAGGGACGACGACCGGCGAACATCTCGAGCACCACGCAACCGAGAGACCAGATGTCGACTTTGGCGCTGTACCCCTGGCCTTGGGACTGGATAACTTCGGGCGCCATCCAAAAGACGGATCCTTGCATGGAATTTGAGGAGTCATTTCCGTATATATCGTTTGACTTTTTGGATATACCAAAGTCGGAGATCTTGCACGTTCCGTCAAGATCAAGCAGGATGTTATCCGCCTTGAGATCGCGATGAAGAATTCCTTGGTTATGAAGGTAAGATAGCCCTTCCAAGCATTGTCGGGTGAGGGACTTGACCACGCTCTCCTCAAATTTTCCGTGCTTTCGAAGACAGCTGCCGATTGAACCACCAGAAATATACTCAAGGTAGATCGATATTGAGATCTCGCCGCGCTCACATCCAAGATACTGCACGATGTTCGGATGCTCGAGGTGTTGCATTGTATCAATCTCCTGGTCCAACGCAGACACCATCTCTTTTATCTTGTCCTTGTCTTGTCCAGCGAGTCTTGGGTTGATTTCAACTTGCTTGACGGCCAAGACCTCACCATTGTCGGCGTTCATTCCCAGATACACCCTACCATACGTACCCTTGCCAATGAGTTGACCACGGATGATGCGAAAGGTAGGTTGTCTCTGAGGTTTTGTGTTGGACGATATACTGTTTTGAGGAATTGGGTCAAGCTGACTGAGTCGACTGCCGGGCCTGGGGCTAATCTGCATAATCTTTGCTCCGAACATCTTTGTACTCTTGCGGCGGTGAACGTCAACAGTTCTTTTATTACCAGCGGAAGAAGATGCGACGCTTCGCTGTCGAGTTGCTTGATTGGCGCCTTTGGCAACTTCTCGAATCGACTTCATTCGAGTCAGGCCTCCTCCTCCACCGGAGCGAGAGACATTTCGACGCGCGACAATGTTTTGGCTAAGCGGCTTTTCGGGCGCACGTATAGTACTATCGTCAGGAGTTGGGGGTGGCTGCATCCCGTGATAATTGTCCTTGCGGTTTATCTCGTTGTCGGCAGCAACCCTGTTGGCGGGCGAGGATGGTGGTGAGGTTCCCTGCTCATCCAGATAAGGTGCATCTAGATCAATGTCTGGGAAGAAGTCGTCTAGTTGATCGATGACGCCTTCAACAGGGGGACGGCTAGCCCAAACATCGTCTCCTGCAAAGGATTTTCTTCTAATTGGAGTTCTCTCTTCTTCTGGAGAGCTACTCAAATTGAAGAACGTCCCCGGGTGGCTTGCTTCGCCATCAGAGTTCGTAAAAGTCTCACGAGTAGCGCTAGGCGACTTGAAACTGACACTCAATCCAGCACGGGGCTTCGCGTCAGTATCAACAGTGAGAGATGGTTTTCGTGGCCTTTTCTGCATCTCGGGAGACCCAGGCAGCACACCCTTCTCTTTGACGGGAGTCTTGGTGCTCGCCAACGGAATCGCAAATAGTCCATCATCCGAATCATCTTCCGAGTCATCTTCGAGATTAGGGGAGCGCTGGAAAGATACTTGCGTTTCCTCAAATTCGAACGCTGGTCCGACGGACTTTCGTTTTTGGCTTACCGTCCTGGATAAGCCAGATGAAGCCGTGGTATTGGTAGGTGAGTAGCTTGTGTTCGTAAGCGGCGGTGTATTTTGGCCATGTTGGTCAAAAGTTGAATCAACGCTGCTGTGGGGATCATCTACCGTTGTCAGCAAACTAAGGCACAAGTAAAGTGATCAATGCTGGATACCTGAATTTGTATTTCCCGAATTGGGCGACGTGGGCTTCCCAATGAGACTAGTCATCATTCCCATGTCTGCCATCATCTCCTTGATGCCGTGTGGTTGGTTAGAACGTTGAGGACGCGGCCGTTCACCATCCTTCTTCCTCAACGAATTTACCTTGCTGAGGGTATTTGACTCTTGAGGTGCTGATGGTGGCTTGCGGAAAGGCACTAGCACTTCAGACTTTTTATCTTCGTAGGGCGATATGCGTGGCTTATCGAAATTGATTACCTCCTTGCGGCGGTAACCAGTCTCGCTATAAGCATCTGGTCGTGGTAAGGGTGTCGGTGGTGTACGGTAGGACTTATGCTGCTTCCGTTCCTGGTCTTGGAGAACCTCTGGTTCTTCTTCCACGGGAGAAGCTCCAACAGTGGAGTTCTGGAGGTCGCGGAGAGGAAGCCTACCGGCCGGTGGCTTGAATTGTTGGGGAGAAGTAGCTTTAAGGGGTGAAACCCTACTGAGTGCTTCGCCGTCCAGCGGTTTCCTGGGTACAGTGGACGTTGGCGAGACAGCAGACTTGTCTGGGAAAGAGACTCCAAGGCCTGCGACATTATTACTTTGACGGTGGGGTGGGCTTCTGACGAATAATTTGAGAGAGCCAACAGAGTCTGATTTTGATCGTTGGCACAGAGTTAGGAAAGTGTCGTTGAGCGGCTCGTCGTGTTCGGACTGCCCAGGCTCAGTGAGAAATATCTGCGCATCAGCCCAGTCATTGATTCCGAGACTTTTGCAAATCAAAGCACGGAGCGTCTCGACAGAATCAATATCAGTGGTGTCAACTAGCCGATAGTTGAGGCCATCCAGCGTTGCGAAAATAAACCTTTTTCCTCTGTGCGCCGGCTTCGTTCGCAATACCATCCGTTCATAGTCGGATAGTGACGCCGATAAAGGTCGCTCATTCACCGAGACATCACTGTTGTTGAAGTTATACCTACCGTAGATTGGAGACTCCGGGGCCCCATCATCGGGGGACGGGTTATTGGGATCGCTATTTCTTGCGGATTTCTTCTTGAAAAAGTTGAGGAAGCCCATGCGGTGATCTTTGGGGTAAGACGAAGCATTGTCCCCAGCTGACTGAATGGCCTGTGGTGAGGGACGTGAGCTGTCATGCTTTATCGTTTCATAGTACCGGCGTTCTCCACTGTTGACTCGATTGTGTCCATACTTGGCGTCGAATTTAGCATTCAGATCGGGAGCGGACGACATGGGTGCTGAGTACAGCGCAGCATGCTGCGTGGCTGGGCTTCCGCTCTTGGGGCTACCTTCGTGTGGTCGATGAGGTGGGATTGCGAACAACCCGTTGTCGCTAGACATGGAAGGACTTTTCCTCGTATGGTCGCTTCCAATATTTCCTAGCACGTTGCGCGAAAAGTCTGACCTATGCAACATTGTGCTGGTACCTTCAGTCATAGCAATTTCTGCCGAGGTACTGTCGTGACTGATAGACCCCGGAGTTGTAAAGGATCGAGGTTTATGGCTATACTTTGGGGCCTTGAGGTTCGGACTACTAGAGAGATTCGCTGAATTGAGACTCGGAGAGCCAGGGATGAGGATGTGAGGGGAATTAGGCTCATCAGGAGCGCTGCCCTGTCCGTCCTCATAATCGTGGTGTCTAGGGTGAGTGACTCCACTGTCAGGTCCTGTGTCGTCGTGAATCAAACGAATCAATTTCCGCATGCGCTTTCCTTCCTCTCTCTCTCGCGTCAGATCCCACGTTGCGCCACTGGCCTCGCATTCTTTTGCGAGTTGAGGGTAAATCACGTTGTGCATTTTTCCGAGATTCGGACGCCCATTCAGCCCGTGACCCAACTCAAGGAAATCTGCTCCCTCTATTTCTAGAGTCTTGAAAGTCTCTTGCCATTCATGCGAGAATCCATTCCTCGCGAGCCATATCAGCACCCGGTCTAACGGCCATTGCACTGCTGCTTCACTAGCAGACATGCCACCAACGGTTGTACTACTGTTATTATGCCGATGGCTCGAAGTCTTGGTCAGATCGCTTGCTTGATTCGTACTCTGAGGGATTGATTTGAAAGGAGACCCTGTGGGCACCGCAGAAGAAGGGATATCCTGAACAGTATCATGAGGATAAGGAACTGTGTGCGTCAATGGCGTCGATGGAATCGTTCCGTCAAGCTGGTAAGCAGAGACGCTAGAGGTGCCATGCCCATATGGCGTGTTCATTGGAGGCCGTGATCTGTCGTTTGCCATCATAGTGCCGGGTGCATCGTACGAAGAAAGCGAATGCAGGTCGAAAGGAGGTATTCCGACTCCCGGTCCGAACGTTCCAGCCTGCGGTACATAGGTTGCGGACGTAGCGTTGTTATTTTGCATGGCCGACGGGCGAGCATAGGACTGATTTGCATGACTGGCATGGGTCATGGGAGGAGGCGGCGGCGGTGGAAGATATTGTGGTATCCCGCGCCCGCCCCAATTGGACCCTGGGATGTATGATTGGAGTTGAGGGTTGGTTTTCGGGGCATACGCAGTTCCGGGAGGTGGCCCAGGTGGCGGCGGAGGCATGACATTCTGCGGTTGCGCTGGAGCATATCGAGGAGGAGGAGGCGGTAATGGCATGATATGAGCTTGTGAGGGTTGAGATGCCGAAGGCGGCGGAGCCGGTACGTACGGCTGTTGTCTCTGGCCGTCCATATTGCAAGCTGCCGTGTACCATAAATTGAGGAGATAGCAGCTTCGGGTCTAAACTCGGCCGCCGAGCAGGTTGTCCTTGCAATCTAGCGGCTAATGGAGCTCGTATGCCACGTCCCGCTGAAGGTGTTCATTGCCTATGGAAAGCCCCGCAGCTCCCTTGATATCGGTGTATTGCGGTCGACGAAGTTCCGGGGCGAATCGAAATGGCTTGCTCTACAAGAGCAACCGAGCATGGATTAAACCACGTCCGTACGATCTCAGTCGGTGCTTGTCTCCCGTAGACTCTCTCTCTCTCTCGGACGTAACGTCGCAATGAGCCAGCTCATGTACGTGTAACTCGGCCCCAAGCTCGAAGCAATAGGTCGGAAGGTCAAGGAATCCGCGGATACGGCGAGCGCAATCGAAGCGGTGGCAGGAACCCGGGGCGGGATGCAAGTAAAGTGCCGGCAAGCCTAGTTTCACGCGCCGAGTCAGGGTCCGGAGAGTTGCTGGCTATACCTAAGCGCTTGGAGCTCTCGGGGCTGCAGAGAAGGGCGGCGCAGATATGAAAGGAAAAGAAACGTACCACACGAGTCCCTGAAATTAAGGAAGTCTATGACAGCTCATCAGGCCGCAGGCGCATGGATCAATCAGCCCCCCACAATGATTAGGATAAGGCGCTCGGGGGATTATTAGCGAAGCCTGTTGAGGTCTAGCCAAGCGTCAAATGTTTCATGCCCTTGGAACTCCTCGCTGCCCTGGCGGCCTTAGCGCCCATGACTTTCTCAGTCACGTGGCTCTGCGATAAGGACTGTCAAACTCAAGCAGTGATTTTCGGCTTCTCCACCAGGGACCATTCTCCGACGATCATTCCATTAAGGGCAATGGCAGCTGTTCGCTTTCCATGGAGTACAATGCTGCCACATGTGTCCGTGCAGTACGTACATTGCCTTCGGCTTCAGCCCTGTTGAGGATGCTGATTGTTACACCGTTAGGTACGGTGTCAATGCCGAGGTCGAAACACTCTCCCTGTCCAATTTAGATTAACCCTTCGGCCTGCATTTAAAGAAGATCCACCTGTTTTTATAGTCCCCTTGTAGGTACGGAATACAGCCATGGTCTACACTTTATAGTAAGTATTCATGCTATAGACATAGACCATGGCCTAAGCTTGATATCTGCTGTACATACCAACTAGGTAGTAAGGAATATCCACATTTTGATCGTCACCGTGTATGCTATTGACATGGTCCGTAGGGCAGATATCCGGACAGGTAGAGTTTGATTATATGATTATGGAAGATTGAAGGTGTAAACCCACAACCCTGAGTTTCATGCTAATGAAATGCTACATGGATCACCAAAAGTTAGGAAAGGTTCATCACGATTATCATATAACACCCTCTGCCCAGCGTAGGATCGTTATCCACCCGTCTTGTAGTCCCGCTAAGGAACATGGTCGAGGAGGGTGTTCTTCGAAACAGACGGGCCTTGATTATACGCAGGCTAGAAGATGTGGAACCACACAAAATCGGTCTGGCTTATGGTCCTTATTTGTTTCGAGCACTGGCGGCCTCAGCAGTAATCTTCAGAGCGGCGGGTGCGTCGTCGCGAGGCATATGAACTTCGACCAACTGCTTCAAGTCAACACCAGAAAACTTCATGTGAGAAGCCGCAAAACTTACCTGTAAGCATGGAGCGGAAGAGAACTCTTCGGTGGCAAACAGCTTGGTGAGCTCGTCCCTGGTCGTAACCTTGTAACCTTTGTATTTGTCCTTGCCACCGAATGCAACAGGTAGGCCCTTGACATCCCAGGTCTGAATATCATTGTAGGCCTCGTCCCATCCGTGGATGAACCGCTCAATGGTATAACCTTCGTTGCAAATGACAAAGCTGCATCTGTGTCAGTTCCCTCTCAAGTAAAGGCCGCAACCGTTGCACTCACATGATTGGGTTGAGGTTGTTCCTGATCATAGTGCTGATCTCCTGCACAGTAAGTTGCAGACTGCCGTCACCCACCCACAATATCGTCCGGCGATTACCCTGCTCTTTTGCAGCCAAAGCAGCACCCTGACACGCACCGACTGAGTAACCGATACTGCCCCAGAGTACCTGGCTGATGGCTGTAACTCCAGCAGGAAAGCGGGTGTCCCAGATTCCAAAGTTCGCCGTGCCGGTCTCCGTGATAACTATGTCGTTCTCTTTCAACCATTGTCCGACCATTGGCCACAGCCATGCATGAGTGATTGTCTGGTTACTGGAATCTTTCTCGTGTTCGGGAAGTGCGTTCGATATGTGTTGAACGGGATTGGCTTTGAGAGAGCCCATTTGTTGGGTAACCTTGCGTAGAACTCCTTTCATATTGATATCAGGGTACTCGGAGTATCTCACTCGCACAAAAGTGCTGTGAAAGTCAATCGTGTTCAACTGACTGGTACGGAATGAGAACCCAGCCGTGTTGAAATCCGATTTGATGGCACCGATATTGAGAATCAAATCCGATGACTCGACCTGCTCACGAACTCCGGGGTTAGACCCTGTCCCTGCGTAGACACCGCCATAACATTTGTGAGTTTCATTAACGGCACCCTTGCCCATTGGGGCCACAAAGGTTGGCAAACCAGCCGCTTCAATTAGGTCATGAACTTCATCTATCACATGGTGCCGCAATGCGCAAGCGTCCACAAGTATGACCGGTGAGGTCGCTGAAAGCACCGTTAGCAAGGTCCTAGAAATCTGAAAGTAGTGCCGCAGGACGGAAGAGGAGCCTAAAACGTACCCGCGTGCAAATACTTGAGCACCACGTCAACAACGTAGTCTTCTTTTTCGGGGTCGTTTGGAGGTAGAGATAGGTCAATGGGTGTCTCGAGCCTCTCCCCTTCAATCTTCTTAGTGATCATGTCTGTAGGCAAAGCAAGATACACAGGTCGGCTGTGGATCCAACATTCTCTAATGGCGTTATCGATGAGAGTTGCGGCATCGTAGGTGTTGTTCAGATGTGCCAGGTTTGCAGATATCCCCTTGTTCATGTTCGCAAAAACGTTGTAGTCCCCGTTACCCAGAGTGTGGTGTAGCAGCGTTCCATCTTTCTGGGAGCTTGTATGAGGTTGACCGACAATGTGGACGATGGGAACATATTCGGAATATGCGCCAGCAATAGCATTGATCGCAGAGAGTTCGCCGACTCCAAATGTTGTAACTAGAGCAGCAATTCCATTTACACGAGCGTAGCCATCGGCGGCATAACCTGCGACGAATGTTAAGTCGGGTTCACAGCTGTCGGTTGATCCTTCATACCCGCGTTGAGTTCATTGCAGTTTCCGACCCAGTGAAGTCCACACTTGGGCAAGTAATCGAGGGCCGCGAGATTATAATCCCCTGGAGTTGAATAACGCGTCAGAGGACACTCCAATCAAGGTACTTGAATAAAGGCGCTTACCAGGAACACCGTGCACTGACCGAACACCAACCTCGTGCAGCCGGCGGAAGAGGTATTCAGCGATGTCAACAGGCTGGCGAAGTTCCCTAGTAGCGATGTCGACCATGTTGATGTTAAAATGGCGGGTTCGTATGGTTGAGAATGTCTTCGAGAGTGAATTGTAGTTGAAGAGAACTCGGGACAGTGGGAAGTCTTATCACGACAATTGGACTGAGCTTCGTTGCGGCCTTATATAGTACGTCATGCACACAACGTGATGTCATGCCTTAGGACTGACCGGGTTCAACGACTGGATGCTCAAGGCTCGTTGTACGGCCCCATGTCGACAAGATGGTCTGATGAATGGGCAGATTCTCCGAGTCTGATGGTCTAGATGCCGCCACATGGCCAAAACGTCTGCTGTGCATTACCGAGAGCAGATATAGATCAGGATAAGATCAGGATAACGCCGATGATTCCTAGTCTTCGACGAGGCTGCCGTCTGGTCCCGCCCCGCTAAACCCAATTCATCCGCCGCCGTCCAGCACGATGATCGTCAAGAATTTCTGGGGAACCACACCTTTTCCAGAGCAAGAATTCCAGAACTTGATCCCCTCAATTTCGGCCCGACAAACACTGTAGTCTCTGTTATTCCTGGAATGGCCGACGGGGGAAAGAGAAAAATGCCCGAAAACGCGTCTAGCCAGTCCCACAAGAAGAGAAAGGTTTGTTCGTTCTATCGGCGTCTCCTAATGACTTCTACTTCATTTCTGCATTCATTAGGGCATGGCGACTCTCTGATACATAATCCAGGGGGGGAACTGGCAGAAGCACACTCCACGATCGACTATCGAAACTGGGGATTGGGGAGTATTTGTCACCTGCGAAAGGGGAAGAGAAAACAAGTGCGCTACAGAAGTCATTGATCTGTTTACTGAGGTAGATATCCCGATCAAAAATACCGGCGTCTCTTCGTGCTTGGTGTTTATCTAATGTTACGTGCTTCCAGAACGTGGAACAGCCTGGGAAGACGGAAGAGCCTGGAAAGGGCGGAGAGGAAGCTGAGTCCGACTCAGATGATGATGATATTGAAGCTCAGATCCGCAAAGAAATTGAGGGCTTGAAACCAAGCACATCAAAGAAATCGCCATTGTTCAAAGTCGTCAAATTCGAGCTTCCGTGTAGTATGTGACCCTCGCCCAGCAGAAACGGATGATACTAACAAAGTCAGTAATATTCGTGCGATTCGACCAATCGGTTGATCCTGAAAAGCTAGTACACAAGATATGTCTTGATGCGCACGCCAATCCGGAGCAAAAGCGAAGCCGCTATATCCAGCGGCTGACGCCCGCGCGCTCCATCCGTAAAACCCTCAGCGTGGATTTGGCAGAATTTGCAAAAGAAATCCTTAAACCAGAATTCCACTCTGGAGGGCCACCGAAGAAGGTTCGTTGCTCGTTTATGTTTTATGGAACAGTGGTTGACTCGCTCGAAAACAGTACGCCATTCGCCCTTCGGTAAGAGGCAACAAGAAATTTGATAGGGACACCATTATCAAAACTGTAGCGGATGTCGTTGGTCCCGAGCATCCGGTGGACCTGAAGAATTATGATTTGGTGATTCTTGTCGATGTGGTTCAGGTGAGGCCTCGCAAGGCTCCTCCCCCGCGGAGCACCCCTGCATCAGCAGAAAAACAAAACAACTAACCGGACCTAGAACGTCATAAGTATGAGCGTTGCAGAGAGCGACTATGACATGTTGAAACGATTCAATCTTGCTGAGCTCTTTAGCCCCGAAGCAGCGCCGCAAAAGCCCTAGGTTACGAATCATGCCAACCCGTTTATGCTCGTCCCAACTTCGCTCAGCTTGGCGCCGTGCTTATAGCTATTCTTTCTCGTCGTACCAGATAGTACCAGGTCAAAGGTTGCTCAGTGCTCAATGCGCAGTGACTGATCTTCTTGTCAGCAGCCAGGTGGCACCTGCCATCCTTTGCTTTGTGCACCGCATCCCGGCGGAATAACCCGAATGCGACAAGGGTCCGAGCCTCGATTATTTGGAACCGGGCCAGGCAATAGGCATCATCTGCCTCGTGGAGATCAGAGTCATTGAGCACTATAAAACGGTTAAAACCTAAGCCTAATTATGGATGACACCTCTCACTGAAACCCAAGAGAAATCCTGCTGCTCTCCTCTGCGATTCGGCGCTAGGCATAGAACAAATAGTAGAAGCGGCGGGCCGAGACTCCACAGAACACGGGCGTTGGATTGCCGGCAAAACCGATTCGCTTGGTTGCTCGGCAAGGACCATTTTTGATTGGACGTTCTCGGATCTCCATGTCGCACCTTTCTCAGACTGGGATGCTTAGGCGAACCCCATTGTTTTCTTCGGTTCATGACAAGTCCTCTATGGTAGGGCTACCGTTTTCTCTGGCGTTGACGTCCCACCGCATCTTTGCATCAGCATAATGATTCCAAATGCTTCGCCCCTTTCAAAGATCGGCTGTTGCGTTTGCCGTAATCCGTCATAAACAAAGGCTTTACTCGCTTACGATCGATGGAGACTGGCCCAGGGCCGGAATAACCAATGCCTGTTGTTGCTCGTTGAAACTAACGAGGCTCATCTAAGTCGACTTACATCGTCTGGGCGGTTTCTAAACTGTTGATGTCTTGCTTACAGTGAGAGAACTCTTAATAGTGAGCAAGCACCGCTCTGTTCTTGACTATGAGATGCAAGTCCTGGGCTACGATATCCTCCTTGGCCTGTGAAGAAACGGCTCCTCGTTCGATCATGTTCTCTCCCCTATCTGCTCCTTCCGATGCAGAGGCAGAAGTCTCTGACAAATTGGTCTCTATTCTCCAGCAGCATTTCTTACTTCCGATCCATGTTGACAGGATCTACCCCTTAACTGGTCACCTGCATTCTCTCTACCTAGTTCGGCTATCAAACGAGACTCATCTGTTGATGAAATGCTCACCAAAGCCGACAGCGCCGCTTCTACGCCGTGAACATATCCTGCTAGACACGGAGGCACGGGCCTTGTCTCTCCTGAACAAGAATACTATGCCATGCGTCCCACGGCTACTCCATTACGATGCCCTAGGAGATTTGCTCGGGCCATCCTTTCTGATACGCCATCACATTCCGGGTTCATCCCTGGAGGACCTAGACGCTCAGCTCACGACCCAGGAGCGAAGTTCTGTTGAGAGAAGCTTAGGGATTTTAGCAAAACGAATCGCGCAGCATACCTCTGAGTTCTTTGGAAGCCTAGGGCAGGTGGCTACCTCGAGAGGGACTAAATCTTGGAGAGAGGGTTTTCTTGTACTGTTCGAGGGCTTGCTTCGGAACGCGGAGGACGTCTTCATCAACCTTCCCTACGGAGAAATCAGGTATCAGGTCAGCCGGGCGTCTTCAGCGCTAGATGAGGTTTCAACACCACGGCTGGTGGTGGTCGACTTTGGCCAGCCATCACAGGTCTTGGTGAACGAGAGCAAACGGCTGTGCGGGATATCCAGCTTTGGGACAGCGATCTGGGGAGACGTCTATATGGCAAAGATCTTTGAGAATCCGACGGCTTCTGTGCTGGATGGTTTCGGATCTTGCTATGCCAAGAACCAATCTGGAAGAACTCGACAGCTTCTGTACGTATGCGCAAGTCTGCTTTGTGAGACGTTTCCTGACCCATTTAGGTACTCTTGTTATCGGGCCGTGCATGGTATTGTCCTGCAATACTACCGGAAGAATCAAGCCACGGCTGTCGAGATCGACGCAAGAAGAGAGCTTTTGACGGCATTGGCGAAAATGGCAGCATTGTGATTTGAGACTCTACCGCTGTCAGGAACAGTGTGAGTCTCTCGCCTCGATACATGTAATACTCAGCATTAGCGCCGTTATCATTGGTAGACTTGCTGCCATATAGATCTATAACTAGCATATTATAGCGTGGTAATCAGCTCATTTGCAGACTGTTTTTTTCTGTTCTTGATCCATTATTGTAGTCATTTTAACTTGTGAACTCAGCTGGAGCTTCATGTTACACAGCAAAAGCACTCCGGACCTGCATGAGCTTGGGCCCCCACTCTAGGTAGCTTTCTCTTTAATCCCAATCCAACACCTTAAACTTGTCCCTTTGGTTCCCCCAAAGTCTTCAAAGATGACTTCTTTACAGTCACTGCCATACTCAATGAGGCAAGCGATAGATATAGAACACTATGGCTCGGCTCATGATGTCACGCCATTCCCAGCGGGTCCACCGTCACCGAAGGCTCTCCCCGCTATTCAAGAGGGGCATCCGTTGATTTATTCTTAGATATCCTGGAGGTCTTTTGGAATTTTTTTTCTTGCTATCCGCTCATTTTATAGTTATTTTCGCGCATATTATTATATTATATCAGCCCAATGGCTACGCCTTCATCCTCAAGCCGCGCCGACGAAGTGCACAATGTGAGTCATCCATGGGCAATTCGCAGCACGGAATACTAATAACATTTTCTTATCAGCTTCTCAACGCAGTCGAAGATCTCCTGATTCCGTTCATCCGATCCGCAGACGAAGACACCCTTGGCCCCAAGACGCGGGAGAATGGAGTCAACAAGAGCAACCGAGCCAACGGAGACCACGCAATAGTCGGCACGTCGCTGGTGGACTACAAGAAGCCAGAGGAACTGCAGGAAATTCTACAATTGAGTCTCCCTCAACAAGGCACCGGGCAAGACGGTCTGATCGATGTTCTCCGAAATGTCCTGCGCTACTCGGTCAATACCTGGCACCAAGGCTTCCTAGACAAGCTGTATGCGTCCACCAATGCGCCTGGAGTTGCGTCGGAACTCATACTCGCGGCTCTGAACACGAACGTACATGTCTACCAAGTCTCCCCTGCGCTATCTATCATCGAGAAGCATACTGGAAAGCAGTTGGCTGCGCTGTTTGGCCTTAACGGGCCGAGGGCCGGCGGGATCTCGGTACAGGGCGGTTCTGCGTCGAATACGACGTCCATTGTCATTGCGCGCAATAATCTATACCCTAGTACGAAGACAGACGGCAATGGCGACTACAGGTTTGTCCTATTCACCAGTGCGCACGGGCACTACAGTATTGAGAAGGCGGCTCAGATGCTAGGACTGGGCAGCAGCGCGGTCTGGTCAGTTCCGATCGACAAGGAGGGACGTATGATCCCTGCTGAGTTGGAGAAGCTGGTTGAGAAGGCATTGAGCGAGAAGCGCACACCTTTCTACGTCAACGCGACAGCCGGAACAACGGTCATGGGATCATTCGATCCCTTCGAGGATATCGCAGCCATTTGCAAAAAACACAACCTGTGGTTGCACATTGACGGGTCCTGGGGCGGCTCGTTCGCTTTCTCTAAGCGCCAGCGACACAAGCTCGCCGGCGCAGAAAAGGCAAACAGTATTGCCATCAACCCGCACAAGATGCTTGGTGTCCCCGTAACCTGCTCCTTCCTCCTAGCCTCCGACCTGCGCCAATTCCACCGCGCCAATACCCTTCCCGCCGGGTATCTCTTCCACAACAGCGACGACGAATGCGCAGCTCCGGCTCAGAACGGAATCGAAGGAGCCCCCGAACTAGAGTCCGACTCCCCAGAGGTCTGGGACCTCGCAGACCTAACCCTCCAGTGCGGCCGGCGCGCCGACTCTCTAAAGCTCTTCCTCGGCTGGACGTACTACGGTACAGCCGGCTACGAGCGCCAAATCGATACAGCCTGCGACACGGCCGCATACCTCGCAACCCTGGTCCAGGACCACCCGGACTTCATCCTCGTCAGTCAGAACCCGCCGCCTTGCTTACAAGTCTGCTTCTACTACGCCCCAAGCAAGAACCTCCTTCATCCCCGCGGTGTCGTCTCAAACGAGACTCAGCGCGCAAAAGCCAATAGCAAGGTCACTGAGCAGATTACGCATGCGATTGTAGCACGCGGGTTTATGGTTGATTATGCGCCGCCTAGTGGTGATGAAAATTCTGTTGGTGATGGCAAGTTCTTCCGGTGTGTTGTTAATGTTCAGACGACGCGGGAGACGGTTGAGGGGCTTGTGAAGGCCATTGAGGAGGTTGGACCGGGAGTTGTGGAGAGACTTAGGGCGGAGGAGGCGTCGACGGCTAAGAGGATACCTGGGGAGAGGGGGCATGGGCCTGTTGTTCATCATGTATGAGCGGGGTTGTATCATTTATTCATATTTAGAGTCGGCGACGTATATGGTCGAGATAGAGAATATTGATGTCAAAATAGAATGATAGATTGGTATTGTTAAATATGTATTACACTCATGGCCATATGGCCTGCTAGACTATACATCCGCCAACATTAAATAAGCTCAGCTCCCAATCTCAACTCGCTTCTCCAGAACACTCCGCGCTTCCGACTCAGTGAGCGTCTCAACGCCCAACTCAGCAAGCATCTCCCTAGCACTCTCGTTATCCTTGAAAAGCCTCTTCTCGACCTCCCACAGTCCCAACCCCTTCCCAGGTGCAACCCCAATAGAAGCTCCATCTTCCCCTTCGCCCTGGGTTGTTTGAGCATCCAGGTTCAGAATGAGAAGACCCTCATCAAGTTTCTGGAGGATTGCTTTAGAGCCACCTGCTTGAACAGCGTGGCCGAGAGCTGCATCGACGACGCTATAGAGGTGGTCCATATCACTTGCCAACTGAGCCGCACCGGAAGCGGAGAATGTGTTTCGGAGAAGGACATTGGACCAGATGTATGTCTGCGTGGAAAGGAGGATCTGACGGACAATGCGACGGAGCGGGGCGACTCCAAGAGCGCGCGAGAGAAACGAGATTGTCGTGGATAGGGTGCGCATGGTCTGCGCCAGGTCTGCGGTTGGGGGGAGGGGTCCCGTGGCGGGGACGGAGTGCCCGGAGATTGTTGACCATGTGGACACGCGAGAGTAGGGCTTTAGGGCAGATCGGACATTGGAAGTAATGGTTGAGGTAATTATTGACTCGGAGCGTAGTCTGAGGCGGTGGTATGCGGAGGCCGTCTCGTCGAAGAGGGCTCCTTCTGGGGTTTCTTCTGGAGAGCTGGTCCCCGGGCCGTTGTTGACGGCTGGGGAAGTGCGTGATGCTACGTCGGCGACGGACATTGACCCGGCAAAGTTTTTCCCGCTCTTTTTGTTCTGCTTGACGCGTTCTTGGAGTTCGGACCAGAGTTCAACGAAGAAGACCTCATTGCTCCAGTCCTCCATCTTCTTTTCGAGATATTCTGCACTACCGAAGACTCTGCAGAGCCGCTCTAGGCCAGCGATTCCCTCGACGCTGGCTTGTCCGTCTGCACCTTGCACAGTGCGGCCGATGGTTGAGGTCATCGCAAGATAGGCTTCTAGCGCTGAGTGCAGGCGTTCGTGGAATTGGTCGAACAGTGTAATCTGAATGTCGATGAGAAACCGTAGCTTCTGACTGAAAGAAGACAAGGGTTGATATCGCTCGGTTATTGTCTCCAACAGGTCGTTCACGCGGATAGCGGCTTTGGTAGGCTTAGTTGCAGTTGGCTCAACCCCGTCGTAGTCAATATGACCACTATCCGGTGTATCCACGATTTCCTTGTACCGGGCTAGTGCAAAGTCCTTCTCGACTTGTAACCATCGTTCGAACCATCCTTCCTTGGATAGTACCTCCCACGTGAGACCCCTCCAATCTTCTTTCGAGTGAGGATCAGGCAAGTAGTTCCAGGTTTCGCGAATATCATTATCATAATTCATCAATTCGTGCACGAAGTGACTGAGTAGCTGAGGATGTGTGGAGATCTGAGGGAGGTAGGTAGTTATTTTGTGCCTCAACATGGGCAACAGAGCGGTAATGTATGCATCCGAGGCGTTGAGGAAGTTCCACGCGAGTTGATCTTCCACGGTCTGGGATTTTTGGTCGAAAATGGGCTGGAGGTATGAGGTGAAAAAGCCGCCAAAGTCGTTCATGAGGTCCGTCGTATGCGCAAGGAAGTACTCAGGCTATATATAATCAGGCGCATGCGTCATTATAGATTTTTGGGGAGCGTACCTTGTCGAGTCTATTTGTCGGCTTGTCACCACTAAAATGATACTTGAAACGGAGTTCCAGAGGATGCACCATGGCCTCCAATGGAAACAAAACCGGCGGTTGAACAGCTTTCTGGTTCGTAGAGTCATGGCACTCAAGCTCTCTAATGAGTTGGTCAGCAGTGAGCGTACACAAAGCTTCCCCACAAGAACATACGGAATCTGTAGGTCAAGGAGCAGTTCAACGTTGTCCGCCCACTGGTGTTTGAGGGTTTCTGGAAAGTTCAAGTCCTTGGACGGCCATTTCATTTGCTCCAACGTAGAACGAAACCTGTTCGTAAATTCCTCCTTCATGTGTTCTCTGAGCTTAGATGCCAATCGTCCTACATAATCAACCAAATGTGGGCTTGCGCCTTCCGCAGCTGGCTGGGCCTCATTCAATGATTCCACAATCCTCCGCAACCGAGAATAAAACGCGATTGCCGATCGAGGCTCAGCCTGTATACTCCGTAATGCCTCCTTACTGCGCGTATGTTCAGCGACCAAGCTAACCCAAGAGCTTTCGTAGCACCATACCTTAATTCCTCGGCATCTCTTAGCAGCGTCACATAGCCCCTGGATAACTCGAGCCGTTTGAGCTTCGTAATACTGGTTTCGAAACGCTTTGCTGCCTCATCGCTGGCGTCGGACCCCGTCAAAGCCTTTAGTCGGCGGTCAATGTCGGCTTGCTGGTCATTGAATGCTTCGGCTCGTTTGCGGGTGGTCTCGACGTGGTCGTTGTGATTCTGGGTGGCGGCCGAGAGTGCTTCCTGTGCTTCAGCTAGCTATATTCTGTAGTTAGTAGGACGAGCAAAATATTGCCTCCATCGGCACCGATTCATACCTGTTTGCGCTGGAGCTCATGCTGGGCCCGCAATGTTGAAAGTAGTGAGTCAAGACTCTCGAAATCGGCTGATGTTTGTATCTTATCGTTGAGATAGTCCTCCACCCTTGTCCTCTCATGTGGTGAGAGTGTTGACACCGGGGTAGCCATTTTGCGGCGTTGGTGGGGGGAGAAAAGAGGAGCATTGAAGCAAGGTGTCGCGATTGCTCCGAGCGGAGTCGGAGCTCTTGGGATTTCCCCGGATCAACCATCTCAGTTACACGACGTCATGGCAGTTGGAAACCCCATCATGGACACCAACTCAACAGATTTCGCATTATCACTACCTACGTGACCGGTCATCATGTCTAGTCCCGCGAAGAAGCGCAAGAGGGATACCCAGCCCACGCGCAGCATCGCGTCATTCTTTCAGGGCCAAGCGGCCAAAAAGGCTGAGCAGACAGAGCAATCATCTCCCCCGGAAGACGGCGAACAACATTTTTCTGATGAGGCCCTCGCTCGGAAGCTTCAAGCTGAATGGAACAACGAACAAGAACCCGCAACTCCCGAGCCTCCTGCGACGGTACCTCCGACCGCTGCATCACCCTCTCCAGAGCAGGATCGAGAACGGAAGAAGGCCAAAGCCGGAGTGCTCTCACTGCAGTCATCTACAGGGGCAGAAGACACGATATCGCTCACAGTTCCTCTCGATGAAAATCCTCTAGTGTTTAATTCCTTCAGATACGCCCAAGAATTGAAAGCGCACTGGTCGGCAGAAGGCGGGGATGCTTCGTATGCTCTTCTCACTAGAGCTTTTGTCCTGGCCAGCTCAACTACCAGCCGTATAGCCATCGTTGGTATACTAGTTAACGTTCTTCGCGTTATAATCGAAGGAGATCCAACAAGCGTACTCCCCGCAGTATGGCTAGCAACAAACTCAATATCACCGCCGTACCATGAACTTGAGCTCGGACTTGGTGGGTCTGTGATATCCAAGGCTTTTAAGAAGATATACGGCTTGAATAGCCAAGGGCTCAAATCGTTATATGATCGTCTTGGAGATGCTGGGGATGTCGCGTTCGAGGCCAAAAAGAGGCAGAGCTTCACCTTGGTAAAGCCCAAACCACTGAGCATCAAGGGAGTCTATCAATCTTTGACAAAGATTGCCATGAGCAAAGGCAACGGTAGTCAAAACATGAAGGAAAGTATTGTGAATAAATTATTGCAAGACGCCCGGGGCCCGGAGGAGGCTCGCTATGTCGTAAGGACCCTGGTTCAAAACCTGCGCATCGGCGCCGTCAAGACGACTATGCTCATTGCGCTCGCCAGAGCTCTTTTACTCTCCAAACCGGAGGGTGCAAGCTTTAATGTTCATTCTCAACACGACCTAGCTCGTCTCAAGAAGGAAGAACTCACAGAAGTCTACAACAATGCGGAGGAATTGGTCAAGGCATCTTATGCCAGACATCCGAATTACAATGACCTCGTACCTTGCCTCCTCGAGATTGGAGTCTCTGAGGAACTTCTTGTACGGTGTGGGTTGCAGATCCATACCCCGTTGATGCCAATGCTGGGCAGCATTACTAGGGATCTGTCCGAAATGTTGACCAAACTTCAAGGACGAGACTTCACCTGTGAGTATAAGTACGATGGGCAACGTGCCCAGGTGCATTGTGATGAGACAGGAAAAGTCTCGATATTCTCGCGTCATCTAGAGCAAATGACCGAAAAATACCCCGACCTCGTGTCTCTTGTTCCTCAAATACGAGAAGGCGTTTCTAGTTTCATCCTTGAGGGTGAAGTGGTTGCGGTAGACCAGAATGGGGAGCACCAACCTTTCCAAACCCTGACAAACCGGGCGAAGAAGAATGTGGAAATCGGTGCAATCTCGATCAATGTCTGTTTGTTTGCATTTGACTTGATGTACCTGAACGGTACGCCTCTGCTGGATCGGTCTTTGCGCGAGCGAAGGGAATTGTTACGAAGTCTCTTTGTGCAGATTCCGAACCGGTTTACCTGGGTTAAAAGCCTTGATGCTACGTCGGCCGACTCTGAGACCGTTCTGGATTTCTTCAAGAGTGCCACTGACAGCAAATGCGAAGGTATAATGGTCAAAGTGCTTGACAATGCGCCTGTCAAATCGGCCACGGCCAGCTCCAACTCCACGAACACGCCAAACACACCAAACACACCAGCAGAAGTCAAGGAAGTGAAGAAAGGAGGTCGTCGAAAAGAGTTGCTGTCTTCATATTCGCCGGATCAGAGACGGGAGAGTTGGCTCAAGGTGAAGAAGGATTACAGCGCATCATCAGAGACATTAGATCTCATTCCCGTGGCCGGGTGGCATGGCAATGGCCGAAAAGCCAAATGGTGGTCCCCGATTCTCCTCGCTGTCCGCAACCCTGAAACAGGCGGCCTTGAAGCCGTGACAAAGTGCATGTCCGGCTTCAGCGATAAATTCTACCAAGCAAACAAGGACAAGTACGAGCAGGGTAGTCCGAATGTCATCTCCCGGCCCAGCTATGTCGAGTACAATGGTGAGCCGGACGTGTGGTTTAATCCCCAAGAGGTCTGGGAGATAGCATTTGCCGACATTACGCTCAGTCCGACCTATATCGCTGCTATTGGGTTAGTGAGCGATGAGCGCGGTCTCAGTCTCCGTTTCCCACGATTTCTCAAAGTCCGAGAGGATAAATCAATTGATGAGGCCTCTACGGCGGACTACCTTGCGTTGCTGTATAGGAAGCAGTCAGAACGGGCACGGATTGAGGAAACTGCGAATGCAGATCAGGTTGTAGAATTGGCAGAGTAGGATAGTCGACCCCCAATCTCTACATTTAGGCTCTCTAGGATACTTAATCTACGTGACATCGTCCACGCCCGTCGCTGATCTGCCACCCTTTAGCCACGGGCAAAGGTAAGGTCAACCAGGCAGATATCTTTTGAGTATATACCTTGTGGCCTGCATATAAGTCTACTGTCTTCACACAGTACGGCCATGGCTCATCACATGGATACATGAACATGGGAGTCTTGGTTACATGCAGACCAGAAGTTGTACACCCTGCCAAGTCAAGGTGACATTTGCATTGACGCGGTCGTAATGAAATCATTGAGCATCAAACTTGTTTCGCTTCGGGTTGAAAGTATATCTCCACCGAGACGGATTAATGCGGACGATCTTGAACGCAGTGCGGAGAGTAGGTTATGAATTCGGAATAGGTGTGAGGCCGATCAAGAGGGTTTGTTTTTGTCTTTCAGGATCAGAGATTCGTCGATGAAGAAGATCTCATGGAAAACTGGGATTGAAGCCGACGGTGTCTCGTATAGAAAGCCTGGAGGAGCCTGGCGGGACAGGGTCTCGTCACCGTTGCCAAGAAGTCCTGAAACTGTCAACCCTCCTACTCCTTGACTTTTCCGAGATGAAGCTCAGCAAGGGAACGAGGGCTCAAGATACCGTCTTAACGATGTCGACCCAAGCTGCTCGAGGCCAATCCGACTCAACATCCTGCAATTGAATCAATGGATGCGAGGTGACTGCAGCGCACAGTGCAAGTGGATCGTGGACCCCTGGGCCGTAGCAGCAGACGTCAAAACTCAACGGCCGGACGAACTGGCGCTGACAGCCGGTTGGGTCCGTGCCTAAAATTATCCTCAGTGAACGAAGCCTAACTTGAATTCATCCTGACCTGCTTCAGATAGAGGCGTTAGTGGAGCCGTTGTCCGTTTGGAGCGGAGAAGCGAACATCCATCTGGGCCGATTCTGGGCAGAACGACAACCTGCAACAAGCCAGGAGACAAGCCAGGAACCACGAGGCTTGTGCTGAGTGCATTCCGCCTGACTCGTGTTCCTGACAAGGCGTCGGGGGCATTGCAGGATTCAGCATGGTCGGGGCCTTGGGAGTGTGCCAAGAACACCAAGAGTTTCGTATAGACAGACTGCTACACCATGGCCGAGTCGAACTTGTATGTGCTTATATAGCCGCTGCCTCCATGGATCATCCCTCAGCATCATCTTTCGTTTACTGTCCAAGTACTGCTGGCTCGGTGCTTTCTGTCCTTCCTTCTCTTTCATTCTTAGAGCGGTCTTCTTGCCGTCACTCGTTATTGCAAGATGGCCATTCGTTCAGTCATTATCGCTGCAACTGCTCTCCTCGGAGCTGCGGCCAACGCCCAGGTCGTGGGCACTCCCTTTGGCTTCGGTGCTGCCACCACCGGTGGTGGTGATGCGACTCCCGCTGCTCCTGCGGATACGGCCGAGCTCACCGAGTGGCTCGCAGACGACGAGCCCCGAGTGATCCTCATCGACAAGGAGTTCAACTTCCTCGGCGATGTATGCACTGACTGCGAGTGCTGCATTCCCGACTCCAACACTTGTGGCGACGCAGGCCAGAACGCTATCGAGGTTGGCATCGGCTGGTGTGGTGACTACCCTACTACGACCTGCACGTACGACAACGCCGGTCTTGACGGCCTCGATGTAGGCCCGAACAAGTCTATCGTTGGTGTGGGCGATGCTGGTGTCCTTCGCGGTAAGGGTCTGCGCATCCATGGCACGGAGAACGTCATTGTCCAGAACATCCACATCACGGAGCTCAACCCGCAGTACATCTGGGGTGGTGATGCCATTTCCCTTGATGGTGCCGATAAGGTGTGGATTGACCACGTTAAGATCTCCCTCGTCGGTCGCCAGATGTTCGTCACTGGATACGAGTCCAGTATGTCCATCCCATTCTCAAAAAGTAGGGCTACCTCTAACAAGCACAGGTGGAAGCGTCACTTTCTCTAACAACGAACTCGACGGCACCACGGACTGGAGTGCTTCTTGTGATGGCCATCACTATTGGACTATGTAAGTTTAGGGTTTTACGGTTATAAAACCCCAAGTCTACTCCAACTAACGCAAAACAGCCTCGCCCTCGGCGAAAATGACAAGGTAACCTTCGCCAACAACTACATCCACACCACCTCCGGCCGTGCCCCCAAAGTCGGCGCCCCCAGCTTCTGGCACGTATACAACAACTACTGGTCGGACAACACCGGCCACGCCTTCGACGTCGAGGAATCCGGCACAAACGTCTTCATCGAGGGCAACGTCTTCGAGGACATCAACTCCGCATACAACGGCGACGGCACTGGTGCCATCTTCGCCGTCGACTCCGACTCCGAGGCTACCTGCTCCTCCGCCCTCGGCCGTACTTGCATTGCCAACAGCCTCACCAGCTCCGAATATACCGCTGTCGCGGATGAGAGCGTCCTGTCTGCTTTCCCCGCCGACGAAGAGGGCGACGTTACCATCATGGCAGTTGAGGAGGTCGCCGCCTACGTCCTGGCCAACGCTGGTATCGGCAAGCTCTCGTCCAGCGGAAGCACCAGCGGCGGCAGCAGCAGCGCCGCCGCTGTTACTCCTACCTCCAGCGTCCCTGTGATCCCCACCAGCACGCCTCTTGTGTATCCCACCCCGACCCCTCCTGCTTTTGAGACGCATGTTATCCAGCCTGAGCCTGAGGCTTCCAGCACTGCCGTCCCTGCCCCTGCCCCTTCTGGTGCAGCGAGCCAGGGCTCTTCCTCTGGCTCTTCTCACCCGCCGGGTACTTGCAAGGCTCGCCGTAGCCACAAGAAGCGGGCTCGCCGTTCTCACTAAGGTGTAGTCGAAGATGGACCGGGCTTTGGTGCATTGGTTTGATCTTTCATGGTGAAGAAATGGATCTAATGTGTAGTACAATCATTTCAGTCATATCCGCGAGGCTGGTTGGACGCGAGGCTGTATCATTTGATATATGTCCTACACAACTTTGTACTTTATTTCTTCCATCATTATATATGTCTTCTAGCTTAATCTTACTTCCTCTTATCCTCGTGTTCCCCCAACATGAAACTCACCTGCTTCTTCCCCCGAACTCTAACGTCGAGATTCCAATGGATGTTGGGAATACTCAGTGACTCCGGAAAGCAGTCATAAGAATGAATTCTGCACATTGATCCTTACGGTAATAGAGTCTCGACATGCCATACTCTATTGAATCCTACATTAGTGTAGGAAATGCGCTTTTAGTGCACATCTAGCGCTATCGCAGAGTAGTCTACTGTCCATGATGGTGATACCAGAGGCCCTAACTTCCAGCGCATCTGCCACCGCACCTCGTCAACTCAACCCTAACAACCCCGGCCGATTTTTTCCTTAGGCCGACGGATAGATGCGAGCCTACGGTGAATTTGTTGCTACAATTGCCAGGGCTTTTGCGTGGAGTATAAAATAGTTAGTTCTATCTACTGTTTATGATGATAGTGATGCTATGTAGATGCCATCAATGTTCGCCAAGAAACATAAGAAAGGGGTATGGGGGTATGGGGTATGGGGTATGGACAGAAGGAAAGGGAATGGGTGTACATGAAGCGCACAGTTTTCTCACCGGGCTTGTACACGAGACTTGATTGAGGCAAGCAGAAGGGGAGGTGGAGGATTAAGTAGATACATTTGGACATGAGAGTGTACATATCGGTCATCAGGGTCGTAACAGGGGATCCACGATAGGGGTAATAAAGAGATACTGGAAGTGGGGGAAAGAAGGGAAAGATGAAATCACGGCCGCAGCTCGCCACCCAGCTGCAAAACAGCACCTGGACCCTTCTCGCGGATCTTGGGGCTGTCGATTCCTGGTGGCAGAAGGTTGTCCAGGTTTGACCGTCTCCGTATGTCTTTGCTCGTCAGTGGTGTCCGGGCGAGCCCACCAGGTGTCCGACCACCAAAGGCAGGCTGTGCTGGGCTGGGAGTCACGTTGACAAAGTCCGCAAAGTTGAACTGTTGATTCGGCGTGCCGAAGTTGGGAAACATTCCGCCGCCTGGTGTCGGTGTCATGGATGGAAGGACCGCATGTTGACTAGGCGGCGTCGAGGGAGGGAATGCTTGCGGCTGGGGTTTGGTTGCTACTCTGGCCGGGGTTGGCGAGTTGGCTAGGTACAGAAGGAGATCTGCTCCGTCTTCGTGGCGGAGATTGCGGTCATTTCGTGATAACGAGGCATGCTTTGGCGGCGGTGTACGAGGAGGTGACGAGCCTACAACGGAGCTCACTTGGAAGCTGTGCACAGGGAGATCGGGGTCGTTCTCATCGTCCGATTGAGCGTGGTACCTTGGGCCCGGGGAGGAAAGCTCGGAAATGGGAGCTGTTTCCGTAATAAGCGGGAGGTTGTTTCGACCGCGGCGAGTATTGGTGTGACGACGGAAGCCCGGAGACGACTCGGGCAATTGATACGAACTCTTCCATGACGCCCGAGAAACCTTTGCCGGACGGTCACGGTCTGCAGCGGAGTCGGCTCGGATGCGCTTTCGACTGGCAGAGAGCATGGGCTGCATCACCCTCGAGTTGAAGGTGGCCGCATGTCTGTTTCTGGACGAGCGAGGGAGCTCCTTCGAATAGGAATAGGACGAGGCTCGCAGGGGAGAGGTCAGAGGTGTCTCGCAGCGGCTGGTGGAGATGTCGGAGGAGGAATCGGAGGGTTTGTCACTGCTTTCCAACCCAAAAGAGATATGCAGCCCACCGTTCTGGTGTGAGGGAAGCCGGCCATGCTGGTACTTGACTTTGGCAAGGCCGAGGCGGTCCTGGAGGTTGAGAGACACCTGTCCCAAGACGAGCGTTAGCATTTTCTTGCTGTCCCGTCCTTGATTCCATCTATAGATTCCGATCAAGGCCCATTGACACATACCTGAGCGATGTCAATCTTGCGGATCGTCTTTTCGGGGTTTGACAGGACCATTGCTCGAAGGTGGGTGACACTGGAACGACGGAGGGGACCATAAACCGGGAGGCCAAAGAAGAGAATGGCGAGGTTGACCAAGCAGGGTTCAAGGGAAAAGGCGGCTATGAGACTCGAAAACCAGGAAGGGATGTCGGAATCCAGAGAGAGTGGGGAGAGGGAGCTGGAGGGCGGCTGGAAGAGAAGAATTGACACCCAATTGGAGCACGCGAGATGCACTAAAGGATCTGGGGAACGAGATCTTGACAAGATCAGAAAAGGAACGATGATGGCGTAGTCATAGAGTTCTCCCAGGTACGGAGTACTCAAGGCCAGATATGTAGACGAGTCGAGACCGAGTCGTCCGGAGAGAATTTTTGTTGTTGTCCGGGGGAACACTCATGGATTCTGCAGTCTGCAATTTCGTGTGGAGCGAGAAAACGCGCGCCATCGCGACGGATTCCCCGGTTCGTCCACTTAAGAGTCTGGCGCTCATGATTAATCTGCTACAGCCTACAAGCAATTGGAGAGACACAGATCGAGATCTTGATATATGAACTGTAGCAATACCAAGCTAGAGATCAGGCGCACATCCCACAAATTTTCATCTGTAGATACGGAATACGGAAGTAGATATGCCGACTCCTTGAAACCCACTGGAATCTGGATGGGTCGCAAGTTGGCCTGGGACCGTTTAATAGCCCGCCAAATTCTCCGATCGTGCATGCTCCTTATTCCTCAGGTTATCATCACTATCCATCCCTTTTCTGGCGGCGTACGACGCGACATTCTGGCCGGAGGTTGGGCCGCTGGGTTATGCACATTGACGTTTCTTGTTCGACCTTGGTCCACGGGATGGCTAGCTGTGCGACTCCGGTGTAGAGCCGATAGACTGATGCATCCAGAGGCAGAAATTGAAGGGCCAGAGACGCCAGAGATAAGGTCCACTCGAGGAGCAAAACAAGCAGAGGTTGAGCCAGGAACAGGAACCAAGGAGTGTATGACGTGGAGTTGATGATGCAATAGGAGAGCGCTAAGAGATTTCGTGTCTGTCAACCGATAAGGACGCTGCTGTTGATTCCACGGAGAATGGTATACCGTATAGTAGAACTATACAGCGAAAAGAAAATAGGGCATGTGTACTCGTACCACTCTGCTATCGGCAGTTCAATATGGACCGGCGGGATCACAGCATATATGTGTCTCTATCTAAACGTTGGAGAGACAAATATAGCAGATCGCCGCCGCAGGTGAAACTAGACAAGTGCTATCCAGGCCACCGACCCACTCTCAAAGCTAAGAGTATGCTCGTTCTTCCGTTTTTATGTCTCAGCCTGCCTTGATACCAGCTTTATTGCTGGCCAGAATTTCTGATATTCCTGATCTTCCCTGCGACTCTCCCTCCACAGACAACAACTGTCCATTGTCCACCACTGGTGACTGACCAGACCACAAAGGTAGGTGATTGTCTGTTTCTCGCCATGGTCGCCCTGTGTCCGACCGTCTCACTGCCTCCCTGCCACCTGGGCGCATCCTGCAATGCTCATTGCTCTGCAGCTCTGCTCCCCACTCCGGTCGCTGCCAATGCTTCTTGCCTCGCCAAGTAAAGCTGCCCAGCTTTGCCTTGATTTTCTTTTTTGTTCATTGTTCATATCGGTGGCTAATAATGGGCTGTAGCTGGTCGACATTCATATCTCTCGTTCCTGAAGCTCCAGTGGGTGTGGGGGGTTTGTCAACATCCTCCGCAAACGGTCGCCAGTCGTCCCTCCCTGCCAGGCCTACTTCCTTCCAGGTCACTCCGACACCTTGCCAACTTCGTCGCTCGTTTCTGGCAGCTAGTTCGATTCTCGCTTCTACAACATCTTTTCTTTGTACTGTCTGGTGGATCGAGGGAGACGGGTGATACTTTCAAGGGCCGCCCCTTCCTATTTCGTCTAACCCTATCTTGACGACTTGAGCACAACTGCCAGCCTCACCTTTAAGTCGCCTATCCCTACAGCTCGCCCGATCGCGTTAATCGCTTCGTCGCCATGCCCTTGTTCAAAAACCTACGAAGTCGCTCCCGGTCTAGCTTCCGAAGCCCATCGCGATCAACAGAGAAGTCCAATGGAACGTCCAACGGTGCTCAGTCCAATGGGGACGTAATCTCCGGGAAGTCCTCCTCGACCCTCGACTCGGCATCCTACAGTTCAGTCACTCCGCCATCGTCCATCAAGCCCAATCTCTCTACACAAAATCTACCCGCGCTGAACGGCTCCAACGGCAGCACTAACGGCGGGAGCTCCCCCCTCACTGTGTCCCAGCAGCGCCCACCTCCCTCAGTATCCCCGTCCCAACGGAATAGCTACTTCGTATGTGCGGTCCTCCCCGTCTCTTTACCTAACCTTATCGTGGTCCAATAGGGCGGTAGTTCCCTCTCTGTCAACAATGGGGGTGCCCGGTCGTCGCCTGGCCCATCGTCTCCCTACGCCCCCAGAATTGTTTCAATTACAGACAACGCATGGGTAAGGTCTTGAAGTTAGCGAGTATCATAAGGTCTGTCCAGCTGATTATCTCAGGTTAACCAAAAAGTCCTGTTGATTTACGGCCAAGTCGGGGACCCAAGGCAGCATCCGCTGGACGGAAGTATAACGGTTAATCACCACCAAGATAACTTTCCCCAAGTCTCCTGGCCCGTCAATTCGTCTCATTTTAAAGCCCTTGTACACCTTGTTCCTGGTCCGAATCGCCTCCGTCTTGACTTTGTCGCCGCCAAGTCGTCGTCTGGCAACTTACATCATGCCACTCATTCCTCTTGGATCAATGTCAATTACCTTCCATTAACCAACTCGCCACCTCTACATCTCGTGATATTGCTTGGTAAGGATTCTGAAGGGACGTTCGATGCTGTACCGGAGAAGGCAAATCGCGAGGGCAACAATCTAGAAACCGCAATTCGAAAGTACCGAATGGCCGCATACCTTTGGCAGGCATTCACCGGTGAGCAGATGTTTCGTAACAACTTCGGGCGACGATGCTTCCGTTTTGAAGAAGAGTGGCAGCCAGGTACAGTCAGCGAACGGGATGCAGCCAGTGGTCAAATGCGGAACGAGGCGAAGGTTCATATCGTTCGGACCGAGAAAACTGTCGCGGAGCTTCGGGACCTGCAACTTGCCCAGCAATATGCCGCAGCCACTAGGAAGGATGAGCTATTCAATATCGCACAAGAGGCCGTGAAGAGCCACTTCCAACTGAAACCTGGTCAGAAACAGTACGTCTCCGTCATGCTCCTCGACTCTCATTGGGACAAGGAGTCCCAAACTATAACGGGTCATGCTGCCTTGGGCTCAGGCAGTGGCGACCTGAAGATGGCAATGTTTGGATCTCACTGTCTGCAGAGTTATCCGTCTAGTCTGGAGGGAGTAGTGGATGCGTTCTCCGACTGCACTCGGACAAACACAGACTACGTCGCCAACGACTGTGGCCAGGCTGGCTCTAACTGGGAGTCCGCCAATATTGGTATCGGAGCCCATCTGCATGAAGTCGGCCACCTCTTTGGCTGCCCGCATCAGGAGTCAGGCATCATGCTCAGAGACTACGTCCGCCTCAACCGCTCCTTTGTGACTCGGGAACCGTTCTCGACTCGGACAAAGACGCAGGGCCTTCATCCATGCCTGCCGCAGGACGAATGCTCATGGCATCGATTGGATACTCTGCGCTTCCGGTTTCACCCTTGCTTCCGGCTTCCTAATGATGCCCCCATGAGCTCTGACGACAGCGTTCAGGCCTGGCCGGTTGAAAATGGCAAGATCTTGTTGACTGCGACCACAGGGATAGCATTCATCGAGCTCTACGCTGAAGGAGACCAGGTGTGCCGCCATTTCCTTGAGTACGTCAACACCGAGTCGACCAGTAATGGGCTTCCGAAGCAAGTCACTGTGACGGAGAGCGAACTGCGGCAACGAGTATTCGGTACCGACAAGGAGAAGAAGAAACAGATCAAAATCTCCATATACTCCGGCACTCTCGGATCTTTCACCGTCGACTCCATTAGCAGTTTAAAATCTAAGAACTCGCAAGTGAAACTGCCAAAGGGCGTCGGTTATCGCGGATGCAAGCTTGGGTTGTCACAGCTCGCCGAAAGTCAACTAGAACAGCTTCTCCTGGATTGTGCTTTTCAATATAAGAAGCTTCTGACGTCTGTCAGGATCTATCACAATGACAAGGTGCATGGACTAGAATTCCTGTATGAGGATGCAACAAGTCAAATGTTCGGGAATCGGGATGGAAAGTCCGACGATTTCGTGCTAGGTAAGCTTTGTACCTGACCCGCACTTTGCACGCCACCGACTCTAACGTATGGTTTCAGACACGCGACGCGGAGAAATACTCCTCGGCTTCTATGTTCGAGCAGGTCACTGGATTGACGCTATCGAGATTTTGACCAGCTTGGGACGAAAATCTGGTATCTTTGGCAATGCTAGTGGAGGCTCAGGGTATGCATTAACTCTCAATCCCCAATACTCTTATACTAACAGTCATCCTAGATACAACCTGATTCCTCCCTTAGGCTATAAGATTGCCGGTCTCACTGGAAGCTGCGGAGCTTGGATCGACGGCCTTTCCCTCATCATCATGCACTGAGATCTCACGACCATAGAATCGTATCGTCACGGTGGACTCTTGCCGACTTCTTAAGAGACTTCGGCAATCTGAGTCATTTAGTCCCAGTGTTCCCTACGTTATGAGTCCAGAGTACACACCCTAAGGGACTCCACCTTTGAGGCTCCGAACCTTGATGTTTATTCAACCATATATAACCATCTGGACGACACGTCAACTCTTGGGTTGACCTTTTCGCTTCTTTCTCATTTGTCATCATCAATTACCTCTTGCGCTTGCACCCCTTCTTTCCCGCAGCCCGACAGGCTCGAGCTGTGTTTTGCATCGTGGCCCACCGCACATAGGGCATACTTCCTCATACCCGACTAGCTCATACAACATACACTCGGAGGTGTCAATGTGTACGTACATTGTGTACATTGTTTGCATTGTTCACATAGCGGCGTTTGGAGATTTGACCTTTCTTCCCTGGGGCTTGTCTGGCTCTGAGATATCAGGCGTTGGCGGTTGCAGGGGACATTTATACCATGAGATGAGCCGGACTTGGATCATGGTTGTTCACTCTACGGTTATATCATACATAATCGATAATAGGCCAAGTGGTTATAGATAATACCACATGCATTATATCTGTCCGCGTCAGAGTCCGTTTGTCAGTTCGCTGGCTAAAATCACTGCATTTGTCATACGTACAGGCTGGTACCCGACGTTGAAAGAGGTGTGCTCTGCCTAGAGCCGTCACACTCCTCAAGACGGCGTAGCAAGTATTATACGAGCTACATTCAAGTTTTGACGCAAGATTACAATCGATTTGATTGATTAGATGTACAGAAACGCCTGCTTGGGTAACAAACACCTGCAGCTAGTCATCTCGGCATTAGTTGGAGCAGCATGTGTAGTCACATTTGCATCCAAACACATAAATGAAAACACTATTTCCGATGTTCTTGCCATCGACAGTAGAGAAAACTGTAAAAGAGAAAGAAAAGCACATAAGTATGTCTGCTAGTCTGTCGACCAGTGACCAATGTAAGGTAGCAAGGCTAGACCCCGAAGATGCGAACGAAGGTCAAGGCCAACGCGAGAACAACACTGCTCATCCCACCCCGGGTAAACCCGGCATTAGCAGTAGGAGCAGCCGTTGAGGTCGGAGAGGCTGAAATTGCAGTGGGAGCCTCAGAGCCGTCAGCAGAAGTGGACGTGCCAGAAGCAGACGAGGTGGTATGGTGGAGCGTAGTGGTGGTTTGTCCGTGAGAGGAACTAGAGGGAGCACCAGCCGAGGTAGGCTCAACAGAAGTGACACCGCCAGCTCCAGAAGACTGAGACGAGACGGGAGGCTGCACGGTCGTGGGGACAGGGCCGGAAGTGTCGGTATCAGTCACGAGGGTGGTCTCGGGAATCGAGAAGATGGGCGGTTCTCCGGCGGAAGTAGGTCCATCAGATCCACAAACGGTCTCGGTAATGGTGACAGTAGCAGCTTCTTGAACAGATAAGACCGGGTCAGCTAGATTGCTAGAAGTGGACCGTTAACGGGCAGAAACTTACCGGCACGGCGTGCAAGGACGGAACTTTCCATAGCACGGGCCTCATCGACCTCGTAGTAGTCTGCAATGGGTAATCATTAGAGCAGGACGCTTAGATAGTGGGACGGCAGGTTAAATACATACTCACGGGGCCCTCGACGACGAATCCCTCCAGGAAGGAATCAAGCTTTCCCTTCTCTATCATAACACTCCAGTTAGATGCATACAAGACGACAAGCACAACGCTGCAGCGACTCACCTTTGGCACAGGTGGTAAAGACCAGCAGGCAGGCAACAAGGAGGAGAGCGAGCTTGAAGGCCATCTTGATAGATTTCCAGTTACGAGAAGGTAGAGTGCGAATTGGAGAGGAAGGCTTAAGCAGCGGTTGGAAGCGGGCTGAACAAGAAAGCGAACGATGAAGAGCGAGAACGAGCGGTAATGAGAACGAGAAACAAGAGGGGGCGCGCAGTCAAGATCGAGACGAAGAGAGAATACAGAGTGAGGCGAAAGATTGTGTGTGGGATGAGAAGAGGGAAGTTCTGGTGCTGTGTTACTCGGGTTGAGGAAGCGTCCCTTCCATTCTGGGAAGGTACCACCAAACGCCCTCACGAGGAAGGCGCGATCCCGCCATGGCCTCGTCCACGGTCAATTTTCGGTCTTGACACTCTCCTTATCCTGGTACCTCTACTTAGGTAGTTAATAAGCAATATCGGCTATGCTAAAGACGTGCTTGAGGCACCGTTAGTACTCATGCAGAAAGCAAACATACAGTAGCAACGCAGGGTCCAGTCCGCATCTCAAGAGTCAAGCCTCAAGACAGCCACCTGCATAAGGACTCCAGGCCGAGCACAAGCACAGGAAGCCCGCATAAAGAACCCCAGCAAGCCGGAAAGCCCCGGTCAAGTGCCCATGCACCCACCACTCCAGCACGCAGCCTGGGCCGTACAGCGCAGCTCCATATATAGCAATCAAGTCCGCACCCAAGCCAGCCTTACCTATCTGAGGGGTCCAGCGCAAGATAAGCTCATGCGTCAGCAGCTTAGGGTGGGCACGGCTGCCACGCGAACGCCGTTGAGATTGATCGATTGACCGTTCGCAGTTGAGTCCAGTCCGGGATCAGAAAGCTCAGGTTCCAGACCCGTCGATCGAGGGCCGGGGCGAGGCCAGTGTCCAGGCCCCATCTCCATGGAGATCAGCGCAGCGACGCCGTTGTGGTTATACTCAAAAAAGCTTAGCTGAGGGGCATCGACGCTGTTGTTCCTGGGCTGCAGAGCACAAGGTGGGTGGCGAACGTCACTGCAAAGACGTTGATGTTGTACGGAGTCAGGACCAGAAAATGCTGTGCCTGGAATTGTAGTCCGATGATGGGCTCCTCTGGTACTTGAAATGCATATCGCCCCTTATTATTTAAGATCTACATTACTATTCCATTCCCTTCCTCGACCTCGACTCCCAGGCCATGAAAGGACAGGGCAGAATCTATACTACGGTATGGTACGGTCACGGGCTTACACGCGTAAATTAACCAAACAAGAGGCAGGTCCAAAAGTGAAAAAATACGGTATCTCCACCTGCAGGCCCACCATACGATCCATCAATAAAAGTCAGTCTCTTGCGATCCGTTCCAAGGAAACGAGAAAGCTATGATGACGCCAAGAACAGATCCAAAATGATGTCATCAATCTTCAACCGAGACCGATTTGCGATTGATTCTCGATCGCACAGATTCGAATTTTTAGGAAGTGCCTGGATCGCCAGGGTTGGAACTTAGTCAGACACCGAGGGGCAGGCAAAAACAGATTTACAATTATGGTTAGGAGAAACCGAGCATGTGGGATAACGGGTAAGGGCCCGGAAACTATATCCGGAAGGGCAGGCTTCGACTCTTCGAGCAATGTAAAGAGGTTGCAGGTGAGAACACCATGCAAGGCAGGAATACTCCGCCATGTTTCTATAAATATGATCTTTATTCTCATAATAATACATTGAGCTCCGGTGAGCTTGGATATTCTACCTACTCTAAAGGGTATCATCGCCTAGGTTAACGTGTTCTAAACCTACACTGTGTACTCCCATTGACTTCGCTTCTTCCAGGGTCCAAGTCGTATTTTTTTCGCATCCCAACGACTACATACATGACCTGCCTCAACATGCCGTTCAGTAGTCCCTTGCAACCCGTTGCTCCCCTGGTGGATGCCCAATCATCTCAACTCAATGCAAGCCGCGATTATAGCTCGAAACAGGAACGTCAATTCGAATATTTTGAGAAATTGAGGGTATCTCTTCGTGTGCAAGATCGTCCCTCAACCAGAGCCGCTAAACAAACAGAAAAAAGGAGTCGTCATCAAGTGAAAAAGGAGTGTGTGCTGCCATCTTCATCGAGCAGCAAGCATGGCATGACCGGCCTAAGATGGTGACGGTTTCATAGATTAGTATGAGACAGAAAAAACATCGCAAGCAATATGCCGTCCACGGTAAATAAAGAGGGGTATCATTGCCCGGGAACTCGTATATTATCCCCGTATCCAACGCCCCGAATTGACCGCATTAAAATTGGTAAATGTCCCGAACGCCGCAAAAAAGATGAGCGAGCATATGCTCGAAAGAAAGGGCCGTTAACATCAAAATCCACGCCTCCAAGCGCACCAGGCGCACTCAAACAACGAGGCTAGATGGTATCTTTTGCTCCGAATGTGAACCAGTAAGCGTGACCGGGCTTAAGAGAAGCACGAGTCGCCGCTCAGGTCAGAGACCTTAGTTATATCTCAGTTTGACTTCGACCGGCGAGGGTGTATCCGAAGCCTCAAACGCCGCCGTTTCTGAAATCTCAGCCACCATGTCTTGTCCATCAGGGAGTTCGCGAACCACATCGTCGTCGACCATGATACGGAGTCCGTTTTCCTTGACAAGGAGCACGCGCATGATACGCTGGGGATCTATCCGCTGTTTCACAGAGATCTTTTCCATTAGATCACGGGCTGTGCGCTCGGTGAGGTAGACGGCGCGGTAATAATCATCCTGGTTTTGGTCGGTCGTTGGGAATCGGACATAAAAGCACGCAACTAATTTCAGTTAGCTCGGAACTCAACAGGATGAGCGTAGTACTTACTCGGCCTGGGTCGGCGTTCTGCTGGAGGTCTGTAGGTCGGATCGATATCCACTGCCTCAATGTAACCCATGGGAGTGGAGCCATTTCCTGAGGGAACCTTCTGGACTTTGACCGGATGCTTCAAGAAACCGCTCTCTGGGACCTCGGATGATTGCCGTGAGTATTCGGAATCATAGAATAGATTGGCCTGCAGGGGATTGCAGGGGGAGCTGATCGACATGTGGCTGCTGGTTGGCGAAACCTCTTGCATAACCGTGCGGTCAAGACTGATATGACGGGCGCCACGGAAGTCCTTTTTGGTAAAGTCGCGGGTTTCCGGGAGCTGCACGGGGTACAAGTCAGGGTCGTCCTGCTCATCACCTCGCAGACTGAGGACGCTGACGGGTCTGGTCGACGAGAACATGTCCTGCAGCAACGCAAGCTTTTCGTGCAGGTCGTCGGCAACGCTCACCTTCCCAGTAACGCCATCCTGCGAGCTCATGGACAATGTGCGCTTGTGCTTAAACAATTTTGTGGGGCGCGTATCCGAGCTCTTGAAGCCGACAGCGGCGCTGCTGCGCTTCCGTTTACCGAAGTTGCCAGCGCCCATTTCGTTCTGCTGGATTTGCTGGCGAAGCTTCTCAATGGTCTTCTTGACATGGGCAACGTCATTGGACAGCTTTCGCTCAGCTCCATGGTCACGGAAGAGCTTCACTTTGCAGAAGCACACCTCCGCCTCTTGGCTAGCATCTTGGGGGGAGTCGCTAGTGATCATTTCGGTCTTCGCGCATAACCGGACCGGGATACCCTTCACACCCTTGGAGTGACTAAAGTCGGTAGACAAAAAGTTAAACCGAACTGAAATGGCGCAATCCGAAGTTTTGGTGGTTGGGTTGCGAGTCCAGGTAACGCAGAATCCGTCGAAAGACGAACTCTCCAGCTGGATCTGCCGGTTTTTGTCATCCACTGTACCTTGAACTGGGTCCACAAACTCAACGGCCTGCAATTTTCCTCCCCTTTGGTGTGCCTCGCTCGTTCCACGTCCTTCCTTCCATAGCTGCCAGCAAGCCGCGGGTTTTGACCTTTGTTCATCATCCTGGAACGAGACACGGACGAATGTTCGGTATTTGACTGGCTGCGAGGTTGATTGCGGAGGCGCGGTGTCAACAACAGACAAGGAGTATGCCTGCCCTTTATTAAGGTAAGTGACCGGAATTTCGTTCTGGTGGTTGATCATGGCTGTCGGTGCTCGCAATGTAACGTTATACCGGAAACTGTTAGAACAGTGGATTAGCCAGGGAAACAGTATCAAATGGTTATGAAGCCGTACTTTTCACCCGGGATCTGCAGTTCCTGTTGGTCAGAACCCCGCATCGCTGTAGTCATATGTGACTGAGCATTGCCCTGCATATCGACATCATTTAGAGACACTTCATCAACAGATTCATCCACAGCATCAAACCCAAGATCACCTTGAACAAATTCACTGGGTGCAAAAGCTACCTGCGGCGCGAACGGTTGGGGATTCTGGAAATGCGGCGAGATGAACTGTTGGCTGAACGGATCGATGGCCATTCCTGCAGGGTTCGTGGGAATCTGGCCCTGCTGCGAAAGAGAAAGAGGAGTGATCATGCTCAATCCCATCCCTGGCGTGTGAAGGTCACCGGCTGGGCTGTGATATCCGGCGCTCAGGTTTCCCGAGTTCGGTGTATAGTAGCCATGAAGCTGGTTAAGTGGATTGACGAATTGGACTGAGTTCGGGTCGACCATGGGTGCCATGAACTGGGGGTGTTGCGTGGGTGGTCCCGGCATGGTGTCCGGGTCCATGGAAAATCTAGCATCAAATCTGGTCAGTTTCGAACTATATCTAGCTTCGAGCAGAAGCATATCGAGTTCTATCCAAAATAAAAGACAGGGTGAATTTCAGCGTAACGTACTTTGGAGGTCCATGACCGATAGGAAGTTGAGCGACGGCAGCGTTCATGCCAGCTGTCGGAGCGACGACATCAGAGAAGTTCCGTTGAAACCGCTGAATCAACTCCTCGTTGGGCTTTTGAGAGTTGCGCCTACACCAGAATGAAAGATTCTAAGTCAGCCTAGGTTCGGCCACTGAATTCGGCGAACAGCACGGGAACGTACCTGTTGCGGAACATGTTGGCCTGACCGGAGCGTTTTACGCGCCTAAAAAGTGGGCAAAAGCACCGAGGTCGGTGTCAGGAAAGTGCGAGGAACGAGCGCGCAGGTGGAGATAGCACCCTATTTACAAGCGATGCGTATTTAACCGGGCGCCAGAGAAGAACAGGAGTTCTGAGAGGGCTTTCCCGTCTTGTCCCCGCGCCCTTGTTGTCGCCTCGAAACGCCGAAAGGGCGGGGTGGTTAGGATTAGATGGAAACTGTGGGCGATGATCGCGCAATCATTGTACGACCGTTATAGCGAGAGGACGGGTGGAAAGTGCTTGTCGCAGTGGAATGGGAAGGACTTCAGCGGGGAAAACACAAGGGAACGAGAGATTGCGGTCAGAGAAGGCAATGCGCCGAAGTGAGTAAGACGAGGATGACTGATCTAATGGCAGTTCTGCTCGAGATGATTGTGTGCGCCGGACTGAGAATCGCGGGAGGGGCGATTCTTAGGAGAGGGAGAACACGAAAGACAAAAACTCGCAGGAAAGTTGGAGAAGGGGGATGGTCAGGTCAAGGATCAAGAGACAGAGGCACTGCGTGCGGTGAATGCTCGCTCGGTCGTGTCGAGTGAGTGGATGTGGAGGGTGCAGCAGTTAGTTGTAGGATGAATAATCTGAGAGAAAGACAAAGGTCGAGTGTTGTTGAGAGGGGGGACAGTGCACCTATAGGCAAACTCAGACGATAAGAAACCTTCTAGAACCACGGGACCTCTGCGCTGTTGACTATTATTTTATTTTATATGATTTTGACGGAACTAGACGGGCCACAAACTTCAGACAATATGAAATTGATGGAAGCCAGCGGGGGCTCTCATTGCTGGCCGACAGCGTGGGGCCCCAGTACGCCAGGTACAGTACGAAACGGTGTGGTAATTTTTTCATCTCAATACCGCGCTGCATCTATATACCAGGACTACTCCGTAAAGCACCATTTGCTTCAGGAACTGCCAGCATTTAGAGTAGATAATTAATATTGGCATTCTGATAACCAGCGGGTGCGGGGAATGTGGCGTATCTTGTTGTACAGGATATCAATCCCTTAGCATGACCACCATGTACTGCACCAGTCAGGTCATTCTCAATGTTCAGTCGATGACCAGGGAGCCACTAGGACTACAGCCACAGCTCTTCCGCGATCCCTGCCACCTTATGTAGGACTAATGTTATAATAGAGTCGGGGGCGCCTCGCACTTGACATCTCGCTGGCGTTTCTTAGGTTCAGCCACATTTCTGAGGTCTAACCCAATCGTGTTGTACAGACGGTTAGGCCAGATTGGCTTGCATGTGGGCTGATACATGGTGGTTTCAGGGCCGAATCGCGCAGTCGGCGCTTAATGTGGTGATGACAAGCTGTTGAATTGGATCATTGGGTAAATATAACAGTTCTAAATTGATTCGTTGTCTTGAGAAGCTCGTGGTTATTTCGTTGTTATATGAACTCTGTTTCTAAGTAGGAAGTTGCTCTATATATATGTGTCTACATAGACACGGCAGCGGACATAGTTCCTATATCAAAGCATCGTTGCTGCTACAGTTTCTGGCAATCTCGAGAGAATATATACACCACCTTCACAGGAAAAGTCCAGATACACCGTGTACCTATAGAGTTTCGCGATCATGGCACCCGAGGCATTGAATTCGCGTCCGCATAAGAAATGTAGAATCATGTAACAATGTGATGATGTCCCCATCGTCACGATACCAATTCTTAACTCTTGGCTCTCATGCCGTAATTTCGCGCTCTCGGTCGAGCCATCCGCCAATCATTTGAAAGGCTAAACTGCCCGACCTTCAAATATCGGGTATCGGCAGCCTGTATCAGTAATACTGTAATACCGAGCTCATGGAGCTTGGACCATCTGTCGATCCTGGATAGGTGTTTTACGTCCGGTTGACATTCAAGAGGCAATGTTCCGATGTAGTTGAACAAAGGCGACATTGAACAGTTTATCCGCCGTCAAGGGTATATACAATGTACACCAGCCACCTATAGGCGGATCAAAAATGTCTGGTTGTAAGGGGTAGAATCTGCCGGAAGCTTAAAAGCTGAGTCTGTGATTTGCTGGGCCCGAAGCCGAGCCAGCCAGTCCGTACACCACGGCTGCCGAGGGACGCACGTCCACTCCGCCCCACACCCTCCGCACGCCGCAAATGCGTCATCATGACGTCAAATAAAGTCGCAAGAGAAACAGCCCCCGATATACAGTCAACCCATAGATCGAGCCGCAGGGACGAACAGCGCAGGCCAAATGTTTGAGATAGGGACGGGCCTAGAGAACTGCAATCAGGTACCGAGCATCGACCGAGCATACCCGATGCTGCAAGATGGAGACAGATCGAGGGAGTTTGCGAGTTGCGACTCCATTCTGCTGCGTTGATCGGATCCACGATGTTCTGGCCGTTATTCTAATCACACTACTTACTCCGTACACCGGTAACCCTACGCTGCAGAATATTTAGACGAATGGGCCAAAATCACGGCACTTGCGACGGACCTACGGAGCAGACCATGATATCCCCCATTTAGGTAGTCAATGCTGCAGCGGAGTGTGTCCGAAGCGCCCGTTGCCCAACTTGCCATGATTGTTGCTATCTTTCCAGAAGGAGTTACAGCGAATGCGGGCGATGCCACCATGCAAAGGTACGACGTCCACGGAATCATGCCGAGAGCCCGGAGCCCGAGCGACTACACGAGAACAGTAGATGGTACCATTGGACCGATCCCCGGGGCGGCGGAAACCCCATCCTATACCTTACTCCGTAGAGGGCTCAAGGAACCTATATCCTCTGCGAGCCTCAGCCGCAGCGGCCATTTCTCTGAATTTAGAATTATGGGTACTCCCCGGATGAGCTGCTCCGCTTGCAACGTTTAAGCGCGGCAATTCGGACGTTTTTGCGCATGTGGAAGAAGAGATTTAACATTTAATATGGGCCATGGTCCCCAAAGTCGCCATTTCGGGGGTGCTGAGTCTGACTCGCGCTCTGAACCGTGGATGCGCAATCCGATCCTGCCCATCCCATACTGTGGCTTTACTATTGTCGTACTGCTCTTCGCCTTTCAGAATTCCCATCATTATCAATCCCTTCCACCCATGGTGCACTCTGATCTCATTAATTGCCTCGAGAAACGCCCTCCTTCCCGTTGTGGTTGCAGTGAGCCAATGTTTCGGCGATCTTATACTCATTTCCCGTGTCTTGCAGCCACAGACCGGCTGCTATCCACGAATTGGATTACATCCGTGATTCGCACCGCCACGAGATCCCTTCTTTGGAAGCTGGGTAGCGACGAGCGACGAACTTATTAGACGGTGATGTGGCTGTCTCAAACCATGTAGTGACGTCCCTGACAACCTGTCAACCTCGGTGTGGAGACCTCGCATTCTATTATTGTTTCTTCCATACGGAGTACTCCGGAGGGGCCCTTCAGACTCCCCAGAAAGACAGCCAGACTACGATGGTGTGGTGGGCTCGAGATGCTGTAGTGGCCGCGGTACGCCACCTTTGCCACACCCGTCTAGTCCACCCCCTCCCCCTCCTTCTCGGGGCCTTCTCACTCTCACCGTGTGGCACAAGGTGCACGGTAGCTATCATTCGATCGCGGCACATCCGGCACAGAGCCTTATCCTCGCTGGCCCGAGTCATACGAACGTCCATCCCTTGTGCAACGCGCCTTCTCAACTTCTCGTGCTATGCGCGGAAAATGCGAGGCTGTGGTCAGATGAAGTGGCAGCCTGCATACGGTATATCGCGACCCTACAACACGCACATACCCCCCTTCACGATGATAGAAGGTCATCGCGTCCAATCGTAGTAGATGCAGTCTCGACTCATCGGATCGAGGATCGAACGAGCGTCTGCGATCGCCGAATGCCACGTACGTACATCTTTTGTCATGGTCCACGGTACCCCGGATTGGATAGTCGGCGTAGCTATCGAGCGATATCCCAGAATGGTGATACACGGTCCACGGTCCACGGCCACCGACAGACAGACCCTTTGAAGCGAACAGAAGATTTAATGAGGGGCCGAGGGTTCAATTTCCTAATGCACATCACAGCAGTGACAGAAACCATCTGCCCCGAGCATCGAATCTAACTGGCGCAGAAATCTCCGTTCTCCGTAGGTACTTTTACACTTGCTCCAGTGCAGCCACTAGTGGCAGTGCGAGTGCGAGCCTCGATTGGAAGGGCTGACTTTTCCTAACGACTCTGGAGTCCGAGCACCTGAGTGACGAGTCCTGACTCCTGAGCTGAGAGTCTGACAGTGCACAGGCAGCACAGTTCGCCCCTAATAGGGTACAAGGAAGTTATGACTGATGACTGATCGGCGCTTATCATGCCGCTTCTGTTCGGGCGTCTAATATATCCGATACTCTGTTTATACCAGTACTGGGCTGCAGGTTTGTTCATCGATGTATTTAACGCGCTGAATACCGATCGTAGTATTGCTGTATGCTCGATGGTGATATCAGCTGCTAATCTTCGATTCTTTGCGAGAATTAGTGTGGACTGGCCCAGGAACCATTAAGCATGCTTTTCCGTAACCTTTGGCTCTGGAGTCAATAATGTTCTGGGGATCAACCTTACATACAAACTCAAATTGGTCCAACCGCAGCCTCTTATATTGGTTATCCAAAGCCACGCAACGTAAGGAGCTTATGTCACCGGTATTCAGAGATGGAATTGAACTTGTTGATCTGCGGCACCTCGGGCTTTGCTGGCGGAGGCATTGTTGAGGTGAACAACTGTAACCCTGCGTTATGGGTGCTGGCGTGATTTGAGGGGATGCAAGAGCTCTCTCTATAGAATAGTACCTCAAATGAGGATTTGATTGGTTATAATAATGTCATGGGTATCTTGATATTATACATCTGCCCCAAAGTATTGCGTTAGATCATTGAGCGCTGCTCACCCTATGTACAGTTCTTCCAGTCCATCATCTATAGACGCGATCATATGTAAGCCGTAGGTCTAAATGTGCGAATGCGTATATGGCAACGGGAGAATGCTCACGTCAAAAGACCAAAGACTCTGACTCTCCAAGGGCCTTTAAATCCTTGGCCAAAGCACATATCCGGCATCCGTCCCCGATTCGATCCCGCAAAAGCCGGGCTGTTGTAACCTTAGGACCAACAGTTCGGGACGTGGTAGACGGCTCCTCGAGGATAGGAGTATGTGGAGGGAATGCGCGAGGCGTCTGAGCGCCTGACTCAAGCCCGGTTGTACTTGTTGGGGACGACGGTTCGGATTGATGGACGTGAGACAAGTGGAAGGCATGGCCGCAAGCGAAAGCGACCAGTATTTCTTTCTCTATAAATGCGGCGTTAGCTATAATATTCCGAAGACAAGGAAAGAAACCGTGTGTAGTTGGCTTACCGTTCGCATGAAAAGGACGATGGCAGCCCGCGCATCTTCCAGCTTGCGGCATGGATGGATTCGGTGACGGCGTTGCCATTTTTTCGGAATCGGTTGCACTCTTCGCCTCGCCGGGCTTTGCCTGCCCGGACTTGGGAGACTCCTCAATGATGTTGAACTTGATTCCCCGGCGTTGACCGCTCCGTAGAGTATTCATCCCGATCGCTACTTCACTCTGCAAGACCTTGGCCGCTCCTTGACTGATGCTTGCCTGGAGGTCGTGCTCCCTTAGCAGGCCAGTGAGACCCTCTCTGAGGCCCTCGATTTCCAGTCCACTGGGTATACGCCGGACAAGTTTGATAGGGTCAATAGATGTCCCGGCTTCGACAAGCAGACCGTGGATGAAACGCGGCTTATCCATAGAGTAGTCGACGAGGTCCTCCCAGAGATCTGGATCATTCTGGGACTTTGCAAACGCAATAGCCTGCGACACGTCTTTCAGGTCGGAGAGAATCAGGTTCAAAGCCCGCTTTGTTTGTCCCATTTTGGACAACAAGTAGATGAGCTCTGGGGTGAAGTGGTATTGTTCGCAGATAGTCACAGCTAGGTCAAATGAATACGACGTGCTGGTCTGAAGAAACTCCATGAGCAGAGGCCGGTCATACTGAGCAAATAGGTCTGCGGCCGTGTCCGCGAACTGATCCACGAGGTTCTTGCCTTCATCAGCTGCTAGTTTAGTTGCTGCATCCTGGCGGTGACGCCCTCGACGGGGTTTCTCAGCTTCATGGGACAGCGATTCCCCACGCCAAAGGGATCGTAGGTAGAAGAAGATGAATAGGGGTTTGTCAACAGCCTGCAGCTGCTTAACGATAGTTTCAGGAGGAACAATGCCAGTGTGCGCCTCGCCCGCAAGCAGCTTGATAGGTTCAGCTGTGATCTCCGCAAGTTCTGAGATCGATGCCGATTTCATCTGCTCCTTTGACACGCGAATTTTGATGAATGCGGGTATATCGTCGGCAAGTGAACCGAGGAGATGATGGTCCTTGACCAACGCAATCGCTGTATCCGCGTCCTGTATCCGGATGTAGCAATGCAACGCATCGGTATAGTGGCCGCCAGCAAGGTATAATTTGGCTAGACATCTAATTAGTATACGCCCATCTTCCATCTCCGGGGTCAGCTCCTTGGATTCCAGTTGTCCCTCAATTGAAGCCGTCAGACTGTCGATTTCAAACAGGTCAAAAGGCCAAGAATCGAGAAGCTCGCTGAATCGTTGCCGGTCTTGAGTAAGATAATGCTCGAGGATGGATCCGTAGACTTGTGAGGACATAGGTGGACGTAGAGCGACAGGGATAATGGACGAGATCTCATCGAATTTGTCTTTCTTGATGAACGTCCAGGCCCAATGTTCCCACCTAGGTGTGGCACTCAATGTTTGCACGCAAACTTCAGCAGCCTCCTGCCATCGATCATCCCTAATAAGCTGTCCTATCCACAGCTCACCAATGCGGCGCTTCTCCTGCACAGCAGCAGTGACAGCCTCACGGTCCGTTGCCGTGGTGGTAGACCTATCATCACCAAATAGGTCAAGGAGGCTAGTCTGAGACCTTCCGGGTATGATCGAGACATTATCACCACCTTCGCTAGACCCTGCTGCCTCAGGATGTTCGTCTAGAAGTTTCCAGGCTTCAGCATATTTCTCGTGCTCAGTAAGCCACGCGAGGCGGTCCACAAAATCTCTCTTCAGAGCTGCCACGCAGTCAAACGGGCTGTGTACAAATATTTTGGGCCCTGAGCTTTCGGCGACCTCCTGCACTTCTGTAGGTAAAGGTTCTTCTGGGCCCAGCCGCCGTGAGGCAAACGTACTTGGCGCTCTGCTAGAGATTTTGTCCCCACTACTCGCTCTACTGTGGATGCTTGCGGCTGAACTGAATAAGCGCGCGGGATACATAGTAGCATCCCAGAGGCCAGTGCCAAGGGCCCCCAACGCTCCGCGCTGAGAGATCGGTACGTTCGTTTTCCAGGGCGGCAAAACGCAAAGATGGTAGTCTGAAGCTGTCAGGTTCTCGTAACGGCTGATCGACAAAGTATCAGCACTGAGTTCTTCTTTGCTTTCGATGTCAATGATACGAAGCTCAGGCTCTTGTCCGCGTGGACGACGACGGGTGCCCTGCTCGTCTGCCGGTTCCTTCTCTGCTTCTAAATAGGCTAGGACGGCCAAGTGACTGGGCGAATAGAGTGAGATTCCGGATATAATGCAATCCGTCCGTAGTCTAGAACCAAATTAGTGTTTACTAGGAGCCAGGAGTGCACTCAACTCACATGGTAGCGACCTCCACAGAACCAATCCTTAGATCTCTGTTGGTCTTGTTAGGCCGATCGGGGTAGACGTTGATTACCCAAACAGTGCCTCCCCAACCGACTACCAGTTTCTCCAGTCTTTCTTTGACTATTGTTGACCGCGTCGGCGTCGAAGCCTCGTCCTCTACCTTATCGCCTGGCAGATGCTCGCTCTCCAACAAGGAATCATCAACCCATTCAGCACGAGCTTTCCAAACACTAGCCATCTCCTCCCATCCTTGACGGTTGGGGCGGTCCGTGTGACTGACCCGTTTCCATGCAAGCTCCGCATGCGCCGAGTCAAAATGCAGGTTTGATCGCATGATTTTGATGCCTTCTTCATTGACCCAAGCAACGTATTTTCCGGACAGTGACCATTTCACTGTGCTGATAGCGCCTTCGCCGCTGTGTAAGACGGTGTCCTTGCCGGTGTTGCCCCCGAGCCCCAGAGTTCCTAGCCAACTTGAGGCGGTGGCAGCGGCGCCGCCCATGGTTGTAGAGTTTGTGCTCACGCCAACCTTGCCACCTGTCGTGAGAATCAGTTCGCCGGCACGGCCGCCGGATATAAATGTCCGATCGCTTTTATACTCTGGCGACAGCGCAACGGCCTGGACCGGTCGACCGAAATTTCGCAGTAGAACATCCTTTGTGTCCAGTAATGATGCGACGCATACGTTGCCATCTATCGACGAAGTGGCTATGTAGATAGAGTTGGACGGAGTCGCGGGAAGAGGAGTCGGTCTGGATTGGCCCCGAACGCTTCCAGAACTGGAGGATGGTTTTGCGGCTGCGCCCTGGTGTTCAGCAAGTCGAGTAGCCAGCTCATCCTTGAAAGTCGGCAACGGTGGAGGAAAAGGTGAGATTGATATGGAAGTGACAGTGGCCGAATGTGCATGGTAGACGCGAAGAGAGCGAAACAGAGGGACGGAGAAGACATGCTTTATGAGGTCAGTTATCGAATCACCGGAAGATTTCCTGGCTACCTACAATATTCCCGTTATGTGTTCCAAGTACCTAATAAGATAATCAGACTTATACGAAATGATTGTAGCCATGGAACAATACCATCTTATCCCCGACAGCAAGGAAACTACTTGTTGCGTCCCCATTCCGATAGGCACCTCCCAGCTGCTTGGTCAAGTATGAATACTTCAGATGCGGCTCCTCCTCCTCCTCCTCCTCCTCCTCCTCCTCCTCCTCATCGTCGTCCTCTCCTTCTTCATATTCTGAGCCTGTGTCTGTCACAGTCTCTCCCTCCTCCCGGTCGGCACCCTCGCCCTGATCTTCGCCATCGTCATCCTCGGTTTCGGGGTGAAGTTGCCGGTGCGGGCGTCTGTGATGTGTCAATGGTCTCGCAGGGGAGCCCGGCCCCGGATTGACTCGAGATACCGATGCCTCAGTCGCGCCCGGCGCGTCCATGGCCGAGGGTGTTTCGGTACGTGCGACTTCAGTCGCAGTCGGAGAGCTCATGACATCGCCGAAGGAGCTGTACCTGGGGTAGGCCCACGCTAACCACTTTAAATTCTGACTAAGCGAAGCTCATCACGCCGCTTTTGCTTCATAGGCTTTGCATGATTGCATCGCGTTATTTTTCTCCTCGCAATCCTGGCTTGGTCCACGATAGGCCATGCTCTGCAGGGATATTCGCAACCTGCTATGATATGTACCGACACAATTTCTCATCAATCCACCCTCGGTTGGTATAACCATGTTCGCACGACCTTATGTCTCGTCGATCTATAATCGACCTGCAGCGATTCGGCTCCTAAGACAGCCACAGAGCCACTATCTCCATGCGTCGTCACCATTGGGTCTCCCGCGGCGGAAGGACTTCTTCTCCTCGAATGCATTTCTGGCTCAAAAGCACCCCGCGGGAGCCGATGCTGCCGAAGCATCGCAAGAGTCTCAAAAACAGCGCAGAAGAGGCGCAAGATCACCCGCTGCACCAACATCCCTACGACGGGTAGCGGTGGAAGCGCAGAGATCGAAGGACAGTTTCAAGTCCAGAGCACAGTTGAGGGAGGCCGGACTGTTGCAGACAAAGGTTCGGTTCCTGCTGAGTTTTCGCTAGCACTGCCTGACATTTTCGTTTCAAGACAATCACTGCGTACGCTGTAGCCGAACAGTTCAACATTCGCAAAGCGAGAGAGATCCTTCAGGAAAAAGGATACGAGCCCGATCCTCTCGGAACCGGTCTATACCCTCAGGTCGTCCACGTTCAAGTTCCGTTAGACTCTATACGCCGAGTGAGCAACCCCAGCGCGGAGGGACTTTCTCCGGATGAGGTTGGCGACATATTCGTTTTCCCCTCGGGCACGGTTGTAGCATGGGCACTTCCTGAAGGGTTTACGTCGTTCTTGGCGACCAGGACGTTACTCCCCGCGGCAGAGGGAGCGCATGTTGATAACCTGGAAACCGAGGATCTGGAGTATGTCGAAGATGCGCAGCGCGAGAACAGCAGCATCCACGGCGACACCATCATTTTGGGAACCAAGCCTAGTGATGCGGCGCTTGCGCCACAGTCTGCAAGTCATCAGTCTGTGGATACCGTCCTGACCAAGGTTGCCTTTTCTTCTGGTCTGGCGCGCAGCACCAAACTGGCAGTGCTGGAAACGCTGCTGTCCAGCTATTTTGAGTCTACGCGGACGATCCCCACCCTTATGTCTCAGGGATCTCGCCTCCCCTATACTCGAGACTTCATTCTCCGAAAGACGGGACAACTACTGAGCGTTCGCGCCCAGTTGAACCTGTACTCGGAGCTAACCGACTCACTTCCTGATATTTTCTGGGACAGCCGACATGAGCTTGGCCTGGAAGGGTACTACGAGCAGGTTGGTAGAGCTTTGGACGTCGGAATCCGCATCAAGCTGCTCAATGAGAAGATGGACTATGCGCAAGAGATTGCCAGCGTCCTCCGGGAAAGGTTGAGCGAGACACACGGCCTCCGACTGGAATGGATTATCATACTTCTCATCGCTGTTGAGGTTGGATTCGAGGTCTTGAGGTTGTGGAAAGAGCGAGCGCAAGAGCAAGCTTCTGCAACTGAAGAGGCTCAGAAGGCGTGAACTGAGACCGCCTCCCCGCTTACATGTATATGTTGGATCAGACCCACGCATGTATATTTACTAGATTATACCCCTCTCATATTTGAATACAGCATTTGGAAGATCATCTGTCAATATGGACCTCATACCTCATGCTAGGCCCGATAAGGCGCTTATCAGCTGAATCACTGCGCCATGTGACAGTGCTGAGTCATGGGCTCTCACGTGTGTTGCGAGGTACCTACAACTACGCCTTCAAACGCAGCCATTCCTCGCTTCTCTCACATCGAGGCCTTCTACCGTGATATCCTCTTGTCCTTCGCTGGATCTTGTTCTCTCAACTTTCACTGGGATCTTTACTGAGTTATATCAAGCTGCCCTGGCGGCAAATCATATCCCAATAACTACGTAGTACGCGCGGAGTTCAACAATGAGCTCAACATCAGGCCTCTTCGAGGCCATACCAGGACCGCAGCAAATTCTCAAGGCTGTAGCTGGCTCACTAAGTCTTTCCCCGTTGTCGGTCCCAGAAACTGCCTCCTCAGGAAGCACATATGACCAATGTGGCAAGTTCGAAGTGAGCTGTCAGACCAGCTATCATGGTCAAGATACCTGCTGTTTCAATTACCCGGGTGGACAGATGCTGCAGACCCAATTCTGGGACGCCGATCCAGCAGTTGGACCTGAGGATTCTTGGACGATTCATGGGCTTTGGTGAGCCCCTTCGAGGGCAACATGCCAGCAAACATGTTCTCAGTGCTAACTATATATACGTAGGCCGGATCATTGCAATGGTGGATTCGACCAGTTCTGTGATTCTCACAGGAGATATAGCAACATTTCCTTGATCCTTGTCGATGCAGGCCGAAGCGACCTGCTGGATGAGATGAGTACCTACTGGAAAGACTACAAAGGCGATGACCCGAACCTCTGGGAGCATGAGTGGAACAAGCACGGCACTTGCGTCAGCACACTAGAGACGCATTGCTACTCTGACTACTACCCGCAGCAAGAGGTTGTGGACTACTTTGACAAGACCGTAGAGTTGTTCCACGATCTCCCTACCTACAAGGTTTGATTTCTCTCCACGGACCAGAGTCTTATTATACTGAGATATTGTAGACACTCGCCGATGTCGGCATCGTCCCCTCATATACTCAGACATACACCCGGCGTGAAATCGAGGATACACTATCCAAGGCACACGGTGCAACAGTCACGGTGCGCTGCAGATCCCATCAACTCCAAGAAGTTTGGTACTTCTTCAACGTCGAGGGTCCCCTCCAGACAGGGAAATTTGTCCCATCGGACCCTGGTCCGTTCCTATTCGCCAACATCCTCCATTTCATCTAGCTGATAAAATACAGATGGCCAAACATCCAATTGCCCAAGCAGCGGCATCGTCTACAGACCGAAAACGCTCAACAACAACCCCGACCACGGCCACGAGCCTACCAAGACCAGACATCCCCCTGGGCCGACTGGTGCCCCCTTCATCGGACGAGGAAACCTAATGGTTTCCACGGCGGGTCATCAGCGCGGCTGTATTATCGGCCGCGGAACATGGTATCAGTCCGGCACCTGTGCTGATTTCAGGGTAAAGAAGGCGTCTGGTTCGTTCTTCCCGTACAATTAGAAGACACTGTACTAACACAATTTTATTCAGGTGATGCGTTTACACTCTCCTCCCGCAAAGGGCCCTGTGCCTTCCAGGATGATACCCTCACCTGCGGCTCGCACATTTTGAATCCGGTGGAGTTCAGCGTAAGCCTCCTTTCTTTCCTTCTCATAATGATATCATTGACGGTTTATTTACTTATCATTGATATACAGACCGAAGACGGCAAGCTCTCCTACAACGGAAACACGACCTTCTACGCGGATAAAGCGCCAAAGGGCAAAGTGCAGAGCGATATTTTTGTCTCGCAGGAGGACCATTCCATCCAGCTGTCTGTAGCTTGGAGGGGAGCGTAGAGTAGATCGAGTATTTGAAATAGATCAGATAATAGAGTATATATGTAACTGCTTAGCCTTTTTCTTGACGCATTATCAGGAAGTGTATCTCTATCAAAACGAAGTCATAGATCATCCCGCGCCATCGTAGAAACGGCGCGCCGTCTAACTAGGCAGGTACGTGCCCGTTATTTAGGGAAGGAGCGACCAAGCACCGACGCGCGGATTGCTCTTGTCTTTGCCAATCTCATGTACTGTACTACAGATACGGGAATCCGATGGATGACGCCAGTTGTGGCCGGGTTGGGAGAAAGGCAAAATGGTCGTTCAGATCATTCATTGAGTAGATAGCTAGTAAAATACAGGCCAACAAGTAAGGTAAAAAGTTCAGCGATTTCAGCATCAAGACCGCATAATCAAGCAATCGACCACCAAAGATCGGATTGAGAACAAAAAAAGAAACGCCAGATATCGGAGGCTTCCATCCGACGCCTCGATTCCTTGTTAAGGTGAACGTGGAAGATAAATCTTGGAACATAGCAAAAACGTGAATCTCATAAACAGGGTTGTCTGTCAGTTTATGACAGAGAGAAAATTCGTTGGACATTCAAGCATAAAAAGCACAAAGGGAAAGAAGGGACGGCCTGTAATACAGAAATGGAATGGGAATAGAAGACGCCGGTCTATATAGCAGTCGCAGTCGCAGTTCGCGCAGAAGCAGATGTCACAGAAAAGGTGGTGGTCGTACATATGCCATGGAGTCGGCGATGCAAGGCAAGGCAGAAACGAACGAAGAGAAAGAGGAAAATGCCCCGAAAGAAAGAAGTCGTTTTGGAATCATTTGCGTCGAAAGAGATTCGTCGTTGGAAAGAGCAGTCGCTAGATTTGTACATGGTCTCATATCGTGAGGTTGAAGGTCAGGTCAGGTCATTTGCCATCAGCATGGGTTCCAGTCGTTGATAGCCTTGAGTCGTGAAGAGGTGAAGGAGGGTCGCACATTAGCCATTAAATATCCTGAGGTACATTGCGTCGTCAAGTCTCCGTAAAGTAAGTTCAGTCGGTAGCCTGCCTTAGTCAAGAAAGAACTCCCTTGACATGACATCCGATGGTTGTTCGTCGACTTGAAACTGGAAGGAGAAGAAGTCGTCGCCCATGGAGGGCCCGGTGGAGAAGTTCTTCCCCTGGAGCATATCCAAGCCGCTATCGAAGGCAGAGGTATTGACGTAGTCAGGGAATGCAGCCATGTCAGGATCACCCAGGCCGAAATCTTGTTTGCCAAAGGCAGAAGAAGGTTCACTGTTGATGAAGATATCGAGATCGGATGGTTGGGAGCCATCGCTTAGGGTAGGCGCAGTGTGTGGAGACGATAGTGCATGGGTGTTTGAACTTGAGACGGAAGAGAAGGAGCATGTGCCGGCGTGTGAGAGAAGCGGAAGCCCGGACTCCTCGAGGATGTTTTCCAATGGTCGCTTGGACGGCGATAAGGGCAGCATTTCGTCTTCGGAGCTTGGTGTGAGAGATCGTGGGCTTACAGGCTTGCTTGCAGCACCGTAGTTGGGTGAGTCAGGGGGAGTGAAGGTAAACACATCTGGCGGCAAGTAGTTCTGGTTGTCAAATGTAACCATCTCGTCCGCTGAGCTAGAGCCATGGATGCTCATGTTTTCGAAAGTCTCCGAGGGCGGCGTATGGCGGGACGTGTCCGATCCAGAAGTGTCAAACGATGATTTTTCGGCGATCCTCTGTCGGGTTTTGGTTGCCTTGTCTCGTCTCTCATCCATCTCTGGGCGATGCTTCTTAGGACGACCGCGCTTTGTTGTCTTGCGCACAATTCCCTTGTAGCCACCGATGCACATACCCCTCTGGCGGTGTCGAGTTAGGGCATCGTGCCTGGCAAAAACATTGCCACATAAACATTCGTACGGCTTGTCTCCGGTATGGATCTTGGCGTGGCGCTTCAGATCATGCCCGCGAACAAAGCACTTATCGCAATGATCGCACTTGTACTGACGGTCGCCTAGGTGAGTTTGCACATGCGACTTGATGTTTTCCTTGCGACCAAAGCGACGCTCGCAGCCAGGGTGGAGACAAACCCACTTTCCGTCTTGAGGGTCTGGACCGTGAATGAACGATGCAATCTCATCTATGCTGACACCGGTTTCTTTGATTGAAGCATGCACACGGGCGTCGAGGTTGAGATTGTCAATTGAGGCGACACGAGGAGAAAGCTTCGCTTTTACTAACGAAGCCGCGGTTGGTGTGCTGGGCTGCTTCTTTAGGCTGAGACGGCTAGGTGTGGCAGGGCAAATGGGGATCTTGGCTTTCTTTTGCTCGTCAGAGCTCGGGATCGCGGCAACCTCTGGGGAGTTGGACGATGTGGAATATTGGCTATGGCTGCCGGTGGTGAGGACATCGAAACTGGAACCCTGCTGGTAGTCAAACGCATCAAAACCATCAACGGCAAATGAATCAGTGTTGGGGGGGGAGGGCATTTCAATCTTTGATTGTGAGAAGTTCGTTCCAGCCACTCCTTGGAGTGACTTGGCGCGTTGCATATATGCCGACTGGGCGCTGGCGTCGGCCGCATTCTGGTCTTTTGATGAGACGATCTGCGAGTCTGCGCAGTACTGAGCGAAATCGACTTCTTTGTTGAACGGCGTCGTTGCTGGGGAGATGGGGAAGTATTCTGTTCTATTCGTCAGCCATGGTACAAAGTTGCGTCAACTCGTATGTCGCTTACGTGTCGTTGTCTTTCTAGGAGTGTGCGGGCGATATGAGCTGCTTGGGTTCGAATGGACAGAGTGTCGTCTCATATCGACAGTCGTTTGTTGAAGCGAGGATGTGGCAGACCAGGAGCCACTGTCGAGCAGCTGGCCATCGAGTGCGTTGTTGCAGCCAAGTTTAGCATTGTGAAGTTGTTGCTGCTGCTGTTGAATGAGGTTGAGGTGGTAATTGATGGTGATGGGTCGAGGATCCCGAGCCTGATCATCGGCCTTGACAAAATTCGTGTTCAAATAAGGTAGACCTTGCGGCGTATAAATGGGATGACTTAAAGCCTGCAAGTCGTCTTGACCGAAGACCTGGCAGTCGGGCATTAAAGGGACGAGAGGTGAGTTGGGCGCAAAGTGCGGTGCTGTTTGGTTAGTAATTGACGCATCTTGCGCGAGCTGTGATCGTTGAGCTTGAGCTTGCACAGCTCGCTGGTCCAGACTTTGGCCGCGGCGATGAGCATGGTATCTGTGCAATGCCTGTTGGGGAAGACTCGGAGGTTTGGCGGCGTCGAGCGCGGAGGGGGTCGAGATCTGCCGCCGATGTTGACGATGGCGCCCGTGAAGGGTACGTTGTGGATTGGAATGCATGGTTGGCAACTGGCAAGATACTCGTCGCGCGGATCGAGGAACCGGCAGGTGACAGATCACTTTATTGCAATGCAGGACTATACATCTCAATCAGCATATGCAGGTCGCATATACAAGGCAGGCGATATACCAACCTCACGCGGTGCTGCTAGCCGTCGGGCTGGAGCCACGCAGATGGGGCACGAAAAGACCGCCTGTACCAGTGTCAGTGAGTGAACTCCCGAAGCAAGAACGCAAACTAAAAGCCGAAGCTAAAGAAGAAGAGCGAAAATGAAGCGCAAGAAAGCAAAGTCAATCCGCTTTAGCTCAAAGCAGATATGCGTGTGGGTATGGGTAGTAGCTTTTTGCTCAGTTCTCGATCAACTGATTAAGACAGCGACTGCGCGATCTTGAGCAGAATTGAGCGTCCCAGGCCCAGAATCTTTTCTGAGGAGAGAACCTGGAATGAAGAGGCAAGCCCCAAGGTAGATAAGGTAGGTATTTAGAAGTGGGAACCGAGGAAAGGCGGATGGAGCTGTGAAGCTATCCACGGTTCAGATCAACAATGGGGATGTTGGCCCAGCAACGCGCGGCTCGAGGGCTGGCCCGGTGGAGCGATATCATCACTGGCGCCCTGGCTAGGACATGGAGTCATCGTCTTTAGGCTGCGATCCGAGTCGCTAGCCTGTTATCGACCTGTAAGGAGATTCCTGCCCTTGAAGGTCGAGACTTTTGCATACTCTGCGCTGCCATAGACATAGACACCCGGCCTTCCGGTCTCTGCAGGGTGAGACATTGTCATTTAATCCCTTTTATCGCAATAACTGGGAGATAGTCAAGATAATAATCACTTCATTGATCAATTATTCAAGGTCAAGGGATTGGCATCAATGCCAACATCCTGTTGGGTAGCAAGTTAGCAACGAGCAAAACATGGAAACTCTTGAAGCTCTCCCGCTATGGAGATCGCCTTGATGCCTCAAAGTTCAGGCTCAATGACATCAGTGAGATTGCCCTTGACGCAGATCACGTGGAAACTTATGACTAATCAGTCTCAAGGTCCTTGAACTAAGCCCATTACAGAATCTGCTTTCACGTGACCACACAACCGACTTAAACGAGCCCACTCTTCCGCCTCTACAAGATCTTTTCGCAAGTTCGCAGTAAGGTTGAGGAAGACAAGTTCTGTCGAGGTGAGCATCTCCCAGATACCCCCAGTGGCTAGAGGAATACCTGCTCCATTCAAACTTCTTTATTCTCAGCGTCTTTCCCACAAAGCTGCAAGATGTATGAAGCGCACATTGCGGCCAAAAAGACGCTGAGGCAAAATGAAGCCCGGATGAAGAGCAGCAGCAGCCGCCTCACCACCACCACCACGAACAAACACTAACAATCCAATCCAGGCCTTCAACATGCAGATCTTCGTCAAGACCCTCACGGGTAAGACTATCACCCTCGAGGTGGAGTCTTCCGACACCATCGACAACGTCAAGTCCAAGATCCAGGGTGCGTTTTTACCACATCCCCCTAGTCGCCCACAAACACCAACTAACAACGAATGCCACAGACAAGGAGGGTATCCCCCCTGACCAGCAGCGTCTGATCTTCGCCGGCAAGCAGCTCGAGGACGGCCGCACCCTCTCGGACTACAACATCCAGAAGGAGAGCACCCTCCACCTCGTCCTGCGTCTGCGTGGTGGTGGTAAGAAGCGCAAGAAGAAGGTCTACACCACCCCCAAGAAGATCAAGCACAAGCGCAAGAAGACCAAGCTCGCTGTGCTCAAGTACTACAAGGTCGATGGCGATGGCAAGATCGAGCGTCTCCGCCGTGAATGCCCCTCCCCTGAGGTATGTTTGATCCCGGACTTGTAATGTCTGTGACAGTACTAACTCCCTCTAGTGCGGTGCCGGTATCTTCATGGCTGCCATGCAGAACCGCCAGTACTGCGGCAAGTGCCACCTCACCTACGTCTTCGACGAGTCCAAGTAAATGGACTAGCCGGGTCTCGCCTTTCCTTATGTCGGTCTATGTCGGTTGAGGGATGGTGATGCTAGGGTAGGACGTGTGCGTTTAGATCGTTCTACAGTGGTATTTGAATCAGGAACCTTGAGCAAATATTGCAATATAAATGAAAAAAAATTCATCAAGCAAACTGATCTAGCCGGGTATCTACCGGTATACTAGTAGTGATAGTAATATGTACACATAGCGAGCGTATAAACTTGGTGTGGCAAATCAACGCAGGAAACAACTCTCTCGTCCTACCTTAAGACGACGGGTAACCAGCCTTGAGGTTGTCGTACTTGCTGTCGGGGTAATCGATGGCGTTCTGCGTGCGGTCCAGATTGTTAACGCCTCCAACGTCTTCAACAAAGGTGCCGATCAGGCTGCCGTCACCCTTGTTCGCGGTCTTGCCGCCCTTGTCAGCACTGGTCTCCCACCACATAGCACCGCCGAGCTTGCGACTCTGAATGTAGGCGGCCTTCAGGTCGGCTGCGGCGACAGTATCGTACGAGACCATTTCGCGAGAAGAAGGATCGTACGACCACGATGCACCAATGTTGGTGTCCAGCTGCTCGGTGGCTCCAGGTCTGGGCAGCGCCTTGTAGTCATACACTCCTTGCTCCCAGGTTCCCTGGCCAATACCCGAGTAGGGTTTGCCGGGTCCATCGGTGTTCTCAAACGCACGGCCATAAATCGGCATGCCCAAGACGATCTTGTTCGATGGGACGCCACCCGCATCGATGTAGTGGTTGACAGCTTGAACCGTGTTGAACGGGGTGGATGCAGGGTTGCTGGTGGAGGGGTTAAGGTTCGCCTGGTGGCCTGCGGTCTGATCCCAGCTACCGGCGTAATCGTACGCCATGAGGTTGTAAAAGTCCAGGTACGGGGTCATCTCCTGCAGTCGGAGTTTGTTGTAGTTGGTCGGGCCTGAAGATGGTCAGGTCTGTATATATCTTCGAGTCAAAATACTTACCGGCCGGGACAGCAACGGTAAGTTGGAACTTCCGAGAACCTTGAACGGCATTCAAAGCCTGCACGAATTAGCACAAATATAGCATATATGGTATTTTGATGTACTCACTTCACGGCATCTACGGAGAAGATCAACGTAGTTCTGCGCCTGTTGATCGTCTATGCTCCGTTAGCATCCATCAGACTATTTAGAGGCCACGCAGCTTACCCTGGGGATATTCCCAATCAATATCAATGCCTAGTCCCAGTTAGCAGTCATCCTGCACCACCTTCTTAAGCCAACGCACCATCAAAGCCAAGGTCAGTAATGAGCTTAGTCGCAGTCTTCGCAAAGTTGTCCCTGTTCGCAGCGGTACCAGCGCCGTTGGTGAAGTTGGGAGAATAGGTCCAACCTCCGATAGAGAGGAGAACTTTGAGCTGTCTGTTCTGGCGCTTCACCAAGCCGAGCTGCTTGGCGCAGCCATAGACGTTGTTTCCGGTGTCATTCCACGAATCAGTGGGGTAGTGCTTCTCAACATCAGACCAGGTGTCAGAGAGGTAGCTGTGGGTTCATGTCAGCTCGAGCCACCGAGAAGATTCAATTGGCGTGCTTACACTTCACCAGTCTCGGGACGGACATTGGCGAACGCGTAGAGAACATGGGTCAGTTTCTGCGCGGGCAGATCCTGGGGGTTGTAGTTGCGGCCGTAAATGGCCTGTTGATCGTTAGCCACGTGGTATAAATATTGTTACGTAGGAAAGGTGAAAGATACGTACCCAATTGACAAAATAACCAACGGTTCTATATCCAGACATGTTGGACGATGACAAGTTATTCGAAAATTCTGGAGTGCTGTAATGTATGCCAAAGTAAGAGGTGTTACTTCCAAAGTAATGAAGGTAAAGAGTGACAAGTAAGACGGGGAGAGAGACAAGATATAGAGCTCGAGAAAAGACCATATGGAGCCAATAAATTTAAATGCCCAACAGAAACAAAGAGAATAAATACTGGAGCCTGCTTCGTACCTGCCTTAAACCAAGAATAGCCGTGACTTTCCAACAACTACAAATGTACCTGAGACCGAGTGCCTTATACTTCAGGTACCAAAATGGCGTATGTGGCTAGCTGGCGGGGAACAAATGAGGCGGTGCAAATAGGGCTGGCTGTGGCTGTGACGGTGACTTGCTTGGACTTGCTTATTCAGCAGAATGGAGAATGGAGCAGAGATGGAGAACACAACTCAGCCTGACAACGCAGCTATATTTATACCTTTTCCACACAGTGTCGAGCAAGATCAACCTGGCAGAAAAATGCGTGAAAAACCTACACGAGCCAACACGGGACCTGGACTTTCGTCATGATCGTGCTGTCTGACCTTCATTCCTATGTATGCTTTTTAACGGCGGGGATTTGTCCGAGTGTGCCTGCAGGGCAGTCCATGCTGCCATCCGACCAACATCCCCTACCCGGGCCAATCAGATTAGCTAAAACCGATAAATGCAAGCAGGGACTCCTCGCGGAGGAACAGGGATTCGATCTTCGAACCATCAAGCATGGCCTGTCTGGTGAGTCGTCACGAGATGGCCGCAAACCGAACTCTGGCATTGGCATGGAAGCCACTGTAGGACAAACATCCCCGATGGGAAAATGGGGATTCTTCTCCATCGCACATCAGCCTCTCAGACAGCGAGCGTGAGGTTATCGTAGGTCTGCTGGGAAAAGGTTGTCTCCGGCTCGAGTCGCCTTGGTGTCTTTCACATGATGGATTGCTGGGTGAGGCTACTGGCGGCGCAAGCAGTCGAACGACCCGACATCATGGGAACGCATGGATCTGGGGTTGCAGTGTCAGCTCAAAGCTATGAGTATGACCGTGGGTAGTATTGACTTCGATCATCTTGGTGACGATCAGATTATAGCCCCGGGTTTTAAGTATTAAATAACGGGCCTGCGCACTGATGCAAGTCTTGGTTGGAGTCGGCAACGAATCCTAGAGCCACATGATGTTAGCAAACTCTCTGCCATCAACTCTGATAATCCTCCTAAAGTCTAAACTAAAAGTAAGTATGCTGTCTGTTGATGACTTGATGTATTGGAGCGGAGTATCTCTTAGCCTGCAAGCAAGTCCTCAGCTGAACTCCCCACTATCACATCTCCACCGCAACATCCACATCACATCACTGAACTACTGCAGGGGCCCCGTCGTCATCGACAACACTCAAACTGTGATTGAGATATCAACGGAGAAGTCCGAAGTGATTGTCGGTCGGATGGAGTTAAGAAAAGATTTTCTCTCCACCTCTGGACGACTCCACCGGCGCGTGTTGACCTCAGCTGATGATGGTTCATTGCTGCCGTCCGATGCCACTGTATATCTGCTGCTACGGCAAACTGTCTACCGATGGTCAAAGACTGACAGAGTAGCGGTCAACGCCCAGAGGTTGATGCCTAAGAAGGAACCAAAGGTTGGAAAAAGAAGGGAAGTAAGTCAGTAACTGCCCAATGCCTATACCTGGCTGAAACAGAATACCCGAGACATCACGCAAATTATATGAAACCTTTGAGGGAAACCGGACACAAAATTGTAATATGCAAAAGATACAGGACAAAGAGAAACAGGCATAAACTGCCTTGATAGCCAGGCAAAGTCGAACAATGAAGTAAATTGACATTTAAAGGGATATCACCGCCATCATACTAAAGAACAAGGGACAGGAAAAGTGACCAGAACTCATCCTGAGTCGGAGTCAAAAGAGGCTGATGAAGCGACCTGCGCTATGATAACTGGAACAGGCATGCATGCCAAGTAAGTCAAAAAACCGCGAAAGAGTGTCGTAAAGTCAGTGCATCATGCTATGCATATATCCGTTTATTTTCTTTTGGTAAAAAACAGAGCCTGTTTCAGACTCTGGGCAGTGGTCTGCACTCAAGGATGAGATCGGATCCAGGAAAGGATCGCATCCAATGATGGATCTTCCGCAAGCCAGTGACCAGCTCTTGCGTCAGCGGCTCGGAGATCCGCAACCACATGCTGGTTTGAGATTTGTGCTAGTTCCTGCCTACTATCAGCGATGTCACTAGAGGATTGCGGGGATGACAAACCTGGCGCAAAGTGTTGCTGACAGCTTTCATCGGACTGGCGTGCTGGGGACCCGGCCTCTGTCCGCGTAGGATGCGATCTCGATGAATGATCCAACGCTTGGCTGCCGCTGCTCGAAGGTAGATCCGATGGGCCTGGAACCGGCGGGCACTACCGTCAAGGATGACCCTGGTGGTTGTCAGAACTATATATACATGACGCGATATGGCTGAAGGTGTTACCTTCGCAACTGAGCCTTTTCAGCCTCATCGCTCGAAACGTTTGCCGGCGGCGGACTAGGGCTATAACTCGAAGCCATCAAGGCATTCGCAGCAGCAAGGCACTCCTTCAGTACCCTGTACCCTTCTTCTGCCTGATCCGCCGGAGGTATCGAGACATTGAGCTGGTTGATATGCACCAGCAGAGTGCGGTAATCGTTCATGAGTTCGGCTACCCTCAGAGCGCGTGCTTGGTTGACTGGTATGCGTCAGTCTTTTCTATCTCTACACTGGGAAGGAGAGACATTGCTTACGTCCGTCGGCCATTTTTACCTCCTCTATATCACTTGTTGTCTGAATAATGATGTAATGCAGGAATCACCAAGAAGAGCACAGAGAGACAGCACAGCGCAATGATTAAGGAAAGAAGAGAAGGGAAGAGAACAGTGAGTCGCCAGGCTCAATTGAGTGAGTGCATGCTTCTGGATCCGTCCCATGGTTGAGGGCGAGATATCCTTTTAAGCTTAATCCTCAACGGCAGCACAACCCATTCTGCTGGAGACTGTAGAGCATTGCAAGAGTAGGAGCATTGCTAGATGTGGCTGGCTGCGCCAATGGCTTGCTGATGCTAGCAGTCCAAGAGACATCCCAGCTGGAAAGCCGCCAGACCTGGTGGATCTATAGCGAACGGACCAGGAGACGTGGGAACCATGTGCTGCTTCGTCCCAAATGGAATTGAGCTAAGGCCATGCCAACGGATTTGGGGCGCGAACCTACGTAGTTGTGGCTAGTGACGGTGCAGAGATGACTCGGCGCTGCGGGATGATGTCGCTGGAGAAGAACCACCCAGGAGCACGGAGTTGCTGCAGGGGGTATCAAAAAGAGAACTGGTAACGCATTGGCCGATGTGATACGCCGGATCTCGATGGATAGCGAGGGTTTATTCGCTGGTATGACATCGCAGGAACACCGGAATAGTTCAGAACAAGAGCTTAAACTGGGTCTAGACGATCAGGCCAGCTGGGGTCGTCGTTTCGTATCGGCGGTTTGCCACATGCTGTCAAGAACCAGGAAAGCATAATTAGAATATGGATCGAAGCGACGAGCGTGCATTGGACGGTTGGACAAAAGCATTTCTGGAAGGGCAGCCGAAGCGAAGGCACGAACGGGGAGAGAACCCACTGGCGGAGCTCAGCCACAGTCCATGCAGTCAACGCCAGCTGAACAAGGAACCAGATGCAGCCTAAGGCTCGCTCTTCTGATTGATCCCTTTGTTCATAAACCCACTCCTATCCCGTCTTGATGGTCGATGCGTTATTCGGTGGCAATTTTCAACAATTTACCTGGCATACCGACATACTCCGGAGTCCGTTGTGCCATCGTCAGATCTGAGAGCGATTATGGGGTCGGCAGCTGCGCCCCGCCCAAGGTGACAGCTCGGGCTCGCGTCCGTCCGACTTGCAGAAGCCTTGGGCCTGTAGAATTGTATATCCAAGCTTCCAAACATCAGTCCTTTCTGACATGCTGATGCCCGGCTCTTCCAACTCCTATCGCCACCAGCTTCGAGAGAGAGAATCTGACTACGACGAGAAAAAGCAAGAGAAACTACGCATCGGACGAAGCCCGTATTTGTCTCAATTCGTCTTGATATCGTTTGCATCTCCCAGCATCATCCAGCTCACAGATTAGTCCTTCTCGGCAATGGCCTGCAGCCGTTCGTCAATCTCCTCCTCTGTCAGTGCCCGAAAGTTTGGATCTGTGCCTTCCTTGCCGTCTGCTCGAGGAGCACCGACGATGCCAATCTCCAATTCGTGCTTCTTGAAATCCACGCTCAGCACACTGCTCAATGCCGTAATCCCCAGCTCGACAACCTCCTCCCAGCTGCCCTCTGCGTAATCCTTGTTCTTCAGCTTCTTCTCCATGTGGTTGAGCGCCTCCTGCTGTTTCGGGCCCGCGGCAGTGGCCTTGTATCCAGCATAGTAACCGGCAGGGTCACACTTGTAGAGTTGTGGTCCCTTCTCCAAGTCGACAGAGACCAGGGTAATCGCAACACCGAGCGGGCGCATGTAAGCCTGTGAGGTGTTAGTTGCTGAACCATCACAGATCGCAAGTGACTGACTCTTTGTGTGTAAACCTGGTTGATATTGGCTAAACGCTTGGCAAGAACGTCGCATGGCATCTCGTAACCATACTTGTATCGGAACTCGGCAGCCTCACCACGAGCACGGTCAACGTAAGCTCTTGCATCAGCAATAGACCCGGTCATCACACAGCCGACCGAAGGAGAGAGCCTGAAGATATGCGTGACGGACGAAGGGTCGATCAGTTTATCCTAGACATCCGTCAGACCGGCCTCGGTGTATATCGGAGTTGCTCAGGTGACGTACGGCAACTTTCTTCTGGGACAACACAACGGCACAATTCTTCCCCCTAACACCTATCGAGGTGATGTTTGCGGCGGTGATGGCTTTGAACGCATACTCTAGGTTGAGATACACATGTCAGCGGAGGCCTCAAGTCGAGCTGGCAAGGGCGGATTGGTATCTGGGGAGGTATCTGGAGTGCGTACCGACTTGGTAGAGACGACCCTGGTCCGAGAAGATGGTAATGTGTCTATCGTAACCTGCTCCTGTTTAGCGTCCGGCCATCAGTCCGCTCACTGATGAAGTCATGGCGGTCTGTCGTGAGGCTCGATGAACATACCAGACATGATTGTGGTGGTTCAAATTCGCACTTTGCAAGAGAAAGGATCGTGTGTAGATAGCAGAGAAAGAGTGAGCAATAGATGCGATGTGGAGAGGGGAATGGAGGATGGAAAGCGGCTGGAACAGAGGACGCGTGCTAGAGGAAGCCTGCTGGCTGAAGCTCAAGCTTCTGGCCCGACATAAGCTCCCGTCACCGCCTTCTCTCTACCTCCATCTACTGTGCACATTTACAGCCCGAGCGTATTCAGGGGAGACTTTTTTGATCGATAATTACTTGTATCGTTATATATATCGTCTATTATATGCATCCCATAACAAACATATACGCCAGAGCCGGTGGTGCTGAAACGCCGTAATGAGGATATCAGAACTTTTGACACTCAAGAGCCAGAACGAGTGGTGACCTATCAGTAGGATGCGGTGGCAGAGACATAACAGGAATAAGGCAACCAGGATGAAGGCGAAGATGATCACGAGCTATCAGTCGCTGTCGCTGCTCGAATCCGACGAAGAGCTGCTTGAAATGTCCACGACGGCGGTCCGGCTCTTCTTCTTCTTCTTCCTAGCGGGCTGTTTCTTCACGGGTTGAGGCTCCTCCTTCTTCTTATCGTCATCGTTGTCGCTGTCGCTCTCACTACTACTCGAAATCTCGACGACGGCAGTTCGGTTCTTCTTCTTCTTCGCGGGCTGGGGGGCGGCAATCTTGCCCTTCTGCGGCGGTGCCTTCAGATTCGACATGGTAAAGACCCTTCCATCCACCGCAAAGTATACGATCTCAGCACGTCGCCTTTTTTGGAACCTCTTCAACACCTCCTCGTTCAATTGCTCAAACGCCTCGCCGAGATCCTCCGTCAGTTCACCAGCGGTCAACTTCGTTCGGAAAGCGTAGATAGCCTTCCTGTAGTTCACCGTCGGCGACTCCGCCTGGTCGTCTGACGGCTTCTCGGTCAGGTCCATATTGGTCTCCTTGATCTCCTCGACATCCGTCTTGATAGCAGCTTGAGCTACCTCTCGTAACCGCTGCTTCGCGGCCTCACCTCTCAGCCCCTGCAGGTATGAAAGTAAAGCAGCCTCATAAGTAGCCGGAATTTGCTCCAGTGACAGAATATGCTTGAAGAGCTGAATCTCGCGGATCTTCTGGAATTTCCACGATGACCGGTCATTGTGATATTGATCGAGATAGCCAAGCACTGGGGCCTCGCCAGATTTCTGCTTTGTCGCTGTATCCGTAACATCTTCAGTCTTCTTCTTGCTCTTCTCCTTCTTTTTCTTTTTCTTCTCCCTTTTGCCTGCATCCGCATTCTCGTCGTCGGCTTCTGCCTCCTCATCTCCCTCCACAGGCGATGGAGACGGAGACTTGACCTGTGTCTCCGCGGAGAACGCAACCCTCTTAGACTTCTTCGCCTTGCGCTCGCTCTCATCTTCTTTATTCTCTTCACTCACAGCCTCCTTCTCGCCATCCTCTTCGACAAGCCTGCGCTTCTTGCTCTTCTTCTGCTTCTTTTCGCTAGCGGCATCGCCATTCTCGACAGCATTTTCCTTATTCTCGTCTTCTTGCTGCATATCGGCCGTCTTCATGGCGACATCGACATCGGTATCAACACTGGGTTCGACGTCTTTGCTGCGCTTGGACTTGGAGCTCTTGGAGCTCGGCCGCTTCGACCGTGATTTTTTCTCTTCGGCCATTGAGGCGGGAGTAAGGGTGTGCTGGTGGCCACTGGCGGGAAAAGTCGAATCGCGCGAATGTACAGTTCGATCTTTCGGGGTTTAAGAGCAACGTAGACGAAATATGGGGTGTGGTTGCGGCTGTTGAAGTTGTCAAGAAATTATCTTGAGGCCATGAGAAATTTCCACGTGATTAGATATCGATAACCATGATAAGCCGATCGACGGACTATACTAGGGAGAACAAGAAAGACTCTCCTATAGGTTTCATTTACTGGAAAGGGCGTATCTAGAAGAATGGATAGATCGTACAATCATGACTTGACATATTATATCACTAATTCGCTTCCATGACTCCAGTCAAAACCACAAAATCATAGCTTGATCCTCGTTATGCTTCAAAAAATATACATCGGCGTGGTGCTATTGTCCGTTCGAACTTGCATCTTTCTTCTCTTTTCGTATCTGGGCTTGAGCCTCTGATCCAGATGACGGCGCAGCTCTCCGCCTTGCCCGTTCTCGTTCTTTATCTCGAGAGATAGTTGTTGCTCTTCGCCTGCGGACCGGTTCATAGACTTCGTTGAAGTTCATAACCACGGCTAAGAACCGCATGTCAACATCAGGTTGATAGGACAGATCGCCAAGAAGGGTATTCAGGCGGGAGCGGAATTCCAGAGAGAGGTCGCGGAGGCGAGAACGGAGAGATGGAAGCATGTGGTCGTCTGCGGAGAGGTCGTGGTTGGCAAGCGAAGATGGTGTAGCGACCCCGTCGGCTCCAGATCCGACGTTGGGCGTTAAGGAGAATGACGAGGATGCCGACGCAAGTTTCTGTGCCTGGCTATGTCGGGAGGAAAGAATGTCTCGCTCTGAGATGCCCCACTGACCTTGAGCTGTGCGTGTCTCGATCTTTGCGCTTAGCTCCTGTCGACGGGTGAATTCTGCGACGGAAAACGAGTACAATCCGTCAACTGCGTCCTTGTAAGCTAGCATTATTTTTAAGATGTGATGCAGTTGGGCTAGGAAGCCTTCTTCTGGCTTGCCAGCGGCCTTTGACGAGGTTGAGGAGCCTAGGAGGCCCTTGTGTGTGATAGAATTGAGGTATTTGGTGTGAGCTTCAATCAAATCATCGAGCGTACATCCTGGCTTAGAAATGGACGCTTGTAATTGATCCCAACTAGACTCGATGACCTCGAAGAGGATATAGTATTGAAGTTGGCAAACAAAATGAATCATTTCTGCAATGACGCATCGTGCACGCTTCCAGTCAGCGCCGACTTTGTCATCAACACTGCCTAGGACGCCTCTGGCGCCCGTCATGCACCGTCTCCATGTGCTGCCCAAAGAGAACTCGACGCGCTTCACGCGCCAGAGGAAGTTGAAGACCTTGAGATACTGCGTAGAGCCCCACGGTGTAATCACTACATCCACGGGTGCGTCGATTTTATACTCCAAGGTGAAACAGTCCCATCCAATCTCGCCATGGCTGAGCTCCAGCATACGTGCGTCCAGACGTCGAAGAACATCTTGGGAGTCGTATTGTGCGTTGGACGCACGAATAGCATGCTCCAATTGAGCGGTCAGCGTATGACGGTATTGTGAGTTAGCAGGACGGTCGAGGTTCGATGCCAGTGATTCCATCAGTAAAGCGATGAAGTCGCCTTGTCCCAGCAGCAAATATTTCTTTAGCGCATGGAGGTGATCAAACAGCTTGAACTTGTCATCCATGAGGTGAATCAGCCTCGCCATTGTAGTTTTGTAGGCTTCATCAATTGAGGTTTCAAGACTGGCTGTGTCCCCATAACGCAGCTCCTTGGACGCTTCCTTGGAGTACGCCTCCACCCACCCGGAATCGCCGCAGCCGTATCGGATGAAGTTCAAAGACTTTCCAATGAGGAATACCTTTTTAGCGAAATCTTTGGTGATTATTGAGGGCACCATGTCATCTTCAAGCTTGTATTTATCCTCCCAAACACTAGTTGCAATGCGGCGTGGATCTGTGCTTGGCCTGAATTCTGGCTCGACAACGCAGAATTCTTTATAAGGATCTGACAGCTCGCCGTCGTAGATCCAGAGCCGCAGCATGTTGTAGAACGGTCTTGTTACGTGCGCGAGGAGCTTCTCTGCAAAGTTACACACGAAGGGATCTCCATGTGATGTGGAAAAGCCATGGATCAGAGAAATCAATTGGCCCCCTTTCTTGTCTATGAAGCATTAGAGAATTGTATGACATGAAACGGAGCGCACTTACTCTTAGCCTCCTCAACGATCAGACTCATGAGACGCAACGCCATTGTCGCATCTCTCGTCCAGATAACACACCTTTTTAAAGTCACCCCACTTTTAGGAACGCCCAATTCTTGAGGCGCAGCCAGTGCCCTGCGAATCTCGCCTTCAAGCGTAGCTACCAGCCCTAGATACGAACGGAGCTCATTCGCAAGAGCTGCCCGCAGGCTCTGACTGATGAGACCCCCTTCACTGCCCTCAACAAATGTAGAAAGACCCCGATATAGCAAGCACGGCTCGGCTAACGTATTTAGAATTGATACCATAGGAATTGGTAATGTCGGAGGTAATTTGAGCGTAGAAGTTGACATGAATTGTAGATCGTTCGACGACAGACCCTGTAGGTTGAATGGGAGATCACGCAAAAGCCCTGATTCAACAGGGCGTGATTTTCCCTCATCCATTCCCGGCTCTTGAAGGTATTCCGCTACACGAGGATCTCCACCGGCAGACTCGTGTTGACGGCTCATGCGCAGTCGCTCGGGCGCAGCTCCATGCTCTGCGTCTCGTTCCCTTTCCAAGTCTTGTCGTCGCAACGAAGTCTTCCTTTCAGGGCGTGCAGCCATCTGAGATGCTGATGAGCTAACAGCTGGTCCATCATCCTCCGAACTCGCCGCCATTCCGCTCCCTGTCCTTTGATCCTTTGCCAGCATTCTTTGTAACTTGGCTGGATCCATCAATGGGCTCCGCGGCCTCTCATCCTCATATGCAAGGCCCTCGGAGGCTTCCGGTTTGGATAACCGATAGAGCAAGTATAGTATACCCCATTTTTGCGATAGCACAGGCTGGGTCAAGAGACGCGAGTATAGATTCGAGAATTGGACCGCCTTGTCAGGGCTCGCATTGTCGCGTAGTAGTTTTCGTTTAATGAGGTCCGACGCGTTGTTAATACTCTCTGCACCCGTAGCACCTGCTAAGCTCCCTCGGCGGCCAATGCCTAGATTCCCGGACGGTGATGCTGGGTTGTCCGCGGAGTTCGTGTGGGTATCAAGAACACGCCACGCATGCTCGAGAAAATCATGATGGCGCTGCTCTTCTGCGGCGGCTAGGGCTTCTTCGGCGTCTCCGGCGTATTCGTCCCTAAACGCAGACAGAGATAACGGGGGAGTGAGAGCGTCGACGAGCTGCGAAAGGGCGTCGTCGATGCGACGTGGACGAGCAGGTTGTCGCGTCGACATTGTTGGTTCCACTCCCCCAAATTCAGCAATTACAACAATCTCACAAAAATTCCCAAGAGCCAAAAGCGGCTGGGTGCTTTTCTGCTACTTCCGCCGAGTAGCGCTTCGTCGACGACGCGACGTGGACGCGGTGCTTCAGGGCGCAACGGGAGGCGAAAAGATCCAATTTGCAGGCGAGCTTGGGCATTTGCCAGGATCCACGAGATTCATGCCCGAGATAAAACAACACTACCTCCAAGGCGCAATCACAATGCGCGCGATATGGTAGAAGTCGGCAGGGAATGAAATTGTTTGGCCAGTTTGGAGTGTTTTGATGGTTTGATAGCTCGCTGCCAAGCCTTAGGTACGGAACTATGAGTACTCTGTGAATACATGAGATGGAGGGGCCTATACCTGAAGATAGAAAAAACCACTAATGAAGCTATTATATTGCTCAAATTTGTTATTACGTGAAACATGGAGGGGATGGGTATAGCCTGCAAATAACATGTCAGGAACCAATGAAAAAACATGCACCTAAACTCCTGCACAACGGAATGATCGACATAGAGAGTCGATATGACTCTACCAGAGACTTTTGCTTCTGGCGGTCCGAGACATGACCCCAAAGGCGTGCCCAAGAGACATTAAGCAAATCCAAATAGAACGAACAAATCGGAAAAAAAGGTATAAATAACCAGGTTGGGGAATCCTCATCAATCATAGTTCATCATCAACGTCGTTGTCGGCATCTTATCCTTAATCGTGAGCATATGCGTTCCTTGGGAGCGAGCCACGTTATCGCCCATTCAAGCAACTACTCCGGACACAGTTGACCCAGGACTCCATCGAAAACGCTTCAACCCGCCTCGGACCGCCTCCTGGCCACAAGTTGCTGATACTCTGCTGCCCGGCACGCCGGCATCTCCCAGAACGGATCCCATACCAGTGCTTGCCTCCAATCTCCCAACTTCCCGACCAAGCACATATCCAGCAGAGAAACTGATCGCGGAGAATAGCACAACAACGCCTGCACTTATAACCCACGTCATCACTGCGGACGACGACTCTGTAGCTCCTGAGCGTCGGCTCTTTTTGGTGGCAGACTGACCGGACCCGCGGTCCTTCGAAGTGCTTGTCCGCCGCTTTGCCCGAGTAGAAGAAGACTCCCGCGGCGAGTATTGGGGCAACTGCTTAGGCCGTTGTGAACGCGGCGAAGTGGGCATTTCCATGTCTGATGATGCGTCTTCTTCGTTGGCTTCTTCGTCCATAGCCACAGCTTCTGACACCAACCGGAATGATGCTGGCTGTGTTCTCGAAGTCCCGATTGGCGCAGGTTGCGACTCAGACTTTGGAAGTCCTCGTGCTGCAGCTGCACAAGAAAGCAAAGTCGAAAGGCTCGCACGGAGCGCGGCATCATGATCTGCGTGATAGGACGGCGAAATAATGTTGTAAGGACCGTGCTGTTGGCTTGAAGCCCGCTGGGACGAGCGAACGCTGGCTTGAGAGTTTCTTCGTATGGCTGTCCGTCCGCTTGAGGCCGATACGTCGCTGATAGGCCGTGACCGGCGGGTATCGGTAGGTCCAGTCCAGGATGGTTCTCCAGAGACTGGGGGATGCGAGAAGACGTTGGGTTGAGGCACGAATGGAGACGAGCTTATACGCATACCGAGCGCTGTTGAACTATCATCTTCGTCACTTGAAGGAACCGCATGTTCAGCACGAGGCAAGGAGGGTCCGATGCGAGGTGGACGAGCAATATCTTCATTTGAACTCGACAGAACGCGGTCGGATTCACTTTCACTTTCTTCATATTCATCCTGACTGCTGCTGGGCTCATGGGACGAATACTCGACCTGCGCTGCGGTAACGGCTGCTAGGCGTTGCAGACGTCGTCGGCGGTTTCGGCGGTGATACCCGTCAGGCTGGACGCGGAGGCCGGTAGTGATTATGTCATCGGCAGTTGCTACTGAAGACAGCGACGAGGAGGATGGCTGAGAGGAAACTTCGATCCAAGAGTCTATATAATACTGCAGTGAGTACATGGTGAATGATGTGTTAGGTAGCGCAACTAGTTATGGGGTAAAGACATAGAGACAGAAAAGCAGGATGCAAGATTCTGATGGTTATGATTTCAGAGACCTCACCTTCTGATCTCAAGGCTGCGCCTGAACGTGACTGAAGCGTATCCCGCGTCACTCGGCCGGCAGTAGTCCTGGGCTCATCCTGCACCTGACGACCTAGAAGGTCATAGTGATTCGGCTGCATCGCTGTAGGTCTGGTCAGCGAGAAGAGGGGTAATGGAGTATGAAGGTTATTGAAGGATGAAAAGAAGATACCTTGAGTGAGGGAGGGGAATAAGACCTCGACTGACAGTCAGGCCACAAGGGGGAAGAAAGGGCCGATTATACCTGCGGTCAAGCGGACTCAAGCCAGACAATGTGGTGGGGTTCGTGGAGAAAGCGACCCAGACTTTGAATGATCGCCCGAGATATCGCAACCGAACAAAGCGCTTTGCAGAGCTACTCAGTAGAAACGGAGCCTCTGGAGCAAGTTGAGTATGGGAGGCAAGCTGGAGGAAGCCTGGCTGCTGATGTCGCAAGTCTGTAGCGCTGGATGGGGGTGAGAAATCATCGGATCGATGACAGGCTTGACAGCTGACTTGTCCTCAACCACCTGCTTGCATGAGTGATCGACACACAGCCAGTGAAGGACTGCCTGGCCTGGACAAAAGCACGCCACTCACGAGTTAAGAAGCAGAAGTAGATTATGCGCAAGATAGATGCTCCACGGCGGGGTTCTTGAGAGGGTAGAGGGAGAGTAGAGTACAGATGAGCAGATCAGATAAGTTCCGGTGGGGAATCGCGGACCGTCAGGCGCCAACTATGTACCTAAGAAAAGCACGCCAAGACCCTGCCGGATCCGAAGTCAATAGACACAGGGCCTCACCCAAGATTTGACGTAAACTTAACATGCCTAGTCAAACAGATTACAGGTGGAACATACACTGAAGAAAAGAAACTCATGGTATTATGCATTGAGGTCTATCTCATGAAACCGTTAAAACCGAAAACAAAGAACTTTTCCCGAATTACCCTAGCAATGTTACCGCGAGAGCCTTGAAATACAAACCAACCAATATGCAGAAAAGGTATCAGATCTAGAAGGTCATCTTGGTACCCTTGAACTCAGGGATACCACCACGGGCACGGTTGGGGGGACCGCCAGCACCACCGCCGCGTCCGCCAAAGCCTCCACGGCCTCCACGACCGCCACCACGAGGACCGCCACGTCCACGGCCACCGAAACCGCCACGGCCACCGCCACGGCCACCACCGCCGCCTCCGTTGTTCTGGCGGGGAGTGCTGAAGTCCAGACGGATGGGACGGCCGTCAATCTCGGCACCCTGAAGTTCGTTGTAGGCGTTGCGGGCCTCATCGACGGACGAGTACTGGACGTAACCGAATCCCTTGGGGCGGCCGGATTCCATGTCGGTGGGCAGACGGATACCCAGGACGGTTCCCTGGGGACCGAAGACTTCATGAACGGAGTCTTCGTTGGCGCTGAAAGGCAGGTTGCCAACGAAGAGGGTGTCGCTCTCGGGGCTGGCCTGGTCACCGAAGGAGCGGGCACGGGTCTGAGCGCGCTCCTTGAAGCCGCCCTGGTCCTTGTTGGCGGGGCGAACGGTGGCGTAGTCGAGGTTAATCTTGCGGCCGTCGATTTCGTGTTCCTTCATGGCCTCGTAGGCCTTGGCAGCATCAGCGGCATCGGTGAACTCGACGTAACCGAATCCGCGAGAGCGACCAGTCTCGCGCTCAGTCATGATACGGGCGGACAGCTCACCGAACTGTTCGAACTCTTGCTGGAGCCACTCCTCGGTGACGTTCCAGGAGAGGTTGCCGACAAACAGGTTAGCAGAAGCACCCTCCTCAGTCTTGGACTTCTTGGAAGCGGCCTCGGGCTCTTCCTCGGCCTTGCGCTTCTTGGATTCGGCGGGCTTGTCGCTATCCTCGGACTCGGACTCGGAGCTGTCGGAGTCAGAAGAGCCCTCGGAGCTGTCAGAGTCGGAGCCAGACTCCTCCTTGGAGGCCTTGGTGTCGGCCTTCTTAGCCTTGGCGGGGGCTTCATCCTCGCTCTCGGAGGAGTCGGACTCATCGCTGTCGCTCGACTCAGCAGCGGCAGCCTTAGGGGTCTCCTCCTCATCCTCAGAAGACTCATTGTCAGAGTCAGAGGACTCGGACTCGCTGGACTCGGCCTTCTTGGCGGCCTTGGGCTCAGCCTTGGCCTTCTTAGCAGGCTTCTCCTCCTCACTCTCGCTCTCACTCTCGCTGCTGGAGGCATCCTTCATCTCCTCGTCGCTGTCGCTGGAGTCGGACTCGGACTCGGAAGACGATTCAGCCTTCTTGGTCACCTTCTTGTTGTCCTTCTTCACCTCCTTCTTGGCCGGCTTCTCATCCTCGCTGGAGCTGGAGCTGGAAGACTCAGACTCGGATTCAGATTCAGACTCGGAGCTGCTGCTAGGAGTAGGCTCCTTCTTCTTGCCCTTGGACTTCTTCTCCTTGGAAGCGATCTCTTGGGCGACCTTCTTGCTCTTGGCCTTGGGAGACTGGGAAGCCTTGGTGACTCCAGCATCCTTGACCTTGCTCAAGGCCTTGTCGGCGAGCTTTCCGGCGGTCTCGGCGCCCTTCTTGACAACGGACTTAGACTTGGACATGTTGACTGCAAGGGAAACGAGGGTTAGCAGGACGGACGTGACAGTGGCGTGTTTAAGGAACGGGGCCTACCTGATAAAGTAATATGAGATGAAAAGGTCAAAAGTGCGGCAAACCCTCTGATCCCTCAAACACCCGATTTGAAGATCCCACAGTATTTGATATTCAGAAGTGTTCAAGCACGACTGAAAGTAAACCTCAAGAAGAAGAGATTTACGCGGACGCCCACAAGTAACCCACAACGGACAATGTTCAAGCCCACAGAAACGGACACGAGATATGCAACGGTCTAGAAGATGGTAAAATCCCACAAATAGATGCTACAGCCCACAGCCCTCAGTGTAGAAGCCCACAAACAAGGTCTCTGTTGAAGTGTATCTGGTAAAGATACAGCTTGCGCTCCCACGTCAGTAGAAGTAGAATAAGGCAGGGAAAGTCAAATCGAAGTGATATACCAAAAGAATATTATTCTTTGGTGAGATAGTAAAAGAGTTTGGTAGGAGATGAAGAAGGGAAGAAAAATTTCGGAAGCTTCGAGGAACAGCAGCTCTGATAAGAGAAAAAAAAATGGAAGGCTAGCAGAAATCTTCCCACCGCCTGCTCCAGTTGATCTAGCCTAGGAACTACGCCGAGGAAAAGTGGGGACCTCGGAGCGGGTACTTTTGACCAACAATGATAACTCATCTCCGTGAGAACTCCAGTTGTTAATTGTCAACGTCTACGCTGTCCCTCCCCTGAGTTCCGAACTTCCGACCTCATTCATTCTCGCCTCTTTGTTTCTGCTTCACAACATTCTCACACGGCCAATGGAAGATCATTGATCCTCCACCTGCAACATGGCGCCTCCGAACCCTTCCTATCGCCCGCGCAAGAAGAGAAAGTCTGCCGCACTGTTTGCCGGCTCGAACAATCCACTCACCATGGACGCTGGGGAGGGTAGATCTGCGCCTGCGTTTCCCTTAGTTTCCTTTCTCTGGGGAGCTCGGGCTGGTGTCTCCCAATGGCTTGTCCTCCCTCTTGTTCTGATGACAGTCGGCCTATTTCGCTGGGCTGTAAGCCTGTGGGGTTATTCAGGTATGCTGCGAGTTGTTGAGGTCGTATCAAGCGCTAATCAATCAAAGGCTGCAAGACTCCTCCGATGTACGGTGATTTTGAAGCGCAGCGTCACTGGATGGAAATTACCACCAACCTGCCGCTGTCGAAATGGTATACGTATGATCTGCAGTACTGGGGACTCGATTACCCGCCATTGACGGCATACCATAGTTGGCTGTTAGGAAAAATGTACGTCCAACTTTACCTTTTGCAGATTTGATCTGATATCAAGCAGTGGCTCCTTTTTTGATACCACATGGTTCGCCCTGGATGACTCCCGCGGCCTTGAGGATCCTTTATTGAAAGTCTTCATGCGCGCGACAGTGATAGTCTCCGAGTACCTCGTCTATATTCCGGCGATTATCACTTTCTTGCGGCGTTACACTCGGATGCAAGCCGTACCCGTATGGTCGTCTTCAATCGCACTCGTTGCCATTCTCCTACAGCCAGCAACTATACTTATTGATCACGGCCACTTCCAATACAATACCGTGATGCTGGGCTTATTTGTTGCGTCCTTGGATGCTATAATGGCAGGCCGCATGCTCTGGGCGTGTACCTTCTTTGTTGGGGCTCTAGGGTTCAAACAGATGGCTCTATATTATGCACCGGTCATGTTTGCATTCCTCCTCGGGATTTGCGTCTTTCCACGGATTCGACTTGTCCGACTCCTCTGCATAGCGCTGGTCACCATTGCCGCTTTTGCTATCCTCCTTCTACCGTTGTTACTGGGAGCTACCGCAACCGAAAAGCAGTCAACCCCGGAGCCACCTCTGCTTCAGATTTTTCCCGTCAAGCTGGACCACGAGTCATCATTATACCTGGTTCTCTTCCAACTAGCGCAGATAATCCACCGCGTTTTCCCGTTCTCGCGGGGTCTTTTCGAGGATAAGGTGGCAAATGCCTGGTGCGCCATTCACACTTTCTACAAACTCCACCGTTACGAGCCCGATCTGTTGAAGCGTGTGTCGCTTGGCGCTACACTGGCATCGATTTTGATACCGTGCATTATCATATTTCGTCACCCGCGCGCTTCAATTCTGCTCCCTGCCTTTGCTACCGTTGGCTGGGGCTTCTTCCTCTTCTCTTTCCAGGTTCATGAAAAGAGCGTGTTGTTGCCATTGCTTCCCATGACATTGCTTATTGCTGGTGATGGAGGTCTCAACAAAGATACCCGGTCATGGGTGGGTTGGGCAAATGTCCTTGGGTCTTGGACTCTATACCCACTCCTCAAGCGTGATGGTTTGCGGGTGCCATACTTTGTGGTCACGTACCTCTGGGCCTATTTGTTAGGCCTTCCCCCAACCTCATGGCTGATCTATCGCCACCAGAAGCCGTCCGGAGAGACCGAAGCACATACCGAACCTCATGGTCTTACCAAACTCATACACTCTTTGTTTTACCTTGCTATGATAGGTTGGCATGTGCTGGAGGCTTTCGTTCCTCCTCCGCCGGACAAGCCAGATCTCTGGGTTGTTCTCAACGTTCTCATCGGCGCCGGTGGCTTTGGGCTCGCGTATCTTTGGTGCTTGTGGAAGTTGATCAGCCAATCCCGCCGGATGGATTTCAAAGTGGAGGACACTAGGAAAAAGAACCAGTGAAGCGTGGCCGGACACGTATAGAACCAAATGTATATACTTTCGAACGATGATACCCCATTTGTCAAGCCTAAAAACACCTAATCATCGGCATTCTGGACCGTCTGCAATCCCGCCCCACCCAGCCGCACACAATTTACACGCTACGTCCACTACCGTAGACATGAGCAGAGGTAAGAGAAGGAGATTATTGCTACCAAAACCATGAGATGCAAATAATGTACAATAAACCCAGATAGACCCATGACCGTAACACCGAGCTGATGCCGCAGAGGCATACCTCCATTCTATCACATGTCGAAGGTATCCTCGCAACTTTGTAATATACAACGGCCGCGTACTATTTCACACTGCACATTGAGCACACGAAGATCGTCTACTAATGCGCAAGGCGCAATTAGACCTTGAAGCCGAACCCAGCCATGCAGGCCTTGTACTGCTCGATCGTGGACTTGCATTCCTGCGCTGGGTCATCGGATTTGGAGAAGAGCATGCAATCGTCTCGGGCGGTCTTTTCGGTCTTGCATACGCAGCATGGCTGGAATGGCGTTAGTTGAGATCGATACATCACCGTGCTATACGGACCTTGGGCTTTTCTGCCGGGGCTTCGGCCGCGACGGGAATGGGAGTCTTTTCAGCGGAACCTAAGATCAGACCATTAGAGGATTGTCTGTTTGAAGTGCATCGATATGGGATGGGTGTCGCAGGAAGACCCGGCTTACCGCTGGATGAACCGAAGAGCCACGACATGATGCAGGAATTTCTTGGAAGGCAATGTATAGCGAGCGAAGAAGGTCAGAAGGGATTCACTGATGTTTTGCAGGCGCTGCAGCTGTTCTTGAACTGCTTAATAATAATGCGAGCAGCTTAGATGCGCCGGGCGGAAACAGCGGAAGTGGCCTGAATTGTCAGCCGGAGCGGCGATCCATGGATCGGGGTTCTCCTTATTGACTTTATTTTTCGATTTCCGATTGTTGCTGTGGCCTCCGACTGTCTTTCCCCTCCATCAACAAGCCTTCCTCACACACACACTCCCTTAAAATCTGCTCGTTTGGCTTGTTTATTTTGGTATTCTAATATTCATACTCCAGGACACCCTCTTTCTTTTTCTTCCACCTGTTACTTTTGCGATCTACCATTTCTACTCTTGTGATTTACCCCACCATGGCCCCTCCAAAGATCTTCTCTCTCGAGGGCAAGGGTCTGAAGTTGGACTCAGCTGCGGACATCGAGGCCCATATCAAGCCACTCCTCGAAAGCACCGACTACACCGAAATTCGTCTTGGAGGAAACACTTTGGGGGTTCCCGCGTCCGAACGTCTCGCCGCCGTCCTTTCCACGCAAAAGAGCCTCGAAGTGGCCGAGCTTGCGGACATCTTCACCTCACGTCTACTCAGCGAAATTCCTGACGCCCTTACTTTTCTCCTCAATGCGCTTCTCGAAATCTCGACTCTCCACACCATCAATCTTTCCGACAATGCTTTCGGTGCCAACACTCAAAAGCCCCTCGTCGACTTCCTTTCTCGCCACACCCCTCTCCGCCACCTGATCCTGAACAACAACGGTATGGGACCTGAGGCTGGGTCGAACATCGCCAAGGCTCTTACTGAGCTTGCAGAGCGCAAGGAAGAGGCGCGCAAGGACGGCAAGGAAGTTCCTCTGCTGGAGAGCATCGTGTGCGGACGCAACCGTTTGGAAAATGGCAGTATGGCTGCTTGGGCGCACGCCTACAAAGCCCATGCGGCCGGTATGCGGTCCGTCAAGATGACTCAGAATGGAATTCGTCAGGAAGGTATCTCTCACCTGCTAAAGGAAGGTCTCCGTCACGCCAGTGCTCTCGAGGTTCTCGATCTGCAGGACAACACCTTCACTGTTACGGGATCTACTGCCCTTGCTGGTGTGGTCGGTGGATGGCCTTCTCTCCGCGAACTCGGTGTCGGCGACTGCTTGCTCTCCGCTCGCGGAGGCGTCAAGGTCGCTCAAGCCCTTGCCGTGGGTAAGAATGAAAAGGTTGAAACTTTGCGCCTCCAGTACAATGATATCTCAGCGGAGGGTATCAAGCAATTCTTGCACGCTGCCAAGACCGCACTTCCAGCGCTGCGCCGTATTGAGCTGAACGGAAACAAGTTCCAGGAGGACGACAACAGCGTGACCGAATTCAGCGAGCTCCTAGAGTCCCGAAAGGAGGAGCATGGCAAGGATGATGACCCTGAGGATATGTGGGGACTCGACGAGCTTGATGAGCTTGAGAGCGAAGAGGAAGAGGAGGAGGAGGAGGAAGAAGAGGAAGAAGAAGAAGTGGCCGAGAGGGTTGTCAAGGACGCTGAGGCTGCAGAGAATGAAAAGGTTGCTCAGAAGCAGGACAACGAAGTCGACAATCTCGCGGAGGCTCTGGGCAAGACCGGCATCTAAACGCATGGCCGCAAAGATCGCTGCTCATCGCACAAAACCCCGCCCTTTCCACCCTACTCCCAAGTACGATGGTGTCAACCTCATAATTAGAGGTGAACCCTGGATGGCAACTTGGGCAATTCAGTCACAGCTTGCCTGTATTTGGCCACAGGACCCGCTGAAGCCCCCGCCACTATATCCCCGTTGAACCCCTGTTTTAAGAGTACTCAAGAAAGCACACTCACTCTGTGTGCTTTTATTACTCTACTTTGCCTTGCCGCGAAGCCCTGAACAGCCCCATACTTCCGTTTTTCTTTGTAAAATGGAAGGATACATAGTCAGTCTACCTTCAAACTTCCCTTCTACCTGTGCCCCTACACAGCATGTCATTAGCCCCAAGTTATGTATATAAATGAGAGAAAGACAATAAAATCAAGCATTGTGCATAGAACAAGTGAATTGTCTACTGGTGCTATTCCCGGATAGGCAGTCCGGGGCTTGGCATTGACGGAGCTCTTCTTCCGTCGCCATCTTGTCAACTTCTACTCTTCACCAGCTCAACTTCTTCTTCCTCGGTCATCCATTTTGCTACTCATCATCGCGCACTCGTCACATCCCGGTCGAGCGCAATCCGCTACTCCCGTCTGCAAAGCTCACTTGTTAATCTCCGTCTCGAGGTATCGAGTCCATCCCGCCCGACCCAAGAGTAAGTATTTGTGATTCATGCCGTTTCTTGTGTCTGTCCTGCTTGCCCACTGTACTTGATCTTGAGCGCATGTCGTCCCCGAAGCTTGGTCAAGAGATATCTGCAATGCGATCTCCGATTACATCGAATTCTCGAGTCAACCACCAGTGGGCACGTGCGGCTACCTCGACGAGATTGGCAACCGGAGGTGTCGCGCAGTCTCTCAAGAAAGCAAGGAATGAAAATATGGGATCTACAGATTACCACGAAGCTTTGAGTTTATTCCTGTTCCTTGAGGTGGTTGTTGCGAGCCGAACCCCATATCCTTCATCCATATCAATCTTGCGCTTTTATTAATTCTCGCCTATTCAAACCTGTGTCAATCCAGGCTTTATACTAACATCTACAGGCCTTCCTAGGCTTGTCTGATTGTTCCGAAGTGTGTCCTATACGATGGCGCTCGAGGCGAAGGAGATCGAGTTAAAGGCAAAGGCCCTTACAAAGGCTGCGACTCAAAACGAACCCGCCGCCAACATAGTGTCGCTATTGAAGGAGTTACAGCAAGGTGTTAAGGCTTCGGAAGATCTGCTGCGGTCCACTCGCGTTGGCATCATAGTCAACAAGTTCAAGCAACACAAGGCACCGGAAGTCGCACGCTTATCGAGTGAAATCGTCTCCAAATGGCGTAACGAGGTCAACAAGCAAAAGGTGGGCGGGTCAGCGGCCGGAAGTCAACGATCAAGCGCATCGCCACGCCCACCGCAGAACGGAACCGCTTCGCCTGCCAGCGCGACCCCATCCGACAAGGCCTCAAAGCTCTCAGTGCCCCCAGACAAGCGGACATGGAAGGCGGACGGTGTTGATACCAACCAGACGGGCAACCGAGCGCGCGACAACTGCATTGGGCTTATGTATGATGGTCTATGTCTACACTCGACGGAATCTCCCAAGGCTGTGCTCGCAAAAGCCGCCGCGGTAGAGGCAGCAGCGTACGACGCTTTCGGACCCGAAACAAAAGAGCCCTACCGTACCAAGATTCGCAGCTTATTCCAGAATCTCAAAAACAAGTCCAACCCAAATCTCCGAGTTCGTGTTTTGAGCAACGAAGTCAGCCCCGAGCGCTTTGTGAAGATGTCACACGAGGAGCTCCGATCCGACGAACAGCGAGAGAAGGACGCAAAAATTCAAAAAGAGAACATGGATAAGGCAATGGTTGCTCAAGCAGAACGCAGTATCAGTCGAAGCTTGCAATGCGGCAAGTGCGGACAGCGCAAGGTCACCTACACAGAGGCCCAGACCCGCAGTGCGGACGAACCGATGACATTGTTCTGCACATGCATGAATTGCGGAAAGTCATGGCGCCAGTAGTTGGCAATCTTTCTTTTCATTCATCTTTCTTCTTATTTGCCAAATATGTGCGGACTATTACCGGCGGCGCGGAGTTTGGGGGCTCATTTAAAAGGGGGAGTCATTGCTGTTGATTTGGGCAACGGTCGCGCAGACACAATTCTGCATCTATTGTTATCATATCGTCCTGAGGGATTGGCCATTTGTTAAGTTTGTAGACACTGGGGAAAGAATGCATTACCTTATCATAGCTGCCACCACAGTGCATGTAGTTTCAACAGACTAATACATGTCGTCTATTCCAAGACTTCAGTCTTGGGATTTATACTCCCTCAATGTAGGCAGCTTAGTGCTGGAGTGCACAGTAGTCAGGTACATCCAATGTTGCCATAACTACGTCATCCACTGCAGCCTTCCCAACCAACGGAGCATGCAGTTCCTACAACCTACATACAGCATCAAACTTGCTCCAATCAAGACATCAAAAAAAGCCACAGCAGATACAAGACAGAGCCCAAGCAAAATGCCTCCTTATACCCGCGCGACCCTAACGAACGCAACACAATTCCTCCTCCACGCCTTCTCAAGCTCTTCCGACCTCCCAACGCTGCTAAACACATTCACCACCTCACCAAGCCCAACAGTACACGAGCACGGCCTCCCACAGCTCGCGCCCTTCCTGGGCCGCACATTTACGGGCCGGCAGCAGGTGGAGGAGTACTTCAACTTACTGAGCGAGCACCTGGGCATCGAGAACATGCGGTTCGACGACGAGAAGGAGTGGGCTGTTGATGTTGAGACGGGGGTCGTCTGTCTGAAGGGGTATGCGCGGTTTACGAGTAAGAAGAGCGGTCAGGGGTGGGATGAGGTGTTTACCTATCGGATTGGGCTGGTGCGGGATGAGAAAGAGGACAAGGTCAAGGTGAGGAGATATGAGGTTTGGGCGGACACGGGTGCTGCTTATTTGGCTGCGAAGGGGGAGTTGGAGAGTTTATCTTAGTGAATCGGGTTCTGTGTTCAAGGCTGTGCTAGGCTAGCTACTTATGCGTGCCAGTCAATCCAGTCAATATTGCCTGGCTGCCCGTCCGGGGTCAGGAAGACTTTCGCAGGAGAATCATACGGCGCGTATTCCTTCGCCGTCAGGACCCTCGAAGCATTGGTCGACGCCCGTCCTGTTGCGTTGAAACCCGGCCCAAAGGTGCGGTACTCTGCTTGGAAGGTCTTGTTGGACAGACGGCCGACGCCATCAATGATCCAATCAATGTATCCCTCGGGATCAATGCTGGCATCCTCATAGGATTTTGCAAAGATTGAGCGATGCAGTTCGTTCCAGGGCCTGCCGAGGGGACAAGAACCGACGATGTCCGGGGCAATCGAGGCATTGGCTGCTCGGACGGAAGAGTCGACGATGTAAACGCCGTACTTGTTCTCAAATGTTGTGTTGGTGCCCTTCCAGGCGGTAATGCCGCCGCCGCAGTTGCGGAGGAGAATATCGGAGGATTGGATCCAGGCGGTGCCAAAGCCGTAGAGGAAGTCGGTTTGGCCAGCAATGATGCTCTTGTGGAAATAGGCATTGCCGAGTTTGCCTACGTAGACCTGCGCGTTTGTTAGCTTGTTCATTACTTCCAGAGCCAGCGCGGACGTACGGTATCTTGATAGGAATAGAACCCGCAGTAGTAGAACCCTCCATTGGCCCGGCTAAAGCTGAGTGCATGCGCAGGACCATCCGAAAAGTCAGCCCAGGTGTTTGTAAAGTCGATATTGTACGCGCGAAAGTCGATAGACCCAAAGGGCGTGTCCTCGGGCACGGCAAACCCAGTCGGACCGGAGCCAGTGTAGCTCGCGTTCAGAGTAGGTGCGACAGTCAAGACGCTTCCAAACACATTATCGACACTCTGACCCGTGCTGTCGTGGTTGGCTTGTGCCCAATTGATCGTTACCAGATTCTTGGAGGCGTCGGTGACATGACCTGTCTGCCCGAGCAGCGTAACCGGGCCAGGACGGGTAACGTTGACTTGCTCTGTGTATTTGCCCGCTAGGATCAGGATTGTCTGGCTGCTGTTGTCATGTGGCAGGGACAGGATTGCGTCTTGGACAGTTGAAAAGTCGGCCTTGGGGTCATATGCGGAGACAACAAGGGTGCCTTCGGGGCAAGCTCTCTGCGATCCCTGGCAGCTCCGGTATCTGCTCGATGGTATACTCGCTGCGCTGGCCAGGAGCGCATTGAGAAGCACGGAGGCCCAGAATTGTGGTCTGAACATTGTATTTTCCTATGGACTGAACGTCTTGGAATGAGACAATCTCGACGCCATGGCCATCAATGGCTCTTATAGATATGGCTGGCTATTGTCCCCGGAAAATCTCCATGATTCGGGATAAATGCGGGGGAGCAAGAAGCTCACGGGTGAAGAATCGGCTGTCTTCGCGAGCATTGTTTAAATGAATCAAGCATACGAAGCTCCGGCGTTGAATACCCTGGAGGCTTTCATCCAATTGCAATGGCTTCAACTACCAAGGAGGGATATGATCAGCCCGGCCTCTGGAGGAATTGGTCGACTGAGTTGACGGAAAAATCCACGAGCAGCATGACGGAAAATTGAGTCCCGCCTGTAGGAATTAGCAAGATTCTAGCCACGGTGCGGAGTAATTGAGCAGTTTCTTACTGAGGATACTCAGTGCGTATAGTAGCTCCGCGGGCAGAGGCGAGACGCGATGAGATTTCCCATCGGCCAGGTTCGATTGGCTGGAGCTACGGAGTATATTGTACCAATCGAGCTGCCGATGCCACATGGATGAAGCGTGGCAACGCAGGTAAGATGTGAAGATGACACTGATGCAGAAGATGCAGTGTTCAACAGTTCAAGCAAACAGAAGCTTCAAGCCACAGTTTCAAGATCACGAGATCGTGGCCTCAGGCAAGGGCGCACTGAACCTCAACGTCAACGAACCTCAACTTCTCGCTTCTATCAACATTTCCATTAGCGATATCAATGACCACAATCAATGCGATAACCCTCGCTCTCAATTCTTCGCCATGACGCAAATGAGAACCGAATAATGACACACGTTGCGATCCTCGTCCTATCCCAAACATTCGTCATCAATAGTTCCAAACCGCGGCCCACCGGGCTAGCGAGCTGCGAAGCTGCGAAGACTAAGAGAGAGGTCACGACTCACACCGCGGAGTTGGTCAAGTTAGCTAAGCGGCGCAGGCTTGCAGCTGTGGCCTGTGAGCACGCGACACTGGCAGACTGGCAGTGTGCACACTGCACTGTGGACAGGCCGCTGGGGGCTGGGGGCTTTGAAACAGAAGCTGGAGAAGGTACGGAAAACAGGTACGAATCCAGCCTCGGTGAGACTCCGACCACGCGCCTCACGCAACGCAAAAGATGGAAACGAAGCTCGCGATGGAGCCCCAGGCCGATCTGAATCAAACAAAAGGGGACGAATTGTTATAGGACGAAACCGAGAGATTGTGTGGATTGTGGATACGATGGATAAATTGCACTATTCCTTAGCGTGGTACTGTGCGCATGCGAATTGCGAACATCCTCCACAGGCTGGAACTCGGAGATGAGGTCCCAACTGGGCAGATTGCCGGTTCTCCCCAGGTCTGAGTTCTTTTTCAAATCGAAAGTTCATTGAGAATTGCAAGGCCGTTTACTTTGAAGTCTACAGAAGATGGAAAGCAGTAATTCTTGAACCCTTGTTTCACTAAATTTATCACTATTAATCACATACATACATGTAAAGAAGAAAAGATGACTCTATCAAGTTAGAGCATGGGTAATAGGGTGAAAAAAAAGTCTATAATACGGGTAAAAAGCCAGGGGAACCGACTTATGCATGTATGGGCAAGTGATATCCAGATGATAGGAAATTAGATAAAATGAGAGATGAGTAAAAAGCGTTTACTCATCGTCCTCTTCGGCCTCAGTGCGGGCGCCAAGGGTGTATCGTGACTTGCCGTGAGCATCAACTTCGTGTTCGATAGCCAGCTTAGAGAGGTGGTTAAGCAGGTTCTCGACCTTCGTGTCAACAACGGAGCGGTTCTTGCGACCGAGGTTGTCAAGGCCGGGGATGATGGTGAGGAGGTAGTAGACCACGGCAATAATGATCGTGACACCAATGGAGTAAGCCCAGATGACAACGACGGTAACAATGTCAGTGTCGTTGTTGGTAGAGAAAGTAGCCTGGCTAGGGGGGCTAGTCTCAACGTAGTCACCGGCGAGCCAGCCGAAGACACAGAAGAGGGTGGCGAGGACATCGACAACGAAGATGGCACCAACCAGCTGCCACGAGGGCCAGGTCTTACCACCACGGGTGACGAAGATGAGCCAGTTCTCAGTGAGAGAGACTTCCAAGAAGAGCATAGGCTGGGGAGAACCGAAGTTCTGGATGATACCACCGTTCTCAAGGAAGAGGGAAGCACGCATGATCCAGGTACCGGCAGCAAGGAGAACACCAAGAACGACGGAGATGACCCAGATCTTGGGCAACTGCCATTCGACAGGACGCTGCTCGAAGTGAGCGTTGTCGTAAGCAACGGCGATGGTAGCCAAATCAGCGAACAGAGCGATGAAGACAATCAGATCGGCCTTGATGGTCTCGTTGATGATGATCATGGAGGTGACGAGGTAAAGCTCAAGGTGGATACACAGAGCAATACGGTACTGGATGTAGGCCTTCATACGCTGGAAGATCTGACGGGCAAGCTTGATAGCATCAACGATGGTGCTGAGACCGGGAGCGAGGAAAACGATATCGGCAGCGGCCTGGGCGGCTTCGGTGGAACCTTCGACAGCAATACCACAGTCAGCCTTCTTGAGGGAAGGAGCATCGTTGACACCGTCACCAGTCATGGCAGTCAAGTGACCACGCTGCTGGAGCATCTCGACAACCTGGTACTTGTGCTCGGGGAAAACTTCGGCGAAACCATCGGCCTTCTCAACAAGGTCGTGCTGGGCAGAGCCGGCGAGACCACCGTGGATCAGGCGCTCAGAGTCGTAAACCTTGGTGCTGAGAGCAAGCATCTTGCAAGTTTCCTTGGCAATGGCGAGAGCATCACCAGTCAACATCTTGACGGAAAGACCGAGGTGCTGGGCTTCGGCAATGGTGTGGGCAGTGTCCTCACGAGGGGGGTCGAACATGGGGTACATGCCGAGCAATTGCCAGGGCTCACCCTCCTTCTGGACGGCGACACCAAGAGAACGGAAACCACGGCGAGCAAACTCGGAAGCCTTCTCACGGAACTTCTGAGCCTCATCCTGGGAGCACTCAGACATGGCGAGGATAGCCTTGGGGGCACCCTTGGCACAGGTGTAGCGGACACCGTCGCAGGTACAGATGGTAGTAATACGCTTAGAGACAGGATCGAAAGGAGTGTACTTCTCGGTAACCCAGTTCCGAGCAAGAATTTCACGCGCCTTGGGGTAGCGGCGGAGAGTAAGGATCGTAACCTTGTCGATGGGGTCGAGGTTCTTGACGTTGTGGTTGGAAGCAATGGCAGCGACAGCCATCATCCAGTTCACATCCACACCTTCGTTGACGTAGGGTTCACGAATGGAAAGCTGGTTGGCAGTGAGGGTACCGGTCTTGTCAGAGCAGAGGATGTCGACACCAGCAAGAGACTCAATGGCGGTGAGTTTCTGGACAATAGCCTTCTGCTCAGCGAGGTAGGCAGCACCGACAGCGAGAGTGGTTGTGGTAACGACGGGAAGACCGACGGGGACACCGATGATGAGAAGAATCAAAGTCCAGTGAAGGAGAGTGTTGTCAGAGTGCTCGGGAGTAGCGATCTTGAGGTGACGGTAGAAACCACCAATCCAGGCAGCGAGAATCCAGAACATGACGAGAACGAGCAGAGAGGTACCGATGTTGTCCATGACAGCCTTGAAGTGACCCTGGTCCTGGGCACCCTGCACGAGAGCAGCGGTCTTACCGACGAAGGAGTGCTTGGCGGTAGCAGTGACGATACCGTAGGCCTTTCCACGCTTGCAGCCAGTGGTGTAGTAACAGGTGTCGGCCATGTACTTGTCGACAGCGAGAGATTCACCAGTGATGGCGGACTGGTCGACGGCAACGAGGGAAACACCGAGGCGGGCCTCGATTCCTCCATCCTCATCATCATCGTCCTTCTCCTTGAGGGTGTCATCGTTGGCAGAGGCGAGGTATTCCTTGTAGGTCTCGTAGCTCTCGGGCTTGTCGTAGTCACAGATAAGGCGAACATCAGCAGGGACAATAGTACCTTCCTCGATGATGACCTATTTAGAGTGTTGGTTTAGTCAAAGAACCTTGATTTGAGCAGCAGACGGAAACCACTCACGATATCACCAGTAACAAGTTCACGGGCAAGGATCTCCTGCTCCTGACCATCACGCTTGACAATAGCCTTCATGGCAATGTCACCCTTGAGAGAAGCAACAACATCGGCGGCCTGCTTTTCCTGGTACCAACCGACGACAGCGTTGAGCATAAGAATACCGATAATAACACCGAGATCGATCCAGTCACGAAGACCAGCAGCGAGGAGAACAGCCAATTCCATAACTAAACAAGCGCATTGAGTCAGAACAGTGGTCCCAGAGACGTCCTGCAGAGCGGGCTCTTACCATAGAGAATAGGACCACGGAAGTAACCAATGAACTGAACGAAGAAGTTGGTCTTCTCGGTAGTCAATTCGTTCCAGCCAGCACGCTTGCGGCGAGGCTCAACCTGGCTGCCGGGAATACCGTTGAGGTCGGTCTCGAGCCAGTCCTCGGGGCACACAAAGCCCTCCTCGCCATCGTCACCACCACCCTTGCCGAACTTCCACCAGGGCTTCTTCTGCTGCTTCGTGCTCAGAGCACCAGCACTAGAAGTCGAGCCACGACGGTTGTCGCGAGCGGTCGAAATGTAGCGGTTGAGGGCGCCATATTCGTCAAGGCCAGCGCCTTCGTTCAAGTCGGTGGGACGAGAATGGTCACCATTCTCGACGTCGGCAGCATAGGAAATCTTCCGCTCCGCCATTGTTGCTACGGCTCACAAAGCCTCACGATCCAAACGATGAGAGCAGAGACAACGATCAATGACAGGGATGGCAAGAGTCGGACAATCCTATAAAAAAGAAGAGGAAAGAGAGAGGGGAAGAAGAGCGAGAAGGGCAGGGAGAATGGGCCCTTTAATATTGAGGGGGGGAGAGTATGGATTTCACGGGACCACGAACAAACACGCCTTGAAGCTCCAACGGGCGGGCAACTTTCCCTGTGCGTAAGCCCACTTTTTTTTTCTTTTCTTTTTTTCCGATTTTTGTTTTTGGTTTTATTTTTCATGTTTTTTGGGAGCTAGACAGAACGGGTCTAGTGCGGCCGGGACTAGTTAGCCACTGATCTCAGGTTCTGTCCCTGACTACCTGGCACACTCACACCACCGCTTAACGGCACGCATCATTACACCTCTGTTATGATTGTTTGTTACGGAGTACTCTTTTTTCCGTGGACCATGGGAACCCACATGTCGGAACCAGTCTAGCTTTGGAGATTGAAAACTCTCCTCTTTCCCTTTGTTGACGGTGGGTGCCTCTGGCTGGCACCTTGATACGGCACCTTTCGCCGGTCGCTCTTGTCGTGGTCCTGGATGGGGAAATCCCTCCTGCCTTTCTCCATCCTCCATCGCACTTGGCGGCCATGACCGGCAGACCTGTGCCGAGTTCGCCCCCCTCCTTCTCCCGGACTCTCTCCAGACTGAGACGAGGGTGACAATTCGACGAACTTTACTGCGAGTCTTGCAACCACCGGGCGCTGCCCTACGGACGAGGAGGCGAACTGAATCTCTTGCGGACAATCCCGACGCCCCGGTCGTGGGAGATTTATCCGCCTCGTCCCGTCGCCTTTCTGGCCGCCTGAAGTATGTCATGATTGTCAATCGGGTTGTCACTGTCGGTAAAAATACGGGATGGACGGGCATCTCCACGGGGTGTCCTGGGGGAACAAGGCTGGAACTCGCGGTTATGATACGCCCAGTTCATACCGCATCAAGATCCCTTTTTGCCGCCAGCGGGCCGCCCTACAGTCTTGCGCTTTTCTATGCGCGATTTTCTGGCCTGGCCTGGCTAAGGAAACGACGATAGTAGTGCACATAATAATAACTACTACTACACTAACATCTCGTGGATGATACAATAATAAATGCGACTCTGCGACTGGCTCGATGCCGAGTGAAACTGCAGTCTGCGACTAGAAACGAGGCGACACTGACTGACTTTGGACAAGACAATGACAAGAAACGCTATCGATCTTATTGTCAATCATTATTCGGAAAGTCTGCCTCGTTCCCTTGCCTCAAAGCGCCTTGATATTATTGGGATCTGATATCTCGGTTTCCCCGAGTCATACGGAGAGACTCCGTATTATCATTGTCACTGGAGCCTCCCCAGGGTTGTGGCTTTGAAGACTATGAAGTCATAGGATACGGAGTATACGGAGTACAGTCTAGTTGCGATTGACAAAACAATCTTCCTCTTTAGAGATAGCCCAATAAAGCTCCGATCGTCAGACTACTCCAGGGTAGGGTCGAGACCAACGTGTCTCTCTCCAGAAACTCCGTCTTCAGGATCATCCATGATGACTACATAGTCTACAATGAGGGTCGCGGCCACGAGCTCCTCAAACGGGAACGCAAGGGGTGTGTCGAGAAACCTGAAGCCAATTGCGGTTATGCAGGGTCAAAACAAACAAAGAATCAGGGTCTCAGCTGACACACATCGACATCATTATCCTCAAGTTATCCATCATGGCTGGGAGCTTGGCTCATAGTCCGAAACTGCCAGCTCGTAATGCCTAGACTGTCTATCTAAACACACTGTCATGGCTATCGTCTACCAGGTCCCATTTGAATGTGAAGCCGGTGATGATTCTAGCCTTTGCTAGCCAGGTTGCTAGCTCAGAACAAGTGATTGTTTGACCTAGGGATGTTATAATGTCGACATTTTCTCCAAAATGTCCGTCTGTCCGTAATGTCCATGTTTTGAATGTCTGTCCGGATGGACATACACGTGACTARGTGGGCTAAGCTAGTCCCYAAAAGGCTTAGATTTYTYTAAWACTACCTTTYCYAGATTAGTAGCTTACAGGCCCTGAAGGACTACTCTTCCTAGGGAAGGTGGGGCGCCGATCGGACATACCCGGCCTGAAAATGTCTGTCAAGTTGACATAAAAGGGTCGAAATGTCGGACAGACATTTGTCATCTAACATCCCTAGTTTGACCCGATTCCCGGGTACGGAGTAAGCGCCGAAGGGCTATAGCTTCAGCTTCAGTGTGAAGCTCCTCGGTGCATACGGGGTAAAGAGAACTCGGCCTGCCGAGTCCCTGATTGCCGTTGCAAACGTTCGACGTCCAATCTTCCAAGAAACGCGCTTCAGTTCCACGTTCCAGGCAACTCGGATTCTTCACCACTTCCAGTCTCAACCTGGAGCCTTCTCTTCTTGCCATCAATCAGCTCACCTTCGTGCATCCCTGTCAACCTGCCTCGGTTTCTCCAGCCTCCAGGAAAGTGTGACGACTATCCCCCACCCTCTAATCCGAATATAGTTTCGCTCCAGGTTTGCTTGCCGGGAGGTTTGTCTCCATCGTCGAGCTCTAGATGCGTTATTTCGCCTGAATGGCCAGCATCACTCCTAGCTGAGCTCCTCTTTGAGGCTTTAATAAGAGTCATATCTTAATCTGCGTTATCGCTGGAGCGGCTTACGTCCATACATACTTGACGAGACACTCGTATGACAATAATAACCTTACTACTATAGTGGCGCTCTGGACGAGCTGGGTGCTCGTTCTATCCACCGCGTGGACTCTCACCGAGCAACAGCTTCCGGGAAAAAAAGAGGTCACCCTGTATACCGTTGACCAGTAGATAAGTTCAGCTTTGCATACCCGAACAAGGCACATGCGTTCCACGTTCTGGATAGAAGATCTGTTCTTCCGAATGCAGTCAGCGTCGGTGTGCATGTGCATGGACTTTGTGGACTTTATTGACAGTAAACCCGGGTTCTCAGTCAGTCTTGAGACCAATGAGCCTCCTTCACTTTACAAACAACTCATACATCCTGGTTCATGCATAGCAGGGTTGGAAAAAGCGACCCATCACGTCTGAGATGTCTGAGAATTTACGGAGTAGATGCAGTTTGATGTCGCACTGAAAGCGCGGGGGAATTATCTGACAGCCTTAGATCGGCCTCGACCCTCGTATTTCTTCCTCTCCCACCAGACTGCGGTTTCCTACCTGGGGATGCGGGTGAGCAGGCAATGTCCAGGTTGGTTCCCTGGTTCACCGACCCGGAGACCCCAAGCTTCACCACACATAATGCTTGTCCCGGGAGTCAGTCAGATGGTTGGACTATGCACTACTGCCAAGGTGCATCCTCCACAGCCTCATTTCGTCTCATCGTTCAATGGTTCGACCCCAGATTTCGGTGAGCAGGTGCAGCCTGTGCAGGTGACTCGACACTCCATCTGGACTCTGCGCACCTCCCTCCTTTCAACCAAGGGGATCCGTGGTACGGAGTATCTAGCCACGTTGTCAGCTGCAAGGGAGCAGCATGTGGACTCTCACAGGCTACACAATCCCGATGCGAGCAGCAGAAGCGAGGTGAGAAAAATGATTATTGATCAGTGGATGATTGATCTTGTACAAAAGCATATCGACCAATCTACTTCGAACAGAAACCCGACGTTATTGACCGGTGTGGAAATATGACGATACTGCGTGGGGTTTCATACATGCCGTGACACAACTAAAGACGCGAGCTTGAAAGGAATCGCGGGAGGTCCGAGAGAAGCTCTTTCCCTTTCTTGGTATGAGGAAGTTTGACGCCCGTCTGGATAGCTTCCCCTCCCTCACAGCAGAGCGCTTTTCGCGGCTCACTATTTCTCAAATCCCAAGTCCCAACCCCTCAAGCCCAGCCTCTTCTGTCATGCAACGGCCACGGTGACTTCACGCTGCTGGATCAGGCTAGTCCATCCTCTCCAGACTCCCGTTCTTGCCGAGAAGGAGGCAATGGCCAACCAGAAACCCAGCTGTCCATGTCATTCTTGCGATTGTGATTGCCCTCCCCATCCCGACCTCACGAAGGATCAAACAGAAGCAAAAAATGACGCCGCACCGCACCTCCGTGCGCATCGACCCCGGCAGAGGTTTGCGATCGAGTTTCCGGGGGATTCTCACCGGTGCCGGGCAAGGACCTCTCGCAGCAAGCTTAACCCAGTGAGGCGAGATTCATAGTAATAGCACGTCAGCCAAGCATTTCCCACGCCAGCGTGAAGGGTATCTGGAAGACGAGGACTGGCTCTCGCAAGGCTGAAATGAGCTTCTCTTGCCTCCTGCTTGGAACATGACTTTCTCCAAGGTCAACTTGATGCAATTGAGCCCTTGAGATCATTCGATAATCACTTCGTCCTAACCGAATACGCACAACTTGTCGATGACACCGTAATTGAAGGAGCTCTTGATATGAATTGAGGTGGAGCTGATAGGCAAGCTGCTGTCCTGAACCAAACTCCTTCTGCCGAGGCCTGAGATACACCCCACAGATAACCGTGGAACCAAATGAACTCCTAACAGTCCGCGGCTCTCAGCCTCTCATCTCCTTGCTCGAGTCGCGACGAAAATTCTATAGCAAGCCTGTCGTGGGGAAGTCTCAAACAGTGTCTGATACTTCACCGCTGCCATGGCCCATGGATCGTGATTCCGAGTCATCGACAACGCTCTGTGCAGCATCGGGGTCACCATCTAGTCGAACTAGCGACCGATCGTCGTTTCGTACAGGACTACGGAGTACTGAATTGAGACTTGGGGATTAATGGGGGCGATCTTTGCTCTTCTTGCGCCAGACCACGTGAGGCCACAGCAGGCCACGAGGCACAAACAATTAGTTTCGTCCGTCAACATTCAACAACAACCGTAGTCTACAGACGTTGGAGATGTCATCTATCTGTTCCGCGGCGCAATAAGATGGGTAATAATATCGCGCACGCC